ACCATAGGCAAGCCGGCCACAGGCCTGCGGGCCTTTGAAACGGGAAAAAAAGGAGAGAAGAGAGAGAGAGAGAGAGAGAGAGAGCTGTGCAGAAAGAAGCATGCACAGGGGACGAGGGGGCCAGGGGCCAAGCCGCCGCTTCAGCACCAGGCGATCGGACTCCGTGAGCTCCCCTCGCTTCTCCGCGGCGGAGAGCTTGAAGACCCGCTGCATTTGCTTCGCGGTGCTCTTCAGCACCTTGGCCAAGTCCTCCGGCGGCAGCGTGGACGGCATCAGCGCCAGGCGCTGCCACTGCACGAACTTCTCAAAGGTCAGCCGCTTTTCCTGAAAAGAAAAAGACTTATACTTGTTAAGACTTGTTCAAAAGCTTTTAAAATTTAAAAGCTGATGTTGAGTTCCCTTCTCATGTCTTGGACTCGGCGCGGTTTCGAAGCCGATGTGCAGGAAGCAGTTGGTGAGATCCCCGCGGAGCAGCACAGGGTCCTCGTGGCCCTCCACGGGGTTCAGCCGCAGCGCGTTCTGCAGCACCCCGTGGGCCTCCAGGAACTCGCGCATATCCACCGAGGAGTCGCCGTTCTGGTCGTAGGCCTACGGACTCGACCGGGAAACAGAACAAGAAAAACACTATCTGAATCATATGAACAAAAAAACATATCGGACTTCTTCTTCTCATCCTGGAAGAGCGGATGAAGTGCAGATCTCAGGTCGAAGAAGGTGCAAATCCCGTGCTCGGCATCCAGCATCAGCGGCGTGCTGGGCTTCATGATCCACTTAGCCAAGTCCTCCTGCTCGATGTCCCCGTCCTCACGATGCTCGAACCACGCCCACATGCGGTCCACCTCCTCCTTGCAAAGGATCTCTGCCGGCGGCAACGTCGCCCGCAGAATCGCCTCGAATTGGGAGCGGCTAATGGTGCCAGTCCCATCCTGGCAAATGGCGCGGGACAAGCCATGCAAATCAGGCAATTCCAATAGATTCATGGGGCTTCAACGGTTCCGAGCCTGGTCATAGTGCCGGAGAATGACTCTCAACTTGTGCGGCACCGTGTCTGTCTCTGTCTCCTTCGTCTCCGTCTCCTCCGTCTCCTCCGTCTTCTCCGTCTTCTCCGTCTTCTCCGGCTCCATCTCGGCTCACAGCCCGAGGCCTGCGACCTCGAGCGCCTATGAATTCACGCGGATCCGCCGCTTGAGAGGGAAGGGCATGCACCGAGTCTCAAGCAGATTCCGAGCCTTTACGCCATACGCATCCATACGCCATACGCCATCTTTCGCCTTCCCTTTGCGCCTTTGAAGATGTGGTGCGCATCGCCCTCGAAGCCCAGCACCCTGGCACGTCTATGGAGGGTGAGAGGGGTGCTTTTTCCCGGATGGCCTGCATCCGCGGACAAACTCCTGGATGGTCAAGGCCTGAGTTGCTCGGTTGCTCGGTTGCTCGGTTGCTCGGTTGCTCGGTTGCTCGGTTGCTCGGTTGCTCGGTTGCTCGGTTGCTCGGTTGCTCGGTTGCTCGGTTGCTCGGTTCGTTTGTTCGGTTGTTTGTTGGCAGCACGTGCCGATTTGGGGGCTGGGCAGTCCGGTTGTTGGGATCCAGGATGGCCCAGGTCTGAGGCAGGTCAAAGCCTGTGCGGATCCAGATCACCTGGCAGCGCACACCGGCATTCCAAGCTGCAAGTTCGGCGCCTGCTCGAAGAGCTCCAGATTCAAAGCTTCTTCGTGGTCCAACCTGAGCGCTTCACGCCTTCACGCGCGTGAGGCTTCCCGGGCGCCGCGCTCCCAAAACTTCATCCCTGCACCTGAGCTGGCGAGCTGAGCCGAACAGAAGAAAATAAAAACCCACGGCTTAGCTTGGCCCGTTCGTTCCGCGTGCGACGCCTCCGCTGATGCGGCAGGAGCTCCAAATCTGGGCCGGACACCTGCAAGCCCGAGGCAGCACAGGTACACTTTCATACACATTCGCAAAAGGCGCACTGATAAAAGCGGCAGCCCCGGGCAAACTCGGCTTGGCTGACCCAGCCTAAGCGCCATTTGCTGTCACTATTGCGCAAATTGCGTCTGCAAAATGCCTCAGGCACAAACCCACGCCCTGTTTGTCGAAGTCACAACGCCAGGCCTGCGACGTGCCGAGTTGGCGCTTGGCTACCCGGAAAGCCGTACCCGCATCGCCGTCCCGCGGAAGCGGCGCATCCTCAGAACGTGCCGTGTGCCGTGCCCGTTCGCCGATAGCCGCTTGCGGTGCTAAAGCCTTGAGCCTTTTGGGCTTTTGGGCCCCGGCGCAGCCAGCAGCTCGTCCACCAGCATTCGCTGTGTAGGCCCTGCGCCCGACCCGACGACCCGACGACCCGACGACTCGACCTGCGTGGCAAGAGCTCACGCACGCCTGACACCGCCAAAGCTGCCAAGACGGCTGGCCGAAAGCTTGGAACCTGAGAGCGGGAGGGAGGAAGGGCCCGCAAAATTTCTTCGATCAGCCGTGACCCGGTGTCACCCAGCTGACCCAACTTGCCTGCAGCCATCTCTTGCCGTCATCTTGCTTGGCATCCGACCTCGCAGCTGGCGCGGTGCAATCCACGGGATGCACCCGGGGCCGCGGCTGAGGGCATTGGTTCGGCGACAGGTGAAACGACGGCGAGCTCGTGGTCGCGGAAGTGGTCGCCCTGCACTCCAAAGCCCGAAGGCCGAACATTCCTTCAGTCAGATCCTCCGGCCTGGTCGAGGGCGTGCGGCTGAGGGCGAGACAGGGTGTGGAGTGCCGGCGCGGAGCCTCAGCGGAGCACGGGCCGACGGGCCGACGGGCCGACGGGCCGACGGGCCGACGGGCCGACGGGCCGACGGGCCGACGGGCCGACGGGCCGACGGGAACGGGTGACGCATCGCGTTCCAAATCGAAAGCGGCTCGCCTCCAAGAGCCGGGAGTCGTGCCTCAGCTCCTCGAGCTTCTCCTCTTCGGGCATTCGGCTTCCACCCCGCGCTCTCGCTCTCGCCTCCTCCCAAAAGGGAAGCTCATCCTCGGTTTCCTGCGGTGCAACGCAGCCATCGGTCCCCCACGGCCCTGGCAGGCCTGGGACTTGGCTGACTTGGCCTTCGGTGACTCACGATCGCCATCCGTGTCCTGTCAAGTGCTCACTGGATCCTGCCCAATTCCCCCGAAAGCGCCTCTCCGAAGAAGCCAGGGGCACTCCGCCTTAACGCGGAAACTTGAGGGAAATTGGCAAGAGCAGCCAGGAGGCCCCGGCTTGTCATCGCGGACCTCTCTCCGTGGCGGGGCAAAGGTCATGACGCCTCGAGCAACTCCGGCTCGACTCTCGGCTCAACTCTCGACTCGAAGCACGTGCCTCGTCCCCTTGCACACGGCCCCTTGGCCCCTTGAGCCAAAGCAGCAATGCGCAAACCGCCCTTCAAAGCTTTCTCAGGCTGAAATAGGTGAACTAGTGACAGAATCTGTTAAAATATGCCATGCGTGTCACGTACATAGCTCAGCTGGCTTCGATTTCCTGGCTCGGACACTTTCCTGCCGCCCTGCACTGGGCCTAAGGCGGAGGTTCCCGATGGGCCGAAGGAGCAAAAGGAAAAGCCCCTTCGAAGGCTCCCGCTCGCAGTCTCTTCGAGACAGGCGGGCATGTGCCACATGTGCCACATGTGCGAGCACGCGCTCTTCGACGTCTCACCGCGTCACCGCCGCACCTCCAGCCAGGCCTCGTCCAAGGCCACCGCGTCGCGCAGCCGCCGGAAATCCGTGGCGCGCCTCAAAGAGAAGTCGCTAAGTCGCTAAGAGATGTGCTCGCGAGTGAGTCCGCGAGTCCGCGAGTCCTCGAGTCCTGAGTCGCCTGAGTCCCAAGGGCCGGGCTCTGGCCGGGGCCTCTGAGCTCCTCGCGAGACTTGTCTCATTGTGTCATGTGTCTGTCATGTGTCTCCCTGTCCTTCGCGTAAGCCCACGTCATTCCTCGCAAAGGACCACGCCGGCCTGCGTGGACCGGGCAGGAGCTGGGGAGCTGGCAAAGCCTGTCAGCTCGGGCCCCCGGCACCGACTTCAGAACCTTGTCGCGGCTTGCCTGCATCGAACGACTTGAACGACTCAACTCGAGAGTATCAAACTCGACATCGAAATGCAAACATCCGACCACTGCCTCGGCGCAGGGTGAGTGATAAGCCTCAAAGCTCCGGAAGCGTGGCGAGCAGCCCCAGGCCCTTTGTGACTGGGGTCGCAATGGCTCCGTGACTTGAACCTAGGGATCGAGACGAGACATCGGATTCCAGAAATCTGCGAATCGCCTTGGCTTCCCTGAAGTCCTTGGACGCGTCGGGCTCTTCCTTCGGCTCCTTCGGCTCCTTCGGCTCCTTGGGCTCCTTTGGCTCGGGCTTCTGCTTTTCTTCCTCCTCTTTTGGCTCCCTGGGCTCCATGGGCTCCCTGGGCTTGGGTCCGGTGCCCGGTCGAACCGTGTTGCGGAAGTCTTCGCTGGGAAAGAAGGGCCGCGGAAAGGTGGTGTACACCGACAGCACCTGAGATCGACACCGCACATGTTTACACGGCGGTACAACTCCGTCAGCTTGAACGCCGGACCTGCTTGGCGCAGAAGTCGAAATGTCGCTGTCGGTGTGACTCTTCCCTGGAAGAGTAGGCCTGAGCGATTTCCGCGAGCGAGATTGCGACACGGCTTGCTGGCCTCCAGAAGCTGTCTCCGAGTCTTGGCGGCCTTGGTGGCCTTGGCGTCCTTGGCCTCGGCCTTGCCACCGTCCCCTCCTCAGATTCGACAAATAGGCCTGAGAGAGAACCTGAGAAAGGACCTGTCCTGAGGCTCCTGAGCCTCCTTCAGGCACCTGGCACATAACCAGCTTGGCAGCTTGGCAGCTTGGCAGCTTGGCAGCTTGGCAGCTTGGCAGCTTGGCAGCTTGGCATTTCATAAGAACTTCCATGGCCTCTGTCATGCCATTTCCAGCGAGAGGACTTCGGGACTTCGGGACTTCAGCTTAGAACCCTTTCGCTTGAGCCACGTGCGCCGTCGCAGGCCGTCTCTGCACTCTGAGAAGCGCACAAAAAAAATGCAAAAAAAAAAAAACGCCCGCGGGGCAAAGCACCGCCTGGTTTTTGAGGTCTCTCAGCCGCCCACAAAGAGAGAAGAGCTTGCAAGGCAAGCGCTCAGCTTCAGCCGTCAACGCCTGCACAAACACTACGGCGCAACTCGCTGAAAGGGCTGCCCTTGCCTGAAAGCTGGGTGCATTAGCAGGAAGACTCAGCTTCCTTTCCCCTTCTTTCTGTGCTTCTCCTCTTTCTCCTCTTTCTCCTTCTCCTTCTTCCTCTTCTTCGCCTCTCCTCGTTTGTCTCCCTCTCGCTTCGGATTCGGCTTCGGATTCTCTGGATGCCGCTCTTCGCCTTCCACGCCAGCGGCTGGCTGCGCCCGCTCCTCGCGAAGCTGCCGCTCCTCCAGAAAGAGTGCAAAATGCGCACGGTGCGTGCGAACGGCCTGCTTGCGGTCTGGTCTGCTTGTGTTACGCGGTTACGACGCCTGCTCCAACTTCCACAGTGCTCCTTGATGCCGCTCCGTGATGGCCTGATGCACACCCGACACATCTCCGATGCGACCTCCGCCGAGTCCGGTCCTGCTCCAAGGTGTCCGTTGTCACGAAGCGCCTCCGGCTCTTCTGCTTTCAGCCCCCTTTGTGTATACCATGTGGGCAAAGCCGCCCCAACAAAAAACATTCATATTGGACTTTAACTGTGAGCCCACTGGAAAAAATGAAACTGCTGCTTCAACCAAAGCCACAGTTGCGTACTCTCGGGCTCGAAGGTGTAATTATTCATGTAACTTTCAGGCTTGCAGGCGTGGGGCAGCTGTAGACTCTATACTGCTCATCTCAAGTATGTGGCGCAAAACATGTGCAGTGATCATGTCTCATGCGTTCAACCTGTTCAGCATTGTGACCAGTGTGGCAACAAAAGACTTCAGCCAGCATCCCAATCACTACGCGCCATCATGACAACTCCGTCAGCATCACAACAAATCCTGCACCATACTGACGCAAACAGCCCCATCATAATTGAAGAAGCGTCGGAAGGAATGAAGCATCGGCACAATGCTTCAAGCCGCAGCATGACAATTCAAACAACACCGCAATGGCGTAGACAACCTCGCAATAATTTGATCAACGCCACGATGCTTCAGGCAGCATCAGCACGCTTCCAACAACACTGAATTCTTTCAAAACATCATTCCAACCACGTCATGCCCTACTACACAGCACCCTCCACCATCTAATCGGGCAATCATATCCGCTGTTAGAACTCCAATAGCTTTCAGGCATCGCGGGCAAGCTTTGGCGCTTCGGGCAGGCTTGGTTCGGATACTCCTGTTGAGAGGTCAGCACAGCTGTGTCAACAACGATGAGACATGTCGGCATTTACCGTCATTTGCAGAACTTCTGAGTGTCTGCGCTGACTTCTAAATATCATTTGACCGCAATAAGCAAAAGGTGCGCCTTGCGGGGTGACGATATTCGTGTGTATACTCATAGACACACTTACAGTATTTATGTATCGGATATAATATTTTACACATGTATACTCTTAGACACACTACAAGCAAGGGCCACGCGCAGCTCCGCGACACCACGCTCAGCTAGAAGCATCAGCGCGTGACAACCCAGGCCGTCCCTCGTCTTGCTTGCCCCACACGCCTACATGCTCCTTCCCACTATCCCGATACTCCTTGCCCCTTTCTTTCAGAAAAGTCCCCAAAGACATTTGTTGAGGTTGTCATCCGTTGCTCAGGGGATGTGAGTAGGATGGCAACAGCCGCGCCCTCCTTGTGATGTCGACGGCCTGGTAAAATATGATTTGCCCGCAGCAAATCTATTATTGTATTATATTTAATATATATATATATATATATTCCTAAAACTCTGTTAAACTTGGAGCAACTGTATACCTACTTACCTTGCGCGATAAACCTGTGTGTGAAGTGAAGCGCAGTTGCTTTCCTCTGGGCAATGTTGCACTGTCTACTGTAGCTGTACTAAGGCAGGTCTGTACATAAGCCCAAGGCCTTGGGATGTGTGGGCAGCGGCATCTACAATTTGCAGACAAAACGCGCAAGGCAACAGCTTTCGAGACAGCTTTCGAGACACGGCGGCCACTACACCTGAGATACTCCATACCACTTGGCACACGAAGCATCGGGTACCTAACAAGGTTACTCAAACCACAGCTCGATGAACAGAAGTTCGAAGATAGTTTTACAACATGGGAGTTTCAACTCGCCAAGTTCGAACAAGACAACCACACACCGCTGCCAGATGCAGTCACAATCGCAATACTGCTCAATGAAACAAAAGGGCCACTACGGCAACACCTACAGTTACAAGCAGGATACCACAGAGCAGCATCATCACCCAACAGGCTACAAGCAATCACATCAGGCAACAGCAACAACCGAGGACCAGCACCAATGGACATAGGAGCAACGTGGCACAACAACGGCAAAGGCAAGTGCAAGGGCAAAGGAACGTGCAACAAAGGCAAAGGCTATGGCGGCTACGGGAACAACTACAGCTACAACAACTACAAAGGAGGAAAAGGCAAGTACAATCAACAACCGGTTGGACAAGGAAGCCCTTTCAAAGGAGAAGGATACAGCAAGAAGGATACGGCAAAGGAAAAGGACACAGCAACAAAGGAATAGGCAAAGGACACAAGGACAACAAGGGTATGGCAAAGGCAAAGGCTACAGCAACAAAGGAAAAGGCAAGGGATACTACAACAATCAACCGGAGGAAAAGGAGCAAAAGGAAAGCAAGCAACAAACGATTGCTACAGATGCGGACAACCAGGACACATGGCCAAACAATGTAGACCAGACAGATGACTGGCACAGTCAGGCACACTATGGCAGCAACTGGTACCACCAGGATCAGACAAAGATGCAACAACTAGCCCTGCCACAACCAGATTCATCAGCAGTACCCATCTCAGGGTTACAAGAAGTAGCAATTGCCATGATTGGCGCAGCGCAACAATTCGCAGAAGATAACAAGTGGGTCAGTCTCGTGATTGACAGCGGTGCGGCTACACCTGTATGCCCACCATGGTTTGCAACACAATTTCCACTACAGCGCCTCGAGCACGGAACACCATTTTACGTTTGTGAGGTTAAACAGACAATTCTTTCGGTTGCAAGGCTGGTGGAACAAGGTTTCCAACTTACACTGGATGACAATCCAAGACTACAGCGCACCAAAGGACTCAACAGCACATTTGGAGAACAGAGATGCCTGTTCTTCCTACAAGCAGAAATCACAACACTGCCAAGAGGAACAAAGCTACAGACACACCGCACACAGCAAGGACAGATTGGCATGATAGCGCCGACCGCAACGCTTACACCACAAGGTCCTGCAGACACAGGTTACGCAGGAGGCTACTGGCAGCTCAACACACAAGGTGAACCTGTCAGAGTACACAGACAATACAGGAAGACACTCTTCACACCATCAACGATCCAGCCCCAGCAGAACAACTTGAAGACTACAGAAGAATCAGACCCAAGGACGGCGCAACGAACACGTTTGACAAGTGCCAAATATGAGATGCTCAAAACAAAGCACAGCAGCAAATGTGGAAAGGAGAAGCAGCATTCAGGATTAAGAAAGGCACAGCAACACCAGAGACACTGCAGCAACAGTTTGCAACAAAGACACAGCAAAAGAGCGCGCCGCAGAAAGTTACACCACAAGTACTTCAGTACAATCCACGCACACGACTGAGAGAGAAACAACAGCGCAGGACACAGCAGCACCACACACCACCAAAGGTGCAGCTGGACAAGGATTACCGCACCCTGCAGAAGTACATCATGGTGGAGTCTACTGGCACAGAGAAGGCCCATACTGGAAGAGAGCACACATCGAGCCACACACACAGCATTTTACGCACCAGAGCAGACACATGACGGGCCAGACATTAAGCAACTTACACCTTGCAAACAATCCAGGGTAACCGGCAGGAGATGCAACACAAGACAAGATTGGTACAAGATGAACGGGCAACACAGCAAGCAAAGACATCAGACAAGCCTTGAACAGGCTGGACAAACTTCGAGGAACATCAGGAATGTCCAACACAACTTGAGTCAGATGATGAGGAGCAACAGCAAGGCACAAGAGCAAATGCAGTACAAGCGCCCAGGCAACCAACACCGCAATAGGACACACCTACCCGACAGAAGTTGGTGTCCAATATGCGTACAAGCAAGAGGCAGACAACAATCACCCAAAGCAAGCTTCCAATCACACAGCTTGACTTCGGCTACAGCAAGGGCTTTGATGACAGCAACAACATCACACTCCATACTACAACCAGATCAGGAGACTTCCTGACAGCACTGATCACAGCACTGGCAAGCAAGAGTGGCAACATCACCACAAGGAACTCAGGAGCACACAGTTCACAATCACAAGGAAGAGTAGAGCGAGCGCACAGCACACTGCTTGCACAAATCAGAACACTCAAGGCACAAATCAGGCGGAGCTACAACAGAGACATTGCACTGGAACATCCACTCATGCCTTGGATAGTTCGACACAGTGCATACATCATGAACAGAATTGCGATCCACAGCAATGGATGCACAAGCTACTTCAACAGATGGAACAAAGAGCAACACACGCACCACTTTGCTACCAACAGTGAAACAATTTCCAAAACTCTTAGCCAAGGTTCTACAACCGGATCTGGCTTGGCAAGGATACAACTACAGGCGAGTCCCTCATTGGGACCTACAACAAGATTGTCAGAGCAAGGACAATCAGAAGGCAAATAATGCCTCACAAAAACAGTACAGCAAATGAAAGACCAATCAGTCTTTACAGAGATTGATGCCAACACAATGACACCAGAACGCAAGCAAACATCAATCAATCAAGGTGGGTTCTTAAACCAAAACACAACGAAGCACGAGCACGAACAGTAGCAAAGGGCTACACAGAACCCGTTACAGACCATGACCTACTCTTTGCGAGCGCACCACTGTCTTGCGCACTGAGGGTACTCCTCACAATGGCACTTGTGTACAACTGGTCAGTCTGTGCAGGAGAGTTCAGTTTTGCACGCCTACATGCAGCAGCAATCTCCTACAACTTGGTAATAAGACCACCAAAAGAATTCTACAACGAAGCAAGCAGACACATAATACGGCGGCTGAACAAAGCCATCTACGGCTTAAGATCATCGCCAAAACAATGGCAAGTCCACATAGCGCACATTCTCACAGTTACGCTTGAACTTGTGAGATGCACAACAGAGAGCAATGTCTACAGGCTAAAGGACTGCAAGGTCTACATCGTGATCTATGTAGACGACCTCCTACTCATAGGAAGAGCATCATTGACACACTGTTTAGCAGAATGCAGAAAGAAGCACTGCTGAGACACGCAAGCGACCTCAATGTAGGCACAACAATACATTTCCTTGGCAGGAACATTTCACACAACATCCTGGAAGAATCAGGAATGACTACATGCGCCCCAGCACCATCACCAGGAGTGTCACACATGAGAGGCGCAGCAGAAGATGAAGGGCCGCTCGACCACGAACAGCAGCACAAGCAACACAGGCGGCTTGTTGGCAAGGTACCATGGCTAGCATACACACGACCAGACATCAGCTATGGAGCAAAGGAACTAGCAAGATCACTAACCACCACAGTTTGACAATAAGAAGCTCAATCACATGACAAGGTACCTTAAAGGCACAAGGTACTTGCGACACAACCTGCAACCAAAGATACAGATACAGGACAAGCGAACCCCACTCAACATCGACACATACACAGATGCCAACTGGGCATCATTCGCGGCAACAAGAAAGAGCGCAACAGGATTTGTGGTACACTTCTTCGGAGCAGCGATGCACTTTTGGAAGCAGAACACAAGCAACAATGGCGCTTTCATCAGCAGAGTCAGTGCTGGTACAGCAGCACAGGAGAGTCTCTACATCAGCAACTTCCTCATGGAAGCATTTGGAGCACGCGCCAACATCAGGACACACACAGACAGCAGCGCAGCTAAGTCAATCACGATGCGAGAAGGTACATCAAAGAAAGCGAACCACATTCAGCTGCGACACTCTCAACAAGCACATGTTCACAGTTGGCCTGCGAGGCCATCGCAACAGCTTCACACCAGTAAGTACAGTAGTCAGCACTGCTTGTTAAACAACAGTTGCGCAGGTCACCTGTCCTTGTCTACAACGAAAGTGAAAGCGCGACAACTTAGCTTCACTTAGGATATCCGGAGCCATGGTACATCTTTTCTGGAAGTTCTACAACCCTCTTACAATGGTTTTTCTGCAAGATACATGTCAAAAATGGATTTGCGCCCTTTTTACCTTTTACATCAGTGAGGTACACTCTTCCTGACAGATCGGACCAATGGACATGCAGGCCTTGACAGCGCTTGCTACATCAGATGAGCGCACCGGAAGGCGATACGACGAGCGCTTGTTTACATCGCTGACATCTGTGGGATTTCGCAACATCAATTGCGTCAACGGCAAGGAGGCGCGCAACATCATGGAGCAGCGCATCGAGAAGACCACAGGCACAAACGGTGTTTTGTGCATCGCCTTGACTGCAGCAGAATACGGCAGTTTGAATGGTGATTACACTGGGCTGCAGGCCAACATGAAGAGGCCATTTTGCGAGCACATGATCTACAACACCAGTCCATTTGACGCTCTCACAACTTTGACCTACCTCTTCAGAGCACAAGATTTGCCAATCACAATGTCCTCGACATCTTCATGGACCAACGGTTTGGCTTGGGACAAGCCATGGTCAGCTTCAGACTGCCACATGTGATTGAGTACTCGGGTCTACAGATCCTCCGGTACATTAGCCAGGTGAACGCGTCGTGCGAGGAGCTCATTGCAGCAGCAACCAACATGGACGAGGTTACAGTAAGAAATGCGTGGACATCATGGTTCGCACAACTGCGATTTTTGGCGGCGCGCATGAGTGGCACAGCCGGACAGCTGGATACAACATTTGCTTGAAACAGCAGCTGTTTTGCTGCTATTTTGACACCACAACCCACAAGGAAGTTGCACAGCTTGGTACACATCCTTTGTGCAGTGGCAACATCCATTTTCAACATTTTAAGAGAATGTGTACAATGGTCCATCGCATGTGCTCACCAAGATGTAGTGTAAGTTGTTGCTCAGTTGTATCCAGCTACTGCTTGTGAAGGTGCTGCTGTCTCAAGTTGGCCGTTTGTAGCTGGCAGTTGCGATTGCTCTGACTGTCTCAGCAGTCTGTTGTATGAAGGGTCTTGTAGCCCGTACATTCTTCGAATATGTTGTATTCTCCTGTGAATCGTGGTGGTGCTACCTTGTACTTGTGAATTGCTTCCAGCTGATGCTGTTGCTCTTGTTGTTGTTGGCCCGTCGTTCCTTGTGTGTTGTATGGAAAGGCCGCCAGATCTTTCAAGGTGCGAAGCTACGTTCACTGCTGCATGCCTGAACCTGTGGGTGCGTGTTGGAGCTCACCCTGGGTAGTGTGTGTATCGTGTACCAGGGATCACTGCTCCGCTACCATGTTAAACTCGGAGCAACTGTAAAGCGCAGTTGTTTTCCTCTGGGCAATGTTGTACTGTCTACTGTAGCTGTACTAAGGCAGGTCTGTACATAGGCTCAAGGCCTTGGGATGTATGGGCAGCGGATGTAGCCCAACTGTACTGCTAGAGACAGCATGTAGTACTTAACAAACTCTTGCTATCTTCGCACTGAGCTCCCTGCCAGACGTGCACCACGTCCCGCTGCTGCCCGTGGCGCCGGGCACGGCCGATCGCCTGAACCAGCGGAAGCTTTCTTCCAGGGATGCACCTGGCTGCCTGAGCCTGACAAGCCTCAGATGTCCTTTCTTTCGCGCAAAAGATGACTCGCCTGCATCTCGTAGCCGACAGCTTTCTCCGCATTGGGCGCCAGCATCGGATGAAGAAAAATCACATGGCTTGCAGCCGTCAGATTGGTGCCTGCAAGAAAAGTTCATAGATTCATTCAGAATGCCATGCCACGCTATGCTCGACTGTCGGCATGTACGAGACGTGCTTTTCCTGCCTGAGGCCGACTGTTGCAGAGACAACAACAGCACGAAGGTGTCCGACTGAGGATTGTTCTGCCAGTCCCGGATAATGCTAGCTCTCCTCAGCCCGCTTGGATGACACGGTTGTCGCAGATTCGATCGCTCCGAGCGGCTGCCCGACACCTCCGTGAAGGACGGCGCAAGGGATGCCAAACTCGTTCAAAGCTGCGCAGACCTGCGCAGTTAGGTCGTTAGGTCGTTCGGTCGTTAGGTCGGGTCCAGCTGGTCCGTCCTTCCGCTTGAGATCGTCAAACTGAACAAAGAGAATCACCTCGAGCCATGAGCCAAGTGGAATGTCGATTCCAAACGTATCCCCCCCTCCTTGGCGGTGTGGTCGGAGTGTCGAAGCTCGTGGAGCTTCTGAACCTCGCAGCATGCGACGCATGTAACTTTATGCGTCAACGTGGAAAATCTGGCAGGCATTTCTTTCGTGACGCAGCATGCCCCATGTGCACCATTGCAGGGTTTGCAGTAGGGTGCAAAGTTGCGTTTGCTTGAAGTTGTGGTCTCATTGGCCGGCTGTGCGATGTGTTGTTGCCGTTGTTTTTTACCCTCTTCATCGCCTTACATCATGTCTTCTTGAATAAGGATCATCAAGCCACAATTTCAGGTACCAGGTGCCAAAAAGAAAGTGCCTTCTTCATGATCCTTGTGATCGTAATGTGCTGTGAGGTTGATCACTGGCAAGAACAGCTTGTTGCTCACGTCGACTGCATGAAGTGCCAGCATGTCCTTCTCGCTGGGCTGCACATTGAGATACAGTACCATCAAACTGTCAGGGAAACTATGCCTCGCCGTCCCTCGTGAGCAGTGTGAGCAGCGCTCGAAGCCCGTTGACTTTTGGTTCTACCATTTTTAGAAATCTGCAGCCCTGCAAAAACTATAAAAAGTCGCAGGGGGGTTGGGGGGGGGCTGCCCCCCTCCCATCCCCCCCATGATGGTCGCAAAAGTGGTGATTCAAATGGCGGGGGCTCTCTGTAAAACGTCTAAAAAGTAATGGAGGGCGGGGAGGCTTGGGGGGGCGGCAGCCGCCCCGATGGTCGATCAGTGTGATGATTCAAATGGGGGGGGCACTCCCCAATGGTCAAAAAAGTGATGATTCCAATTCAGTGAAGCCAAAAGCGAAACAAGTCAAACAACTGTGAAAAACAATCCTAAAAAATATACCCCTCCCGAAAAATGTGAATTTCTCACCCAGCCGCATCCCACGCTCTGAGCCGCCGGACCAGCACCGCCAGCTTCGTGCCGTACTTGCCCAAGTCCACGCCAGAGAGCGGAGGCGCAGCTGCGAAGCACGCGAATCGGCAGCAGGCAATCCAAAACGATTCCATAAAATACTTATTAGTATATTAGGAATAGAATGCAAAGGCAGGTGCGCACTCGTGCGGACCTGTGTCCTTGGAGGAGGAGGACGGCTCCGCCGTGGCGGCGTCCAGCTCTGCCACCAGGGCCCGGACCTTCCGAACGTGCGACGGACGTCTCTCTCTCTCTCTCTCTCTCTCCATCTCTCCATCTCTCCATCTCTCCATCTCTCCATCTCTCTCTCTCTCCATCTCTCCATCTCTCCATCTCTCTCTTCCCGGCGCTGTGACATGAATGAATGTGCTTCGGCATGCTCTTCGCCGCGAAGCCGGAAGAAACACGTTTTTAAGAACTGGTGTTCGAGCATTTCAATTAGCCAGTGCCCAGGAGACATTTGGAAACCAATGCGTGTGAACTGTGGAAGTGGACACACGAACTGAACCTTGCTCAATGCAAAAACAAGAAAATTTGCTGCTGGAATAATGTGGAATCAGAAAGGATCACCCAAAGCCCAAGCCCCATGGGAAAAACCAAAAGGAGAGATAGAACAATGGCACACGGCGAGAGTGGTAGCGAGTCAGTGAGGCCGGCACATCCTTCTGGGAAAGCGGCCGCTGGCCTCGGCGAGGTCGCCGTTTTCCATCGGCAAAGCAACTCGCTGGGCGCGTTGCACAGGCTGCACTTGCTGAACTTGTCCACAGTCTCCCGGAGGCAAGCAATGCCTGAGGTTACATCCATATCTCCAATCTCGTCTCGTGGCGTCACATTGGACTCATTGGACTCATTGGACTCTATGCTCCCGGCAGAAAGTGTGCGCGCACGGGGTGATGGCAAGCTTCTGCAGTGGCAAGTCGTCTTCCATGCAAACGGAGCAGCTGCGGTCCTCGCAAAAGAAAAGGAAATCTCCCGGCCCTCCTGGCTCCCGACGCGGGGAGGCGCCCTCCCCGGCAGGCGCTCCCAAAGCGCGCGCGCGCTCGGGCCTCGGGCTTGCCCTTGGCCATGGCCGCCACGGTGCGCCGGAAGAAGTCCATGGAGCCCGAGGCCTCGTGCATCTCCCAGAGGTTCTGCGCCTGACGCCATGGGATCGGACTCCGGACTCCCCTCTTTCGGAGGACGGCCTGCTCCTTGGCTTGCAGGATCAGCAACTTCTCCAACAAAGCCACCTGAGGAGACACTTTCAGCTGAAGCCTCTTCCCGCCGCCCAGCCGGTGCCTCAAGGGAGCTGTGCATGAGGTTGGACCACTCCTCCACGGAGCCTCCGGACGCAAGCTGACTGACGGAGATTCTGAAAGTGTTGCGAGTTGCACATCGGCGCACTCTGCCTCGCTTGGGACCGTCGGGTCCTAGAACTCTGAGGAGCTCCTCGCCGAAGTCGCCCGGAAGCGAAGCCAAAAGGGAAATCCGAAATCTGAAACCTGATTTGCTCCAGGCTGGCCATTCGAACGGGTCGAAGATTAAATATATCACATTTATGAGGATTGACTCCTGATGCACCATTGAAATAAGTTGTTCGCTTTCACAAAGAACTTCAGAGAGTAAAAGGAAAAGAGCAGCTGGAGACTCTTTGAGAAGTTGTAAAAATGCATTGGGCATTTTCGCTCGGATTTCGCGATCCTCGGACCGGGGCTTGTGGCCGTCGAGGTTCGCCAGAAAATCATCCTCCGGCTCCGCCCGGGCCGCGGCCGCCTCCGCCGCTTCTTCCTGAGAGGCATGAGAGGCATGAGAGGCATGAGAGGCATGAGAGGCATGAGAGGCATGAGAGGCATGAGAGGCATGAGAGGCATGAGAGGCATGAGAGGCATGAGAGGCATGAGAGGCATGAGAGGCATGAGAGGCATGAGACATTGACCCGCAAAATGCCGAAACACGTTTTTTTTGTTTGACGAGAACGAGAGAGACGTGAGAGAAAAGAACCGAAAAGAAAAAAGAGGCAAAAGCAAAAGAGGGAGAGAGACATGATGACATCACAACAGCAAAAGACCAAAGTGGAGACGGTCCGTGAAAGCATTGGACTGAAAGGAAATGCAGCACTTTGGCCTGCCTCACAGAGCAGCTTCGCAGCATTGCCCTCAGCCGTGAGGGTCGCCTGGACTTGGAAAGGGCATGTTCTGTTCTGCTATGTCTGTTGTTTCGGTGTTCTTTCTTTCTTTCCTGCTTTCTTTCTCTGCTTCTTTCTTTCTTTCGGCCCACTCTCTCTCTCCCGAGAGATCTCAACACGAACCCGTGAAGCGTCCTTCATCTTGTCCAGTTCCGCTTCCCACGCCAGCTTCCTTCGCTTCTGTGTGGCCAGCAGCCGCCTCCAGTTCAAAGGCGGACAAAGGAGTCTGAAGGAAACTTGAGTCTGAACTCGCAGCCCAAGCAGCTGAAGCAGCACCATGACGCGGCAGCAGCGGCGCATTTGGTTCCTAGCTCTCACTAGGCGCCGCTCCTGCGAGGCACGACGAGGCTTGAGGCTTGAGGTAGCCTTGGTGTTGCTGGAAAATGCACAAAACTGGCTCTTGAGAATCTGAGAATACTGCCGGGAAACTTGACATCGACTCGATGTTGATTGGGGGCAAGAGGAAAAGCCAAAGCTTGGAAAGGAGAACTAGGGAATGCTCAGTTTGGCTCCTTCTGGTCGAAGATGCGCTCGCACTCCTGGTCGGCATTGCCCACCTCGGCGCCTCCGACCTGAACGAGTGCCACTCCCGGAAGAGTCAAGTGGCTGCTCTGGTCGCGTGGTCTCTCCGGGTGCTCTCCGGGTGCTTTTCTAGCCGACAGCCGGACAGCTGAGCCGCCTGGAAGTGGGAGCAAAGCTTGAGGAGCCGCTCCAAGGCGCTCACGTTGGCCTGGCTAGGCCAACTGGGCCGGGTTTTGCTGAATCGCTCGCCTCGGATTTGAAGGCGTCGCCTCAAAAGCCGCTCTCTCCCTCTCTCCCTCTCTCCCTCTCCTCTTAAGAGAAAGAGAGAAGAGGAAGAGAACAGGAAAGAGAAAGATGTGAAGAGGATGTGAATGCGAAGCGAAGCCCTCGGCCCGGAGAGAAGCTTCGCTTCGCTTTCGAGTCCTGTCGAGTCCGGGGCCCCCGGGGCCCCCTAAGGCCCGGGCTAAGGCCCAGGCCGAGGTCCGCCTCGTGGGCCTGGCCCAGGTACAGCGCGCGCTCCGCGGCCGTGTGCCGCACCACCACGCAGCGCTCCTCGACGCGCTCCGAGCGGCTTGAGCGCTTGGAGCTCGAAGCCGAAGCAAAAAAAGAAGGACCCGGATTTTTGGCTGAGCCAAAAAGAGAGGAGAGAGAACACCGGAAGAGAGAGAGGAAGAGAGAGGGGCAGTTCCTATCGACTTCCTGGGGGAGAGATCACAAACTACAAGGCAAACCAAGTCCGCAAAGGAGATAGCACAACATGCAAAGAAAGAACGGTGAACTGACTGGCTCCAAACTAGAGACGGCAAAAGACAAAGGAACAATTGTATGATCGTCTCACAAAACCGGACAGTTGACTGCTGTTGACCGCTGTTGTGCACGTTTGTCAGCAAACAAAGTGCATGTTCTTCAAGCGCCACAACATCCAAATCCGAAAATCGGCTGTTTCCGGTGCTTTGTAATTTCTATCCGAGCGGTGCTTTATAAAACCAAGCTTGATGGCTTAGAGGTTCACTTGAAGCACCGACATGCCTGAAAGGTACTTTCGCGTCCTAAAAAAGCAATTCTCTGCAAGCCGCGTCTAATGTGTCTTGTGCACAAGACCGTCCTCCAGTCGAATGTGGGGCAGCTCTGCCGTGTTCCTGGCTGACTGGGCCGACTTCGAACAAATCAGCTTGCCTGGGCAGGAGCACTGCCGCACGTAGTCGTCCAGGAAGCGCTGCACGGACTCCGTCAAGAGGCGATCGGACTGCACAAGTGGCATCCCAGCGCTTTGCTCGAAGCAACCCAACGGTGATCCTTTCTTTTGCCCAGATCTCAGAATCTCCCGATCTCCCAATCGTCTCCCATCTCTCTCACCACGCTCCTCCCAAGACTCCAAATCCACCCCGGCGGACGCTAAGTCCAGGTAGCCAGGCAGATCGATGCGGAACAAGGAGGACATGAAGATGGCGCCTCCGAGGCAAAAAGTGGCCAAGGCCGGGCCGTCCGATCGGGGGCCGGCCTGCGTTGTTTTCCACAGGCGGTGTGCCAGTGAGACCCCAGCGGAAGTGGGCACGCAAGAACTGCAGGCTGTTCCTCATGGCACACATTGGCAATTGGCACCGTCGAAATGGGGGCTGAATCCGAGTCGCTGCTGGGTGCTCTCGAAGCTCTCGAGCTCGTGGAACTGAGCCAAAGCCATCCACCCGTCACGAAAATCAACCTATAAACACTATGACTCACTATGAACTGTATTCCAAAGAGAGAGAGAGAGAAAGAGAGATTTGTTTATTTAATTTTTTTTCAAGAGAGAGCTCGACAGCTTGAAGCGGTTCGAGCGCGCCTCGTCGAATACGATGCGATTCCAGTAGAACATCTCCAGCACCGGGAACCTGGGCTCGAGCAGTCGAGCGGTCGAGCGGTCGAGCGGTCGAGCGGTCGAGCGGTCGAGCGGTCGAGCGGTCGAGCGGTGCGCAAGTGGAGTGCAAGTCGAAGCCGAGGCCCACACTCGAGGTCCTGGCGAGCGGGACAGGCTTGTGAACAGAGCAGTCAACGGTGCATTCGGGGCATTCTGTGCGGATTTCGACGAGATGAAGGCTAGAAGTTGGCCTTCCAAAGCCAGTTGCCAGTGCACAGGAAATGCAGACGGAAAGTCGGAAAGTGAAACACATCATCCCTGATGGTGCCGGCCATCACATGGACTTTTGCGTCGGACGATCCGAAACATCTCTGAAAGCTGACGAGTCACGCACTTTGCAGCAGGCATTGAGCGATGCCCTGTTTAGAGCCTTCAGGATCTAGCGTCAGAAGACTTGTACTGAAATTTGAAATTCCCCCCGAACCCTCAACTTGGAAAATATCCTTGAGATCTGCGAACCAGCCCTGACTGCAAAGCGTGCCTGACTTCGAAACGCACGTTGCAGGCGCTCCTTCCAGTCATTGGCAAAGACGCCCGGCTTCCGGCCGCTGGGTAGCCTGCCACCTGCCATCCAGTCACCGGCCGGTCAGTCAATCAGTCACGGCCCCGGGCCTTTCAGCAGCTGACTCACTCGGCCCTGCAAGTTGAAGAGCTCGCCTGTGGAGCCCAGCAGCTCCTAAAGCAGAGAATCGCATCGAGAATCGCATCATGTCAACGCTCCTTGCGGCGGTTGAGGTAGATTTGCGAATACAGGAGCCGGTAGGAGCAAATCACCACGTCCGCACTGGCGACTTCCGAAGCCTGCGATGCGAAGGAAAACCAACAAAAATAAGCAGGACGCCAAAGACGTAATTCCGCCTCATGCGAATCTTGTCTTTGAAGTCTTTGCCTCTCGCCTTGGCCTTGCCGAGGGGGGCCACGTTGCTCATGGCGAAGACCTTCAGCGGGAAGGTGGCCGGGCTCCAGCCGGCCTTCATCTGTGGCCTCGAAAACGGCCACAGCCACGCAGGCGGTCCGCTTTCGGTCGAGGCGCCGCAGGCAGCCGTCCCAGAGGAACTTCCCGATCTCATTGATCCACTGCTCGAAGAGGTTGGAGGGCACGATGATCAGCGTGCCCTACGTCCCAACTACGTCCCAACTACGTCCCAACTACGTCCCAATACATCAATGCAACACGAAAACACAGCATTGCACCTGCGCTGGAAGAAAGTTTCCCCGGTCCACCTGGCTTTCCGACCCCTTGCCTCGTCCCGACTTTGCCGTCCCGCCTTGGGGATCTCTGGCACGGGCTGCCTCAGCTGTCGGTCAATGAGGGCGATGGTCGTCGCCTGGAGATGCCGAACTTCACTTCAGAACTTCAGAACTTCAGCGCCGAGCCCGGCACCGTCTTGCCGTAGCCGATCTTGTCTGCCAAGATGCCGCCGCGCACTGGGTAGGCCTTCGCCCGGAAAGCATGCCGAGGTAAGCCAAGGATCGAAGACCCAGGCAGCCCGGATCCGGAGGTCCAGAACCTGACGGAGGAAATTCCATGTCACACAACAAAAAGAACCTCAAGGACCTCCAGTCCTGGGAATCCCTGCCAGCGGGCACCGCTTCCCCGTGTCGTAGGCATCTGCACGGCGGATCTCGTTGCGCTTGCCCTGAAAGGCATGAGCACTTGAACTGTAAAGACAAAAGGAACGAACGAGGAGAACTGAGCCTTCCAATGTGGGTGGATCGGCCACTTGATTTGCACGGTGGCAGTGTCCTGGTGAGGCTTTGCAGCCCTGGCCCTGTCCAAAAAACTCGGCGCTCCAGCTGGCGAATGAAGATCCCGACCATGGCGTGGGTGACGCCGCCCCACCCAAAGGCTGGGGCCTCAGAAAAATCGCACGGACATCTGGAGCTGGTCGCAGTTCACACTGGTCACACCTGCCTTCAAGTCGGCCTTGAGCATCACCTTGCACCCAGGCCGGATGTCGCCCTGGTCCACAAAGCTCAGGTCCTCAAGCGAAGGCAAGCGAAGGCAAGCAATTCCAAGCCAGGCGCACCGAGGCGTGCCTGTGGCGGGCACGCCACGATGCCACCTGAGCGTACAGCTCGGACCTCTCTGAGCCTCTCTGAGCCTCTTGAGCCTCTGAGCCTCTTGATCCTCTGAGCTTGAGGCAGGCGAAACGCACCACCACCTGCGGGCCGGTGTTGTCTTGCACCTCACCGTTGCCCTGCAGGGAGATCTTCTCCACTGGTCGCCCGTCCTGAGATGACGTGAGTGTGAGGACGCCGTGACGTGGGGTCGCGCCTTGAAGAAGGGCCCCAGTGCGGCACGCCGGACCTCCACCAGCGCGCCAGGCACGAACTGCTCCTCCTCCCTGCCCTCGGCAAGGCGACTGGAGACGTGAGCAGCCGAAAGCGCATGGCCTCAATGGAGTTGGTCTCGAAGGAAGTCCAGAAGGTCCTCCACCTTGGGCGAGTCACACGACGTGGCAAAGCTTCCGGAGGCTCCGGATTCCGAGCGGATTCCGAAGGCCCATGGGCCCGGGCTCAGCCATAAAGGCCTCATCCTGCGCAGCCTCTCGCGAGAGCATCCACTGCAGGGACCTCTGCTGCTCCGGGCGGAGGGGGTGCTTCAAGAAGTGCGGCGGCTGCTCTGCTGCAGCCTGAAACCGGCAAGCAGCAAGACAACTGCAGTCGGACACGAGGCAGACAGTCAAGCAGAGGTGTCGGCAACGCGGAGCTCCGAGCTCCGGGCATCACAGCCGTTGTCCAGGAGCTTGAAGGGCCGCGGCGGCAGCGGCCCCGTGAGGTCCGCAGGCGCCGGGCGCCCTAGGTCCTGCGCGTCCAGCTTCCGCATGCGCCACCCGAAGCTCAGCTCGCCGGGCGGATATCGCACCTCACGGATGCCCATTCCTCAAGCACGTCCGCTTTTTTTTCAGCCTTCGCTAGCATGGTCTCAAAGAGATCGTTGAGCAGGCTCTTCTTCACGGCCACGTGCTGGCCTGTCGTAGGCGATCGCGATGCGATCGCAGTGCGATCGCCGTCAGGCCCATATGGGTCACATGTGGGTCATATTTACGTACCCATGCGTACCCATATGCTCCGCCTTCTTTGCTCAGCTTCAGCTGGCTTTCCAACTTGGCCGCGAAGCGCGGCCGCACGCCCGTCTGAAGCAAAAGCGCACAAGCGCGCGCTTGGGAAAGAGCCTTTGTGTTGGGCTGGGCCTGTGTAGCACAATGCATCTCGCCACTGCTGCTCACCACCTGCCACTCGTCGTTCTGGCCCAGGGACAAACATGGAGGATCCTGGAAGCACTTCTCGTCTTTCTCCGCTCTCTCGCCTCTCTCGCCTCTCTCTCACTCTCTTCTCGCGCCTTCTGCAGAAGTTTTCGGGCCCAGCTGTGACCGAAGGACTGGAAGCTGATGGGGCGCCAGGTGTCCTAAGCGCCGAGTCGAGTCGAGTCGTAATCGCACGGATCGCGGAACGGAGGGTATGTTGAAATCTCTCTGGCCTTGGGTGCCACATCGTAGTGGGAGCCTAGCTCCTCGAACTCCGGGATTGCCTGCAAACCGAACCGTAGTTGTCAACTCGCTGTTCTAGGTGCGTACATGTGATGGATGATGGAACTGTTTTAAACATCCCTGCAACTTCATTTTGAACACTTATTTTTGCTCGATGTGGTTTGTCACACTTTTTCTGGCCGACTGAACAAATATGGGCAGGTTGGGCCGAGTTGGAAAGAAAATGACCGATTCTATGGAAAAGGGTTGTGGTTATCCTTGCAGGCTGTTGTTTTGCATGGACGGCCTGCAAGTGGCTTATCATGCGGGTTACGATCTTTGTGCCCTACCTGGACAATACTTCTGGATTGAAACCCTGGGGTTCGCCAGCTGATGAGGCAACAGAGCTGGTTTTGTGTGATCCTGCTATTCTAGATTTGACAACTTTTTGGGATTTGCGTCCGTTTGCGGGTATTTGCGTCCGTTTTGCGGGTTTTTGCGCCCGATTTGCGGCATTTTTGGGGCGCATGTTTGCGCAAAAACTGCAAATGGTCAGACCAAAGGCAAATAATTGCTTCCAATTCCTGTCCCTGTGCTGGCTCCACTTGTTAACGGCACGAAATTCAGGATTTGCAACAAAGCTAGGCGGTGCCTAGAGCCGCAGGCTCAGCTGCCCCGAAAATGCTTCACAGGGGCGAAACGCGCTGTTTTTTCCCCAACAGCTGAAAGCCACCAGGGTTTTACCAGGTTCTGCAAGGGTGGTTTGGGGTAATTCCGCCAGGGTTCCACCGAGGTAAGGTAAGGTTCCACAAAATTTCTCCACCAGGGTTCCGCCAGTGTTCCACCAGGTTCTGCGAGGGCTGCGGGGTGGTCCCGGGTGGTTTGAGAAGTTCGACCAGGGTTCCACCATTGTTGCACCAGGTTCTGCAAGGGCTGCGGGGTGGTCGAGGTTCTGCGAGGGGTGTGGGATGGTCCGGGGCGAGGTAAGGTTTCAAAGGGTTCCACAGAGTTCCGCGAGGATTCCACAAGGGTTCCACAAGGCTCCAAAAGGTTCCACAAAGGTTCCGCAAGGTTCCATGGTTTGCCCTAAAGAAAAACAATGTGTCGTGCACCCGTCGTCTGCTCAGAAGATCGCCTTGCTCATGGGCGGAACACTAAGCAAAACCGAAGTTCATGGTTCTCAGCACACTTTCAATGTTTTGTGACTTGCTCACTTCTTCAGGCAATGCGGCCCGAAATGTTGGCTTTGTTGCAAATCAGATCACGTTGCTGCGGGACTCTCACTGTGCAGCAGAGTAAATGCTTGGCATTACTGAGTATTACCCCAAGCCCAAAAACGCTCCACGAGGTTTCCACCAAATTGACAAAAATAAGTGGCTGCAGGTCTGTCACTGCCCAAGCACGCAAGCATGTCCATCTTACTTGTGAACATGACAAAACAAGCTGGCTTTAGCAGTCTGTACATAAGCTATTCCAAGGATAGCCGCGAATCATGCCAAGAGCCAATGGGACACGCAGTTGTGACCAGTTGAAGCTTCCCCACCGGGTCATGAGTACCCAAGGTTGCGACGAGAGAAAAAAGGCTGAAACGAAGTAAAGTGCCGCTTGGGGGCCACGGAACACATGTTTGAGCAACTCCATGCAACACCGTCTGGAATCCTCAAACTCCTGGCCTTCATAGCGCAACATGCCTCTTGCTTCAAACCCATGACGTTGCAAGAAAATATGCATCTTCTTAGGATGGCATTATCTTAGGATGGCACATTCTAGCACTCGAACTTCCTGGGATGGCAACCAAGGCAAGCTTGTCGCCAGGTCAACGACGTGGATACATGCTCTGAAACAGCCAGAGGTTGATGCTCAGTACTGGGTACAATGATGCCTTTTTGCACTCACATATCGGTGCTCTTGCCACACCATGCACACGGTTTGTCCTCACTCGTTCGATTCACCTTTTCTTTGTTCCGCATTCGAGCTTCACATTTCTGGCTGAAGTTCATTGATGTGTTTGTTCATATCGATGCGCTAGTTGCATGCGGCGTGTGAAATGCACTCTAGCACCATCTGATAAGCAAATCATGTGAATGCGCTGCTTATCCATTTAGGCGCCATGGTATGCACCCTTACCCATCCGTCAGACATGATCTTTGGCTTCTGCGTCAAGTTTTCTCTTACACAAGCGACGTTTGAGGTGAAGTGCCTCCGCACGAAACTCGCCGTCGCTGGCAGGCTGCGTGTCCGCATCGTCCCGAGGCTCGCCTGACGGGGCCGTCCGACCCGTGCTCCGGCTCCGCCCTCTCTCGATCCTTCGCACTCCGGCTCCGCAGGTAAAGCAGGGGCTGCGGGGTCAGGAGCCGGGGCTGCAGGGGCTGCGGGGGCTGCCGGGGCCGCGGGGGCCGCGGGGGCCGCGGGGCCCGCGGCCTTGCCTTCACTCGAAGCTGCATCTCACGCCTCTTGACCCTCTTGACCCTCTTGGCAGCCCGGCTCGGCTTTGCCTTGGGCTTTGCCTTCGGCTTCGCCTTGGACCCTGGGCCTGAGATGCACTGCTTCACATGTGAACACCCGCCTGATCACCCGCCTGATCCGGCGCGAGGTTCGCCTGGCTCCTCAAGGTCGATGATGCCAGCGCATCCTTTGCCGATTGCCACGCTTCGGTCCGTGGCATCCAATCCCCACCTCCTGCTTCCCCGAAGATGCGGCAAACCGCCAGCTCCACGCTGCCTGCCTGCTGCAAGGCCTTGTGTTGCCCAATGCCCCCTCTCGTGCTTCGTGGGCCGTAAGGCCGCAACCTCACGCCCAAGGCCCGGGCGAGACGCGCGACATCTTCGCTCACGGCGCCCTGCAATGCAAACATCAAGTCGAGGCGCTCGAGGGATTCTCAGAGGCTCGGAGCAACACGGGCCTCCAGCAGCGACAGGAGATTCGCCAGCTCGACATCACCCATAGGCGTGTGAAATTCACGGAATTTGCGTCATGTCACCTTCAAGGTTGCTTGCAAATTCAAGACGGCCTTGGCTGGATGAAAGCTTGGATTCATGAATGGTTCATGTCCCACTATCCTTGCAAAAATGGCAACACCGGCGGATAAAGGCGGGTTCAACACGCAAGAAAGCTTCAGCTGCTGGGATGCTCACCTTTTTTTCCGGGAGTGCAGGTCACTCTGCCTTCCCAATAGCTCCCCGTGCAATGTCCATTGCGAAATGCGAAAGCGGCTCGGCCGGTAGGCCTATGAGAGCCAACTTGGCCTTTGAGCTGCTCTTTGCACCGATCCGATTTCACATCTCATGAAGCCTGATCCTGTGGATCAGGAGCAATCCTCACTAAGTCATCAATCCGCAAGATCGTGATTGCTGCCTCGCGGGGTTAAGAACGAAACATGTTGGAAATTCGACATGCGAGAGCTCTCGGTCTGCTCTCGGTATGTCCACAGCACGTGGTTGCGAGATGACTTGGGCTTCGGTCGAAAGGTTGATAGGATAGAAATCGACTCAGGTACAGGCATGAGAAATGTCACAGTCACGAACACCGCAAACGCCAGAATTACAAGAGTACACAACCTTCATTCATGTACTCAAAAAAAAGTGCGTGGCGCTTGTCCTTTGGACGGGTCGCAGGTCCACTCGATCAACCCAATCCCAGGGGCCTCAGTCGCAAACTTCAGCGACTTGAGCTTGGACACCATCGGCTCCAAGACGCCATTGGTGATCTCAGACAAGTGACAAGGGGTCACCGGGGCCGCGAAGGCCGGTTTTTGCCTGAGGGCCTAAGGGCCTAAGGGCTTATCTCGTGGCTTATCTCGTGGCTTATCTCATGGCACCTGGTTCCTCACCGTGCCGTTCACCAGGTCGAGGCCGTACCATCTGTAGTCCTTCTTCTTGGGATCTGAGGCCTGGCGCTCAGCTCGAGGAGGGCAGCCCAATCCCGCAGTCCCGCATACCGGACCGGCCTGCTGCGACGCATGGTGCCGCACCTGTCCCGCATCTCCGAACAACTTTCCACTTTCCAATTTGGGTGCACCCTCAGCGCTGCCAGGAGGTCGATGGAATCCAAGGCGGCGTTCATAGCCAGCGTCTTCGGGATCGTGAGCAAGGCCTCCCGCGCCAACTCACCCGTCTCGCCCAGCTACACCGTTTTCTGTTTCCATGTAGCCACGGTCACGATGTTTAGATATTTGGTTCGAAAGGACATGGGACAATTGGTGACTCCCTGCCATGTTCCTACTTGCCACCCTCTCCTCGCCTCTGCGAATTCTGCAATGGCCCATTGCTCATAGGTGTCATAGGTACGGGCGTGGTCCTGCACTCCCCGAGACTCCGCAAATGCGAAGGTGCGACGGCAAAGCGGCCTCGAGGTGTAAGCTGAGCGCCGTCTCCACAGCTCCGCCCCCAGGCACCACGGCATTGGACTCCAAAGTGCGCGAAACTGCACACAAGGCGTCATGGACCTCGCGCGCTTGCCCGGCTCCGAGAGTGGAAAGAGTCTGGAAGGAGTCTGGAAGGAGTCTGAAATGAACGAAACCTCGAACTCATGTCAAAATCCGACCACGCGAGGCTCGCGCAGAGCGCTCTGCTTCGTCGAGCATGAATTCATTGGCCCCTCTGATCAGGATGCTGCAGGCCTGTCCAGCATCCCTCTGGAGAATCTAACGAAACGCCGAAAGACCAAGCGGTCCAAGCCCCTTGCCTTGCTTGCACTGCAGCCCTTGATAAAGACAAAGTCATTGTCTCCGACCCGCTCATTCACCACCTGAGGCACGGCTGGCTTTTGACGCTCGCGTCGCGCGTCGCGCGTCGCGCGTCGCGCGTCGCACCGCACCTCATCTGCCTTGCCCATGGCGCTGGGGTCGAAGGACTCGTCGCCTTCGTCCGTTGCCATCGTGAGCAGCACCTGGCACTCCGACCAATCTCCGACCACTCCGACCACTCCGACCACTCCCACTCCCAGCGAAAACAATGCAGCCACCGCAGCGCCTGGGCCCCCGTCACCTTGGCGATGCGCTTGATGTCCTTCTTGTCCACTCGGCGGACACCCAGCACACCCGCCTCAAGCAGCTTGTTGCTTGCATCTCCAATGTGCAGGCGCAAGGTGCAAGCGCCTCCACCAAGTACTTCATGGCAAAATCGTCAATGCCTTTGGTCGTGAAGATTGCATTGACCCCTGCGTCCAAGATCTTTTGAATTTTCTCCTGGCCGAGGTTTCAGATGGTTTCGCCGGGCTTCGGGGTTCGGTTTTCGGGGAGCGCCTTGGTGATGTCCATCTCCTTCTGCCGCACACGCTCCAACTCTTCAGGGTCATCGATGACTATGTTGACGTTCATGGACATGCGGTGCTTCTTGAGGTCAAAATCCAGGAGCGCCTCACTGGCGGCCCAGTGTGCCAGTCGCGCCAGTGGCAGGGTCTCGGCGCCAAGCGATCTTGGCTGGTTTTACCCAGGCCGGCATCTCCTAACAATATGTTCAGAAAAGTAAAACCTCAAAACATGGAAACGGGAGAACCGTCATCCGGAACACTCTCCGACCCTCTCCGACCCTCAGCAAGCCCCTCTCCTGTGAAGCCCTCATGATCTTCATGGCATAGCCATTTGGGACGAGCATCGACTCGTGGGAGCTCTGCCCGTGGGACTTGAGCACGTTGATCTGTGCATGGCCATATCAGAACATATAGCCAACTTGCAGCCAACTTGCTCTGTCCCCGGCACCCGGCCTGATTCACCGGGTACTTGGCCTTGCCCTGCATGTTCACCATCTGGCCATCGGAACGGCGTGCCAGAGCGCATCCCAAGCCATCATCCGTGCCTTCACCGCCTTCACCGCATCCACGATAATCTGACAAAACACGGCCTCGCGCATGCTATCGCGTTCATGCATGACAGGCACGGCACATGCACGGCACATGTGCATGGCACATGTGCATGGCACATGCATGGCACCATGCTGGGCGGCGAGCGCCCTCCGAGCCGATGAACTTCGATGACAGAGTGGTTTTGGCGATGTTCATCAGTGTGTCCTGGGGCCATGAAATGGGCATGGTGTGCTTGCAACACAGGCGCGTGCAGAGTCCTGCTCCAGGGCGTCCACCTTTTGACTCAGATTTTCCTGCGCATGCACTCTCTGCGCTCTCTGCGCTCTCTGCAGACCTCTCGACGTCTGGTCGTTTGGTCGTTTGGTCCTGGATGTATTTGATGGACTCCCGCATGGCCAAGCGGTACCCCGCAATGACGGTCTGGCGTCGAGTCTCGAGTCTCGAACGAGCTGGATGCAATGAGGTCTGGGCTGTGGGATGGATGTTGTTCTTCACCAACTCATTGGCCCGCTTCAACCTGTCGAAAAGATGAGGAAAGCACGCAGAAGATACCAGGTTCAAAGGAAGATCCCCACTGCGCCGAGCGTCAGCTCGGCCGCGATGATGACGACGCTGGTGGTACCGTCACCCACTTCGGAATCCTGGAAGGCCAGATGAAACCGATCCCAAGGAAGCCGAAGGAAGCCGAAGGAAGCCGAAGGAAAGCCGAAGGAAGCCGAAGGAAGCCGAAGGAAAGCCGAAGGAAGCCGAAGATCCCATCCTGGAGATTGGCCAGCTCCACCAGCACCTTTGCTGCTGGGTGCTCCACCTCGCCGAAATCTTGCGCTCGCTGGCGCAAGCAACTTGCGCAAGCAACTTGCACAGGCTTGCCTTGCCTCGAGCTGCTTCAAGATGGTGGCCCCATCGTTGGTGATGGTCACATCTCCCACTTCGTCCACCAACATCTTGTCCAGTCCTTGCGGTCCCAGAGAGGACTTCAGGATGTTGGCCAACGCCTCAGAGCTCGGAGCTTCGCACAGCAAAACCCGACCGCCTCAGGGCGCGCCATCACCGCCGTCACATTGGCCGATCTCACATCCGCGCCGCTTTCGCGCTGGCCTCACTGCAATGGAATGAAATGGGATGCAAATGGAATGAAGACATCAACGGCCCGCCTGCGATCGACAGCCCCAGTTCGGACGCCATGTTCCTTGAGCCGAGATCCTGGACAAAGGTGGGCCTCTGTGTTGGAGCAAGTTGCCTCCATCAGCTCAAACCTTCAAAGGCAGGCAAACACGCTTCACCGCAGGTTCCAAGTTGCTCAGTCGTGAGGTGTTTAACTCAGCGACTCAACTCTCAATAAGAACTGAGCCCGTCTCTCACTGCACACTCGCTCGCTGCAAATGTCCCAGTTGGCTGGCTAGGCAAGGTGAAACTGCATCCGCCCATAAAGACTCAGGGCACCGCCTTCCGGCCCTCAGGTCAGAAAATGCGATGCGCATTGTTTGGCCAGCACGCAAGTGCGAAGCTTGCCGCAGTCGCTTCTTTTTGTGCCAGTACGTGTTAAGTCTCGAAAAATGCCGTCAGGCCATAGCCCCGCGTTTGCGGCTGCTCTTTTGCCTGAGCATCAAAGCGACGCATCCGGCCAGCCCATTAGGGCGGCCGCATTCCAAAAGTTCCTTATTTAAAAAGTGGAACTGGAAATCACCTGGTCGTCATCCTCGGGCTCCTTCGTCAGGATGGGCACCATCAGGCTTCCGCGGGTCTGGCCCCGCAGCAAGGCCTCCACTCGGAGCCTGAGGTCGAGGTCAGTTTCAAATAGGCTCTCCTTCTTCTTCTTCTTGTTTTTCCGTTTTTTTTTTTTATTTATATATGTATATATTTCCTGGTTTCTTGCTTTCTTTGTGCTTGCTCTCTTCTCTTTCCTCGTTTCTCTCCTTTCGGGTGATCTTTCTCTTTCTCTCCCTCTTTTCTCATTCGGCTTCTCCCAGTTTTCCAACTGTCGCTCTCCCGACTTCTGCTGTCGGGGAAGGCGCTGCTGCTGCGCCAGCAGCTCCAGCAGGTCCGCCTGCCGGTTCTGGTCCACCAGCTGGCCTCTCCGACTCGAAGGCACCGAGTCACGGAGTCACCGAGTCTGAGGGAGAAAGGAACAAAGAAAAAGACAACATAAGTAAAAACAACCGAAAGAAAGGACATTCCGAGGGAAAGGGAAACCCAACGTTTTGTCGGAAGAGACTGAGACAACAAGACGGGACATCGGAGTCATGTCTGCAGATTCGGAAGATGGTTCGGAAGATGTGCTTCCGGTTTGTTCCGTCGGAAAAGCAAAAGAGTCCGACACGGCAAACAAGAGATAAGGTGCTTTCAGCACACGGAAGGCGCGAAGCCAAACACTTCTTGGTCCGAAAGGCTCATAGATTGAATCACCGGAAATTCCGAAACCGACACACCGAACCAATGGCGGAGGTTGAGGGGAGATCAAGCTCGGGACGGGAGAAGCACAAAGAAAACAATGGGAACTGGAAAAGGTCATAAAGGTCATGAAGGTCATAAAGGTCACAAAGGTCATAGGGTCATTGTGTCCCGAAGATCTCTCAAAGGGTCCTGCCGCAGTCCCGCAGTCCCGCAGTCCCGCACCTGTGAGGATCTGGTAGCTCTCCGTGGTCAGCAACACCGTGATGTTGTTGCCCGCCTGGAGCCGGCGTGGCGCTTGGCGCTTGGTGCTTGGCGCTTGGCGCTTGGCGCTTGGCGCTTGGCGCTTGGCGCTTGGCGCTTGGCACATGCGCATCCATCGTGTCCATCGTATGTCCATCGTATGTCCATCGCATGTCCATCGTATGTCCATCGTATGTCCATCGTATGTCCATCGTATGTCCATCGCGTGTCCCGTGCCGCCTTCACAATCCTCGCATATTCCAGGCACTTTCCTCAAGCGTGACAGCGTGACTGCGCAGGGCTTCGATTTTGGAACCGATCAAACATGGATTCGAGTTGCTCAAGGTGCGCAAATCCTCCACATCTTCTGCCAAGGACGCAAGCGAGCTGATGTCCACTTTCACCGTGGGTCCGGTCTGATTCCTCGGAAGGTCACGGCATGAGGCTCGGAAAAGCTCGACATTGGTCTCATCTGTCTCGGAAACATCTGTCTCATCTGTGCGAGATTCAGGCAGCGATGATCTATGAGCTTGTGATGGAGCTCCACCAAGAACTGCAAACCACCTCAAACGTAGCCCGACGAGACCAGCGCCGACGAGCGATCCCTCGATCCCTCGCAGTCGGCTCCCGACATTTGAGGCCCAGGTCTTCGTTGCCAGTGCAATTGGTGAGGAAGAGAGGAAGATAAAGAAAGATGAAGGCCTTGTGCATGTGCCCATCAAGCAGGAAGATCTCATACAGTGCTTCCTTGGGCAGGTCCCTTCGATCTCTCGCTATGCTTCCGCCATTCCGCTCGAAAATCGAGGTCCCTTAACGCGTGCCACGGCTCCCTTTCTCTGTCCGCAAGTTGCGCCCAGCTCTCCTGGATGACCTGCAGCCGCTGTGGCTCCAGCGTGCCTCAGCTGAAGCGAGAAATCCCTCTCGATCCAAACGAACAATTGGCGTGACACGCGACAAGCGGCGACAAGCGGCGACAAGCGGCGACAAGCGGCGACAAGCGGCGACAAGCGGCGACAAGCGGCGACAAGGCCCAGTAAGCGCAAACAAGAGGCGGGTGAGGCAGGCGAGGCGAGCGAGCACCAGATGTGCGGGCTGCTGCACTGGCATGTCCAGCGCCTCTGCTCGGCTGCCAATGTAGTGCCAGAAGACGTCCTGCGGTTCCTGGCCCTCGGAACATTCAGAATCCCAGGAGAAAAAAAGATGGAAAGCCAGCTGGGCACGAAAATGGGACTCGCTCGCACAGCCAGCTTCCCGCCAAGCTGCGACGATGTCTTGCAGGCATCGCAGGGCACGCAGCACTGTGCGGCCATTCAGCTCCTCAAAGAACGGTTCACAGTCAGCGTCAATGCGGATGCAGCCCCCTTTCGAATGCCAGGCCGCATTCAGAAAGAGCGAGCCGTAGAGCGCATCGTCCCGCTTCATTGCGCCCGTCACCTGAAAAGAGACACATGTCTTCCAGGGTCCAAAGCTGCACGCGTCTGAGCCAGGCACCCCGCACAGAATGCAGACATGAGTCAGCAAAAACATCCTCAGCTTGCAAAACCTGCCTGCACTCCTGCATGCCATGCATGCCACGCATGCCATGCATACCACGCCCAGCCAAGCGTCTTGTACACGTTCGTACCCTCTGCCTCGATGCTGCTCTGCAGCATCCAAACGGAGTGCGGATTGTTCTCGCCCTGCAGGAACTGGGCGAAGTTGAAATCCCCGAGCATCCGCACCTCGTGTAACTCCGAGACGAGAACGGAGAACGCGACACCGCGTCCCGACGATCACCGGAACGGCCGCTGGAAATCTCGACATCTCGCCGCATAGCTTGCTGCATTGCGCTTGAAGATGACTTGCTCGCAGGCACTTTGCCATTTGCATTCTGTTTGAACAAAGAAAGCAAAGAAGAAGGAAATGATCCGAGTCCCCGAAAGCATGGCGAAGGGTTCTTCCGTTGGGTTCATGGGAGTTGCCATCATGAGAGTCATTGCGAAGAGTTATCATCATCAGAATCATGGCGCAGAGTCATCATCATCATCATCATCATGAGAGTCATTGCACAGAGACATAGCACAGAGTCATTGCACGGAGTCATTGCAAGGAGTCATTGCACAGAGTCATTGCACAGAGTCATTTGCTCGATCCATTGCGCAGAGTCATTGCACAGAGAGTCACTTGCGAGGTGCAATGCTTGTGAAAGTCACTGGCGAGGAGCAACGCTCGTGAGAGTCACTGGCGTGGAGCAATGCTCATGAGAGTCACTTGCGAGGAGCAATGCTCGTGAGAGTCACTGTCGAGGAGCCATGCTCATGAGAGTTCTCATGAGACGAGATTTAGAACCCTTTCTTCTCTTCTTAGGGCGGCGGGGCAGGGCCGACAGCACTCTACGAAAGTCAACCTTCTGCGAGGATCGGGGCGGTCGTTAAAAACTAGGGACTTTTAACGTTGTTTTAATCTGCGCGCGCGACGCTCTGCGGAGATCGGCGTGGTCGATGTTAAAAACCTGAGAACATTTTGCGATTATCTGATCTGCGTGCACGACGCTCTGCGGAGATCGGCGGGGTCGACGTTAAAAAACTGAGAACACGTTGCGATTTCTGATCTGCGTGCGAAAAACTGAGAACATTTTTCGATTTCTGATCTGCGCGCGCGACGCTCTGCAGAGATCGGCGTAGTCGATGTTAAAAAACTGGGAACATTTTGCGATTTCTGATCTGCGCGCGCGACGCTCTGCGGAGATCCGCGTGGTCGATGCAAAAAAACTGGCAACATTTTGCGATGTCTGATCTGCGCTCGCGACGCTCTGCGGAGATCGGCGTGGTCGATGTCAAAAAACTGAGAACCATTTGTGATTTCTGATCTGCGCGCGTGACGCTCTGCGGAGATCCGCGTGGTCGATGTTAAAAAACTGAGAACATTTTACGATTTCTGATCTGCGCACGCGACGCTCTGCGAAAATCCGCGTGGTCGATGTTAAAAAACTGGGAACATTTTGCGATTGCTGATCTGCGCGTGACGCTCTGCGGAGATCGGCGCGGTCGATGTCAAAAACTGGGAAATTTTTTTGATTTGTGATCTGCGCGCGCGACGCTCTGCGGAGATCGGCGTGGTCGATGTTAAAAACCTGAGAACATTTTGCGCTTATCTGATCTGCGTGCACGACGCTCTGCGGAGATCGGCGTGGTCGATGTTAAAAAACTGAGAACGTTTTTCGATTTCTGATCTGCGCGCGCGACGCTCTGCGGAGATCGGCGTGGTCGATTTAAAAAAACTGAGAACATTTTACGATGTCTGATCTGCGCGCGCGACGCTCTGCGGAGATCCGCGTGGTCGATGCTGAAAAACTGAGAACATTTTACGATTTCTGCGGTTCACGGACTTTTCACGATTCCTGATCTGCGCGCGCGACCATTTGCGGGGATTCGTGTGGTCGAGCTTAAAAAACTGAGTTTTTTTGCGCTTTTGACATTCCAGGATGAACCGTCTGCGGGGATCGGCGTGGTCAAAGCGCTCTCGCTGCGGCGCCGTGCGAATTTGCGAAGTGCCCGATGAACCCTCTGCGAGGATCGTGCGTGTCGAAGTGCTCCCGCTGCGGCGCCGTGCGAATTTGTTGCTTGCGAGCTGGTCTTTGGAAGTTGTCGCGTAGTTTGCGCGGCTGCTCTCGGAGTCGCGCGGTCGCGGGTTCGATCCCCGCCTGGTCCGCGGCAGCTTGTTTAGACAGAAATCGCAACTTTTAAGTGCAAACGTAGTACGCGGAGTACAGTCCTGCAGCTCTGGCTGCGTAATGGAACTTTTCAAGTAGAAAAACTAGTACGCAAAGCACTTCCGCACTTGCGCGGAGCAACTTGCACAATGCGCTTACGCAGAGCAACCTGCGCAAAGTAACTTCCACAGAGCACTTGCACAGAGCAGCTAGCACAGATCAGGCTGTTCCGTTGGGAGAATTATTATCATGCGAGTCATTGCGCAGAGCCATCATGACAGCCATCGCATAGAGTCATCACACAAGAGTCATTGAACGGAGTCATCACGAGAGTCATTGCACAGAGTTATGATGAGAGTCATTGCACAGAATTATCATGAGAGTCATTACACAGAGTCATCACATATGTGTCATTCTTGGCGCGCTTGGCAAACTCGCGTAAGGGGGGGTCCGATAGGTGGCAAGATAGCAGGATGCTGGCCCGACTTGTCGTTGCGTACTGCTCGTGACCAGGTCAGGTTTTGCGAATCTGTGGCAGTGCTATCTCAGCATCGGCTCAAGCGCATATCATGGAGAGCGAAGTAGCTAGACTCCAGGCAGGCGCGGCTTGTCGTGGCCTGCCGTGGCTTGAAGGCGAAACCGCAGCCAAGCGCAAGAAGAGAAGGACATGGTCTGGGGCCGGAGGTCGCGAGCAACAAGCGAAAGTGAAGTGCCTCTTGTTCCAGAGTAGAGGAAACGCCTTCGAAAGTGAAGTGCTCCTCTTGCTGTAGCTGATGGCTGCTTGTAGCTGACAGATTGCGCATCGAGCAAAAAACTTGCGCGGGAACAATCACGGGGCTGTGATGCTTTCCGGCCAACCGTGGTCTAGTGCTTTTTTGTTGGAGGCACGGTGGCGGTGACGTGGTCCAAGGCTTCGGTGTCTAAGGAGGCGATGGAGGGCATGTAGCACTCCAAGCCCTCGATGGCGTACTCCAAGACCTTCTCCGGGCTGCGGCGCTCGCTGGGCGGGCACAGCTTCGCGAAGTCCGAGTTCTTGCTGAGCCCGCCTTAAGCTCCCGGAGCTCGCTCTTGGCAGCTTGTTTTTGGCAGCTGTTGCTCTCTCTTGTTTTTACGTTTGATGTCGTTGGGTTCTTGGGTTCTGCCTATGTCTTCTATGTCTTCCATTTGTCCTGTGCTTAAGTCATGCAAGCTCTCTGAGGCTTTGGCGGAGCCCCAGCAGCACCAGCACAGCGATGAGCTCTTGTGAGCTCATGCCCTTTGGGTTGATTAGCTCCTCGCGTTCGGAATGCAAAGGCTGGGTGGAAAACCTTTCAAAACACATGCGTTGACATGCGTAACACAGGCGTAACAAGATGTCACAAGTCATCTGATTGCCCACTCTGTCCCGGATGGCTGACCAGGTACTTCGAGTCAGGCGCTGCTCCGGGCTTTGCAGGGAGGTTATCTGCTCGTAAGAATCCTGACGGGAAACCAGCCCATGCAACAGATCCATACCCAAGGCGCCAAGGTCAATGTGTTTCAATCGTTTGACAACTCGATGCGAACTCTTTGCACTCACTGCACTCACTGGCACTGGCATTCACTCGATGCTTGTTTTGAGACGTGTCCAGAGATGTCCTGGAGGAGCCAAATGGCGCTGAGCACGGAGAGCTGGGCACGCTTGGCTTCGTCCTGGTGCTGCAGCTGGGAGTAGAGCCCCGACTCCTCCTGCAGCTCGACAATGCAGCGGACGATGGCATCCAGCAGCTCCTGCGAAATGCAAATTCACGTCACGCGACGCAAGATCCATGGGAGACCTCGAGACACCTCGAGACACCTTCGTGACGCTTGCTGGCTCACGGCATGCGCTCCGGGACCGACTGCACGGAGTGGACCTTCTCCATAAGCATACTGAAGTCCACGGCCTGAGTCGAGAAACTTCGATTCCGTGCTCCTTTCATCGGCTTCTCTTTTGTTCGGTTCCTCTTTTCGTCGTTTTAAGCCATTTGAAGCCATTTTAAGCCACAAGCAAAGGCCAGAGTCGAGTCAAAGCTGAATTGTTTACAATATGTTCTTCCGCTTTTGCCTGGGTGTTCTTGAGGGCGTGCATGCGGCTGGTGCCGGGCATCAGCAGCTCGCTGATCTGCGTGAGGCTCGTGGCCTCTTGGACCGCCTCCGACGGCAGCAGCTCCCAGCACACCTCCTCCGACACCGCCCGCCTAAAGCGCCGACCCAACGAAATCGGACAACGGATCCGATCCGGAACGGAACCGGAACTGAACCCGGAACGGAACCCGGAGGAAAGGCGAGAAAGAAGAACCACGGAAGAGGGCCAACTTGGGGCCAAAGAGAAAAGAAAGAGGAAACGAAGAGAACTGCGAGAAAGCAGACGAACACCATGCTCCCCAGTCCCATGAGCCGAGCCGCTGCTGCCGCAGGATACTCACAGCATACCTCGAGAAACCCGAAGAGCACATTTCCGAATACAAGCAGAAAAAAGAAAAGGAGCACACAGCCGAAACATCCGACATCTCCGACATCCGGGGCCGGGGCTCATGGATCGCCACCACCACGGCTGGGGACTCCTTCACTGCCTGCATTCCGATGTCACCGCCACCCGGCCCGTCACCCGGCCCGGGCGGCAGAAAAAAAAAGAAGGAAAAAAACAAACGCCTGGGCGAAGTCGTTGGCCGAAGCTGAAAAAGCCTTGGCGTAGGTCTTCGAACTCAGCGACGCCGAGTGGGTCCTGAGCTTCAAGGCAGGGAAAGGATTGAAAGGAGTTGGCTTTGAATCATGATCATTTAATTTGTTGGGTGAAGCGGGTGATGGGCGTTTACGCTTGGTTTTTGAGGGGCTTGGTTTAGGGCTGACCTTTTGGGGGATGGTGGGATTGGCGGAAGAATGATTTCGTCTTGGTTCGGGTTGGCTTGTGGATGTTTAGCGCTCAGACTGGCTGGGATTCATGGCTTCCTTCACTGCTTCAAATTTTGGATGCTGCTTCGGGTTTAAAGCGGATTCAACCGTTCTTCTGAGCATGGCTTCGAGTTGGCTCAGGTTTGCTTAGAGTTGTCCTTGGCCCGGCTTTGGCTTGGCTGGAGGTGTGTTTAGGGTTGGTTTCAGATTGGTTGAGGCTTGATTTAGCGTTTGTTTAGGTGATGTGTTGGATTCAGGATTGAGGGTAGGCTTGAGCCGTAATTTGTGGTTGAGACAAAGTGCAAACAAAATGCCCCAAAGATAAGCTCCGTACAAAAGCCTTCTCTCTTGTCCAGTGGCAAGTCTGTGTAGAGGGCCAACTCCTTAGACAGGTCGTGTGGCCTACTGCGATGCGCGCAATGCGCGCTGCGATGCGCGTGATGCGCGCGATGAGCGCGGCCAAAGGCACCCCCACCCAGCTGTCTTCCCGCAGCTCCAGCCCATCCTCTTGCATTTCATACAGCGAAATCCTTCCATCCTCCTCGACACGACTCGACGCACAGAGTGCAGCAGAGTGCAGCAGAGTGCAGCAGAGTGCACCAGAGTGCACCAGAGTGCAATGAGTGCGGCGTCAGACAATGCGCAAGACGTCAGACAAAGCAAAGACGAGCAAGCGCCAAGAAACGAGGGAGAAAAAAAAAGGAGAAAAAGAAGAAAAAAACTCTCCTCGGAGTGGCCGTATCTGCCGGAATTGGTGGTCGGGAGGTCTGTGGCCTGGAGCGTCCAGCGGCCGTTGATGGTCACGAAGAGGCCCTCCGCCTTGCGCCCCGAGTGGAAGATCTGCTCCCCGAGCACCGCGATAAAGGTGCGGAAGGCCGAGGTCAGCTGCCCCGACACCGCCAGCCGTTCCTCACGCGAGCCGAGTCCTCCCATTCAAGACACCTCCGAAAATCTTACTCCGAATCGGGCATCCGAATACCGAATCGGGCAACACGAATCGGGCACACTTTTTTTTTGTTCAGGGCTCATCCATGAGGAGGCTGAAGAAGCTGTGCCGGGAGAGCTTCTGCCCCGTCTTCACCACCCGCAGCTCCTGGACCAAGGTGCCTCGGAAGAAAGGAAGAAAATGGAAGAAAGGAAGCGCAAACGATTCGAGGAAAGCTCGACAGTCGAGCCAAATTTCGAGCCGCTTGGGAGGAAGTTTAGCGCCAAGGGGTCCTTCACATCCAAAGGCGACTCCGCGGAGTTGAGGACATCGTCCAGCGCCATGACCATCCGCCTGCATGTGTCAGGCTTGAGAACTCTCAAACAAAAATTCGGAACACCCGTAAAGAAGAACACAGCGTATCTTGCCGGCTCTTTCGGCCAGGTGGCGCGTTGAGCTGCGCCGGCACCGAAGTCTTTCTCAGCCAGCGCTGCAGGTCGCGCTTCACGTGCTCTCGCTCCTGGCGCGGAGCCTTTCTGACGTGTCTGCGCATCGCAGTCTGCGCAGTCGCATCTGCGCATCGGCACTACGCACTCGCGTCCTTGGCCTTCTCCTTCATCGAGTTCAGCGTGCCGCTGATCTTTCCGATTTGGGCGCCCAACAAGGGCAAGCAGGACAAAATGATGACCTGTCCCCATCCGAAGCGCATCCGAAGCGACTCAGGCAAATCCCCTCTCTAAGTCATGCAAGGCGCCAGAATCAAGATCTGCTCTAGCTCATTCTGAGCGCGGTAGGGGTACGGAGCTGGGGTATACTCGGCCAGGACCAGGTTGAAAGACATCCTCGCCGGCCAGGCAATTGCAATTTCATGCTTAGCTTCACAAAGAGCAAATCTGCGAATCCCATCGTCCCGTCGTCCCATCGTCCCGTCGTCCCGTCGTCCCGTCGTGCTGGACAAGTGCTCGCAGTGACACAAATGACAAACACATCTCATAAGTCTTGTGCGAGCTCCAAACAGCCAAGGCGCATGTACTGGAAAGGATGGCTTAAGTCGAGGACAAGGTAGGTGTCAAGCCAGTTTGGCATGTCTAGACGCTTGCCAAGGCGTCCGACGTAGAAAATTGTACAGGCCAAGCAGTGGTTGGCAAGCAAAATCACCGCGACGCATTGGAGGATGGTCGACCAGTAGATGAAGCTGATATTGCCCCGCGCTGCCACTTGACTCTCCATGCTGGCCAGCATCTTAGAAAGGCTTCAGATGGCTTCAGCTTTCAATCCTTTTGGGGCCCGTCTCCTTTGCAAGTGCAGCTGGGGCGCAGATCGGAACTTGGCGGTGCGGAGCAGGCGGAGGGCCCGGAGAAGCGCTACGTCTCCGTTCTCCGACACGAGCAAAACTATGTCCACCACTACGAGGGCGAGGTCCAGAGGCATTTTCCGTCCTCAGACTTCAGAGTGTCTCTCGCAATGTCTCTGGAACATGTGTGCCTATGAGGCTGATGCTTGCCAAGACTCTGAAGAACTGAAAGTAGTCCTCCCTGCCACTCCCTCTCAGACGCAAGAAGACTATGGACATGACGATGTCCATCAGCCAAAGCCCGGGAGTGACTTGGTAGTAGGTGGACAAGGTCCCGCCCAATACCTCCGGCCAGCCCAGGGAGGCCGGCACGAAGATCAGGTCCATACTGACCAAGAAAATCGTCAGGCAGTTCCAGAACATGGTGAGTAAATAGATCCCGCTGATGTTGTAGGAACCTCGCACGTGGCAAAAAAGGTGCGGGAACTTGGGATAAGTCTGAGTGCGCACGTGCGCGTGTTTCTAAGCTGGGCCCCAGGCAAAAGGACTTCACGTGCTCGATGGTGGTACGCCTTCTCTGAGATTTGGCCACCAGCATATTCCTGGCACCTCAGATGCACGACTCCGAACCAAACTGGGGGTCTGGGGGCCTTGGGGGCCTTGGGGGCCTTGGGGGCCTTGGGGGCCTTGGGGGCCTTGGGGGCCTTGGGGGCCTTGGGGGCCTTGGGGGCCTTGGGGGCCTTGGGGGCCTTGGGGGCCTTGGGGCCTTGGGGGCCTTGGGGGCCTTGGGGGCTTGGGGGGCCTTGGGGGCTTGGGGGCCTTGGGGGCCTTGGGCCTTGGGGGCTTGGGGGCCTTGGGGGGCCTTGGGGGCGTTGGGGGCTTGGGGGCCTTGGGGGCCTTGGGGGCCTTGGGGGCCTTGGGGGCCTTGGGGGACTTGGGGGCCTTGGGAGCCTTGCTGGATTTGGGGGCCTTGCGAGCCTTGGGGGGGGGCCTGGGGGCCTTGGGGGGCCTTGGGGGCCTTGGGGGGCCTTGGGGGCCTTGGGCTTGGGGGCCTTGGGGGTTTTGAGGGCTTGGGGGCCTTGGGGGTGGGGGCTTGGGGGCCTTGAGCCTTGGGGGCCTTGGGGGCCTTGGGGGCCTTGAGGGTCTGGGGGTCTGGCTGTAAAACTGGTTGTAGATGGCGGTGGCGTCCTCCTCGCAAATCACAAAGCGCTCGCGCCAGTGCTCCAGCAAGCGGAGGCCTCGGGAAGGCCAATGGCAGGGCCAAAGGGTGGAAGGGCGGAAGGGCCGAAAGTGAAAAAGGAGGCCGAACTGCCCGAATGCCCGAAATGCAGCCGAAGCGTCCCGTCTTGGCGGATTTCTTTTCTTCCTTCTTGGAGTACTCCGTCGCACGGCTCTTTGCGGCTGACTTGAGCATCACAGGTGCACCACTGGCCGAGAGCTCGAATTTCTCCTTAGAGTGGCGAACTGTGCCTTGGACCCAACAGGCCCAACGGGCCCAACGGACCCAATCCGCCTCGCGAGGCCTTCGAAACATGGCCAAGTGTCTGAGTCCTCGTCGACCTGAACATCGAGAAGTCTTAAATGATGCAAATCATGCAAATGCTTGGCACGGGCGACTGCGCCTTCGAGGATTTGACCCTCGTCGTCCTCTTCTCCTCTGTCTTTCCATTCTCGGAATTGACCAGGCTTAGAACGCCATGCGCAGCAGAGTTGATGCCCTGATTAATCTCCAGCAGCGCCTCGATCGGAAATCTCTCCCAAAAGCTCCCTCCAACAAGTTGAAGCGCAAAAGCCTAACGACGCAAAGTGCGCAACGAGCGCAAAGTGCGCAACGTGCGCAACGTGCGCCTGGACCGAGGCCTCGAGCTGCTGCTGCCAGTGCTGCAGATCCTGCAGCGCGCCTCAGCCGAGTCAGCCGAGTCGCGAGTGAGCAACGGGAAGCGGTCCAAAGGGGAAGCATGGACAAGAAACGAGCACATGACACACCCCGGTCCCAATTGCAAAGCACAACTTGGGCAAATGGCATCAACAAAATGTGCCATCACGCAAGTGATTACGAAGCTTGAACTTGCTGCACCAAGTGTCTGCACAAAGGTCTGAAACACTCAACTGCTCGTCTCCAAAAAACAATGCAGCAAGGTATACAGACATATGGAGCAGGCCCGAATGCAGTACCCGCTACCGGCATCCAAAGGTGGGGTGTTGGGAAAACTGCCTGCGACATGCCTCCAAGGCGCTCATGGGTCCGTCAGCCATTGGAAGCGCGCTCACATATGGCTTCAAGTGTCAAGGGCTCCACTAGAAAAGCACTCCATGAAGTCCCATTGCCTTCTTGGGCCTTCTTGTGGCTCATGTGAAGAGTTGTGAGTTGCACGCTGATTCGCTCGATCTTTCAAGAGTTCGACGCTAGAGAGTGGGGCGCGGGAAAGTCTAAGTTCCTAGTGACGAGCTCTGCTCGGTTCGCTTGCATGCGGCCATCTTCACACTTTTGCTGCTCTCTTTGGAGTGTCTAGTGGGCATTCCTTTGGATTGCCGCTTTCGCCGCTTTCGCCGCTTTCGCCGTTGCCTTGGGCAAACGCTGGCTTCACGCCAAAAAACGTGTTCCGATGGCCACTTCGGCACTTCGGCACTTCAGCACTTCGGCCATCGGCCTCGCGTGTAGGCTTGGACTTCGAGCACCGAACTCGCTACACGTGGATCGACTCGAACATGTCGCTCTGGCACTCCTCGGATGGCTCCATTTCCGTATCGGACATAGCGAAAAGTCGCCAGGCCAAGTGGCTGATACAAAGACGGAGGTTCTCGCACGCGGGACTTTGGCCAAAATAGCAGACTCCAGGCGGGTCCTCAAAATAACGGAGAGAAGCAACACAGTCGCTTGCAATGCTGCAAGGTAGTAGTTTTCCTAGGACTCCTTGCAATACGATGTGTGCGTGTTTGCCGCTTTTGCCGAGGGGCTGCTGCTGCGCCAGCTGCTCCAACATGTCCGTGCTGCGGGTGTGCTGCACCAGTTGACCTCTGAATTGCATGGCAGGCACTTCGAACAAGCCATGCCAAGCGTTGCTTCACGTCCGCGCATATAAACTGTCGAACCTCACCCCATCCAAACTTCTGTCCCTCGGGCGTCTTGTTCCCTTCCCTCAGTTTTGGGTGCCCTTCAACTGCAACCAAGAAGTTTACGTAAACGCCTTAACGTGGCATCTGGACCCTCTCTCCCAAAACTGGGTTTTCTAGTCCCAACCTTTCCGAAGTGAAAAAGATCTCCAAAATGGATGGCTGCTTCAAGGCTCAGAGAGTTTCCCAGCTCTCAACCCCCACCTCCAACCCCCGCACCGTCTTTTGGGAGGAAAAGGCTGCAGCATTCTCTGACGTCACCTCCGATTTTTGGTGCCCGACCTGTCAGTACCTGGTAGCTGGCCGAGGTCAGCAGCACTGTCACGCCGTTCTCGTGCCTACCCGGACAATCTGGAAGGCGGACACCGATTGACATCAAGTTGGGGGAACAACGAGAAATGGCAATGGAAAGAAGAAAAAGAGAGGAAAGAACACACATTGACTTGTGAAGCCAAATGCGAATTGTGAGAAAAGGTCGAGTTCGTGGAACCAGATTGATGATATCCAAGAACGGGGAATGGGAGAAAAACACGTTGCAAGCCATCTCCAAGCCTCACAATCTTGGCGAAGTCGAAGCACTTCCCTCGGAATCTGAGGGTTAGTCCGGGGAAACAGAGCTACAGCAGCCATTGGCTTGGCCGCCATGTGCGCACTGAAAACCGCAACTCGCCACCCGATCCAAAATCCGAGGGTCGGAGGGTGGGGACGTCCTCGACGTCTTTCATGACCATCGCCAGGGAGCTCATGTCCACCCGCACGGTGGGACCGGAGAGCATGAGGCACTTGTGCCTCAGCAGCTTCTCGTAGATCTCCACCAAGAACTTCAACCCCGCCAGCAGGCCCACATCGTGGTTGGCCCGCGCATTGGTCAGGAAAAGGGGCAAATATGCGAACATCAGAGCCTTGTGCGCATGGCCGTCCAGCAGGAATACGTCCATCAGCACTTCCTCGGCTTTTTCGTGCTTGAAAAAGCTCCAAAGAATGCTGGAGATGCTGGGAATGGCTTCCGCTGAGCATCTCTTTCGCGCCCTGTCAGGTCTAACCATGCCTTCTGCAACTCCACGATCCCTTGCGGCTCCACGCATCCTTATGCACGTCGAAACCCATCAGACTCATCAGACTTTCAGAATGTAAAGCCAAAGATCGGGTGAGGCAAGCCAAGCGTGCCAGCACCAGGTGCGAAGCAGTGTGCACGAAGAGATTCAAGGCCTCAAGGCCCAACGGCACTCGGCACTCAACACACGCTTTGCTCAGCCCCGCCTCGGCCCTGCTGGTGATGTAGCGCCAGTAGACCACATGCGGCTCCAAATCCTGCGAACATCGCGACATCCGTCGCTTACGCTCTCTCTCTCTCTCTCTCTCTCTCTCTCTCTTGTCAAACTACATGCTTCACTTTGCACTCTTGTTGCATGTATGTTCACTACCGCAGGCCTTGAGCTTACTACTCCGCACGAGTCAAAAGGTTGGCAGCTGCAGACTACATTGGTTGACTGTTTGTTTGAATACTACAACACTTGCACTTGTAAGCAAAGTAACAACTGATTTTAACGTGGTAGCGGAGCTGAGATCCTAAACATAGGGGAGCTCCAGTAAGCAGTATGTACTACAACCACAGCAACAGCAGCTACATGCCAAACTACTACGACATGTCAGGAGAAGCAGCATCAGCCTCAGCACAACAAACTACAGGAGCAGAGAACGGGCCAACAGCAGACACAGTAGGAGCCACGACTACGGGAGCAGGAACAGAACAAGACAACAACGTTCAGAGACTACATAAATACAAACTGCCACCACCCTTCTTCACTGGTGACTACTCCCAGTATGAAGAATGGCCGTTCAAGCTACAAGCATAGCTCGGCCTCATAGACCGAGACTTCGACCTGGTGCTACAACTAGCACAAGTGGCTACACGACAGATTGAGGACACAGACATCAGAACACACATCCTCGACCCTACACAAGCAAGCAAAGCAGTAGACCTCTCCAGAGATCTACACTACATCCTCATCAACATCTGTCAGGGAGCAGCAGCTACAGTAGTAAGGCAAAACCGCTACAACGCAAACGGATGTGAAACACTACGACTGCTACACAACAGGTTCAGCCTACCAGTAGGAACAACTAGCGTTGGTCACCTTACCAAACTACTGGAACCCACATTCAACGAAGCGCAGTTTGAAGAACAATTTCTACAATGGGAATACGACATCAACCGCTACGAGAAAGACAATGGATCAGCACTACCAGATGGAATCAAAATAGCAATACTACTCAACAAAACCAAAGGAGCACTGCAGCAACACCTCCAACTGCGAGCTGGACAGATCACGAACTACATCGAGATCAGAGCACTCATCCTGGACTACTACAAAACGATTTCAGCCTTCACTAGATCTACTTCAGCAGTAGGAACAAACTACAATGGAGGAACTGCACCAATGGATGTTGACAACATATGGAGGAAAGGAAGAAGCTACAAAGGCAAAGGAAAGGAAAAGGCGGCTACAAAGGAAGCAAGAGCAAAGGCAAGTACAGGAGTAAAGGACACTACAAAGGATTCGACAAAGGCAGCAAAGGAAACTACAACAAAGGAGGATACAACAAGAGCAAAGGAAAAGGCTACTCAGGATCCAAAGGATATGGATCAAGCAAAGGCTACAAAGGCCAAGGAAACTACAGCAAATCAAAAGGAAAAGGAAACAACAACTACACAACATGCCATCGATGTGGCAAGCCCGGCCACTGGGCACAAGACTGCAGAGTGCCGGTATGGCACATAGGAGAAGGAGAAGAACTACATCCACTAGAACAAGAACAAGCAGATCACGACAACAATGATGAACTACCTCAGGATGTGAACGACACTTGGGACTGGTACTACGAAGGAGAAGAAGGACAACACGAGGTGAACTACATGGAGGAGAACTGGAACGACTACGACTATGACAACAGCTAGGATTGGAATGACAACAGCTATGAGGACACAGCGAACTACATTGGAGGCATCAACGAGTCACACCTCACCATTGGACACATCAGACAAGCAAAATCACGACTACACAAGCACAAATCCAAATCACTACTTGGCAAGAGAACAACACACACAACATCATGGAACGACCACAGCAAGAGCTTTCAACAAGTCCTACAAGAAGACACCACAAAGCTACACTTCGACATAGCAGCAGCAAGACAACAACAAAGGAACAAGAAGATTGAGGACACTATCACCCACTACATCATGTACTCCAACTTCAAGTCATACCACCACCTGTTGATCGACTCAGGAGCATCTACACATGTTTGCCCAAAGGACTACGCACCGGATCTTCCACTACGACCTTGTGGAGAATCAGTTCCACAACTCTACACGGTTACCAACAAGAAGATTCCTGTCTACGGCATCAAGTACGTTCCCTACAAGCAGGACAACTTCAGGATCATGATACCCTACTACGTTTGTGATGTGAAGTCTCCAATCCTCAGCGCATCAAGACTACTTGATAGAGGATATGGACTTGACTTCACTCCGCGACACTGCACCATCACACATGGACAACAACAAGCACACCTCATAAGACACTCAGGACTTTTCTACCTACGAGCAGAGAAGATCGACATTCCTACAGGATTCGACATCTACCCAATGACTACAGACAATGGAAAATCCATTGCTGTGATTCAACCTACAGAGAGAGCAGCACAACAACAAGAACAAATCGCACCACTCACACACACAGACCAAGGACTACGACAGATCCTTGGTGGAAACACTGACTACTGGAAACTTGATGGTGACTACGCCATCAGAGTACACAAACGACCACGCAAAGCACTGTTCACACCACACAACAGTGGCTGCCCAATACCAGAAGGAGAACTAGATGATTGGCGACTAACCATCATCAACAGACAAGGGCAAGAGCAAGAACAACTACAAGAGAACCCAACACAACTTTCCAAGCAAGAACTACAACGAAGACTAGAAGGTGACAACTGGACTGGAGAAACCAGATTCAGAAGAAAGATAACACCTACACGCAGAGCAACATCAAAGACCACACCAACAAGGCAGAGCTCACAACCACAACGGCTAATGGACACACCACCAACCAGATCAAAGATCCAACTACGAGCACCACAAAAGATATGGAGACCTAAAGCAGCACCTTCTACAAATCTTGACACCACACAACCAAAGGAGACAATACACAGACCACTCACAGCACAGGAGGACAACCAAGACTACTGGGAAAGACAAGGTGAACATTGGATACGACACCACACAACGCTTAGAACAACTCTCTTCACTCCAACAGATGGACCAGGACATCCACCAATCAACACACTTGAACCTTACAGAACTACAATCACTCACAACAACTTTGGAGAAGTTTCACAGCGCAAAGATGACTGGACAGTCATGGGCAACGCAGCACTACCATTTCAATGGAAAGGAACAACAAGGTTCACCGTGAAGGAAGACTACGAGTGCATCCAGGAGAACCACGATGAAGAACAACAACACGAGCATCATGAAGCACACAGAGCAAGAGGACTACCACAAGCACAGCAGCCCACTCCACAACAAATAGCAGAACACAACCTTACACATCTACCATACAGAAACTGGTGTCCAATTTGCGTTCAAGGCAAAGGACGCCAAGACAACTACAAGAAACAACAATCACGACAACCTGTCATTCAAGTAGACGTTGCCTACATCAAGTCACAACAAGACCCACAGACCACACCGGTACTGACAGCAGATGATGTTACTACACAACTGTGTATGGCAGTATTGGTTCCAGACAAAGCATCAATGATGGACTACATGGTCAACAACCTACAAGCATTCATCTTTGAGTGCGGAAGAACACAAGGCATACTACAAAGCGACAACGAAGACACACTCAACGCACTTCTAAAAGCTACAGCAGCAAAAGTCGGCACAATGAGTGTAAGACATTCACCTTCCTACAGCAGCAACAGTCAAGGAAGCGTTGAGCGACTACACAGAACACTTCTCGGACAAATCCGCGTCGTCAAAGCTCAGGTTGAAAGAACTACAGCATGACGATGTCCACAAAGCACTGTCTACTGCCTTGGATAGTACGACACGCAGCATGGACGGTAAATCGCTACGTCATTCACTCAGACGGCTACACAAGAATTGAACGCCGCTGGGGAAGAAACTACGAGCGAGCAATCTGCGAATTTGGCGAGACACTACTCTACCTTCCACCACAACACAAGAAACTTCCGCAAGCAGACCTACGGATGCAGAAATGCATCTGGCTCGGAAAAGTTTCCGAAACCGGAGAAAACTACGTCGCAACGGAATCAGGCGTACAAAAGGTACGAACAGTACGGAGACTACAACCTGACTTCAAATACGACCTCGCACTGTTGAACAAAGTTTCCGGCACACCATGGGCACCACGACGGAACACCTACAACCCTTCGTTCGCAACACTGTTGGATACGCAACTACAACCGTCAGAGAAAAGAAGGTCCACGCAAGACTTCGGACAACAAACGAACGCTACGGACGACATCGTTGCAGAACCCGCAACAAAACAACAACGCACTACACCACCTCCACGACTTCCGTCCACATCGACGTCAAGTTCACGACCACTACCGGATAGTCCTATGGCTACTTCACCAACTGGACGACAACATCCACCACTACCAGCACCACCTCGACAAACACTACGACGTTTAACTCCGGAAGAAGTAATGCAACCAACTAAAGCACAGAAGACCTCAAAGGACACTACAATCAGATCAACGGAACAAGCAACCAAAGAACCACCACCACTACGACAGAAAATCAACGCAGTGACACTTCCCAACGGAAAATCCATCACTCCCTAAACAAACGACGACATCTCAGAAGACCAACCCATAATCTTCGACAACGAAGGTTACGACGAAACACAACTACTGGAAGGAATGAAACACGAGTCAAACCAAATGAAACTACACGACGTCTACGACGAAGTAGATGCGTCTACCGTCAACGACAACGTCATCAGAGAAGCGATACCTACAAGATGGGTACACAGAAAGAAAGGACCAGGAGTACGAAGCCGAATCGTCGCAAAAGGCTACACAGAGAAGATCGAGGACGAAGACTCCGTCTACGCCTCTACACCAATGTTCACGACACTCCGGACACTTCTCGCACTACAAATGTCACGACCAAACTGGATCGCGCGACTAGGTGACGTCTCTACAGCATTTCTACACGCACCCATCGCAAAAGACCACGACGGTAAACAACGTGACGTCTACCTTTGGCCACCTAAAGAACTTTGTCCACAACAGGACAAAATCTGGCGACTAAAGAAAGCCATGTATGGACTACGCAGTTCACCGAAAGCATGGCAGGACTACCTGGCTGAAGTTCTACAAAAGCTCAGCTTTGTAAGACTAAAGTCAGAACCCAACGTCTACACCAATGCGACTCGCGACTGCTACATCATGGTCTACGTGGACGATCTACTAGTACTTGGAGACAAGACCGCAGTCGACTCCACTTTCGAGGCCGTCCAGAAGCAGGTACTACTCAAGCACATCGGCTACCTCGAACCTGGCAAACCACAACAATTTCTTGGAAGAAACATCGACCACTTCGGCAACTACTGCAATCTTGGACTAAAGGACTCCTACATCGACAACATGATCGAGGAGTCTGGAATGAACAACTGCAACTCAGTAAACACTCCAGGAATTGCACACTACAAACCAACAATAGAAGATGAAGCACTACTTGACCACGAACAACACAAAAGGTACAGAAGAATTGTTGGCAAACTTCAATGGTTAGCATACACACGACCAGACATTGCATACTCCACAAAAGAACTAGCACGAGACCTCACAGCACCTACAGAACTTTCACAAAAGAGAGTCAAACATCTACTACGCTACTTGCACGGCACCAAGCACTACAAATTCACCATAGAACCAACAACAACACTCAGAGCAAACACCAACAACATCCTGGATCTCGACGTTCATGTCGATGCCGACTGGGCAGGATGCCCTACTACCAGGAAATCAACTTCAGGTTTCAACATCATCTTTCTAGGAACAACAGTTGCATTTGGCAGCAGAACACAAGCTACAATAGCACTTAGCTCAGCAGAGTCTGAACTCTACGCCATTTGCACAGGAGTTAATGAGGGACTACACCTCAGAAACTTCCTACTTGAAACCAACATTTGCAGCAAGCTAAACCTACGCATCCACACAGACTCCACAGCAGGCAAGAGCATTGCTACACGACAAGGCACTAGCAAACGAGCAAAACACATCGACCTCAAATTCCTCTACACACAAGACCTCATCAAGCACGACATCATCAGAATCCTTAAGATCAACACACTCCACAACAGCGCAGATTTGTTTACCAAGTACATCAGCAAAGAAACACTACACAGGCTCATCCAGAGCATTGGAATACGCATCTAGCAATACGAACGACCAGCACAGCAGTTTCACAACAACAACAACGACTTTGGACATCTCATGTATGTAAGTAGCTACATGTAACACGACACTTTTGGTATGTAAGTAACAGTAACTACATGTACTTTCACTTGCACTTTTGGCGGCTTGAGTCAACACTACAGTTGTTTGTTTTACATGTCTGCATTCGCCGACTGCCTGGTAGCAACTACTTCGGCTCATTTGTTTTGCCCCGTTTCACTACATTTTGCATTCCACTGCAGCCATGGCCGCTCCATCTACTGCAGATGCTACGATGGGAGACGCCACTACGCCCGACAAGGCGACTACACCTGAGGTGGCGGTCACTACAGACTCCAGTGACCATGCAACTCCACCACCTCAAACCTACAACGACTCCAACTACCACTTCAACCATTCTACACCCGGCAACACCGTCTACTACAACCCGACCACAGTGATGGACCAACTACACATCACTGAGCACCAGACAACCACTGCACCACCACTGCCCGACAACATTCCACTACACTCAATTTTTCACTGCATTTACACTTGAAGAATACCAACTACTTTAACAACAACAAGCTACTCCACTAGCACAACTGGACTACACACGACCCATTCCCTGCATCCCTGGAGATCTTCGGATGCCCCACTACAATTCCACACTGCTCAGCATTTCACTACCTGAAGCAGCCAACGTCCACTACTACCACACGACTTCACTCCACACTACAACTGGCGACAACACCAACTACGTCATCATCCAACTCCAGATTGAACAACCACTACTCCTGAGGTACCTCACTTCAGGACAATTTCTACACTTCACAAGGGACTACATCTCCTACATGATGTCGGTACAACACAACTACTACCTCCCGACTACAACACTGCCACAGACCATCTTCAAGGTGAACTACAACATGACCACCTTCACTGACAACTACAGCCTCAGGAACAACTACGTTTGGAATTACCACATGCCACTACTTCTACCTGAACTACTCCATTACCTTTACAACCGAGACCAACTACACGACTTCCAGCACAAAGCAATCACTACAATCCTCTGCAAAAGCATCCAATACTACGGATTCACACTACTCACAATGACCAACCTCACACAACACCACAAAGCACTACTACACCGCTTTCTACGGGACTACGACCAACACATGTCGTGTCCCGAGATTGATGATGAGCGACTACGGGGAGCTCCAAACTACATGACAACCTTTTTCACCACCAACTACTACGCGACCTTGGACAGTCGACTACAGATGGTCCAAGCCTACCGCACCCAGAAATGGGGACTACATTTTTGAGCTCCTGCTCTACTACAACGGGTGCCTGCCTTCACTACTTCCGTCCAGCGCCCTACATCGAGCTGGAACCTGAACAGCGTGAACTACTGAGCGCAGGTCACTACTTTTGCCAATACAGTAGAGTTGATGAACAACAATGGTTTTCATCACTACTGTCAATCCATGTTTTGCACTTCAGTTGAAAAGGTACTACAAAGACCTTCTAACTGAGGGGCCGTGTCAAACTACATGCTTCACTTTGCACTCTTGTTGCATGTGTGTTCACTACCGCAGGCCTTGAGCTTACTACTCTGCACGAGTCAAAAGGTTGGCAGCTGCAGACTACATTGGTTCACTGTTTGATTGAACACTACAACACTTGCACTTGTAAGCAAAGTAACAACTGATTTTAACGTCTCTCTGGAGGCATCCCGCCTGCACCTGCTTGAGGCAGCTCAAAGCCTTCACCAAACACCGGCCATTTAGCTCGTTCAGGAACAGCGACCCGGTCAGCGTGCTCGAGCCCGTGACCTAGCGAGTCTGCAAGAATTTGTTCGACTCTCATGCCGACGTCAGCCACGCCCACAACTCATATGAGTATATATGTTCCAGGCCGTGGACCCCCCGCCCCGGTTCAGGGTTGGTTCAGGGTTGGTTTGCGGTGGGTTTCGGGTGGGTTTGGGGTTTGGGTTGATTTAGGCTTAGGGTTGGGGTTAAGGAGGGGTTGCAGGGTGGTTTGGTTTAGGGTAGGATGTTGCGAGAGGTGCGGGGGTGTTGGCTCACGGGGTGAAAGGAGGAGTCTGGGACCGAAGCTGCAGGGCTCACACGGTACTGGACAGCCTCCCCAGCATTGCCAGCATCATCCCCAAGATGCGGATGATGCGGGGGAGTGGGGGGACCATACCATTGAAGGGGTACGTGGCCCAGGGACTGGAATATATATATATATATACATCTTTGTACACACCAATAGAACCGGCAAGGCTGGTGGGCGAAAGACTCAAACACATTGGAAAAATATGGCTGCTGTCTATCTACCTATCTGCCTATCAATCAACTTGTCTATCAATCAATTCGCCGACCTACATATCTACTTGAACTTTCTCTTTTAATCTATGCTTCCATCTCTACCTACCTACCTACCTACCTATCTATCTATCTTGATTTTCTACACGCAGAAACTGCGCGTGCCACTTGCAGGGTGCGTGAGCGGGCGTTCCTACCATTGTCACCTACATATGATCGGGGCCTCGACTGCGCGTGCGCGCGGGGTGGCTTCTCATGCACTGAAACTGCGGAGCGCGTGAGCGGGTGTTCTTACCATTGTCACCTTCGTGCGCGCGGGGCTTCGACAGCGCGTGTGTAAAGTGTGCTGGCGGGCTTGCGAAAAGCGAAAAACTGTGTTTCGACCCACGGCCTGCCAAAAGCCGTGGTCCAACTACCTGTCTGCCAATCTTCCCATCTGTATACTTACTTGTCGTTCGAGAGCTGTCTGTCTGTCTGTCTGTCTGTCTGTCTGTCTGTCTGTCTGTCTGTCTGTCTGTCTGTCTGTCTGTCTGTCTGTCTGTCTGTCTGTCTGTCTGTCTGTCTGTCTGTCTGTCTGTCTGTCTGTCTGTCTGTCTGTCTGTCTGTCTGTCTGTCTGTCTGTCTGTCTGTCTGTCTGTCTGTCTGTCTGTCTGTGTGTCTGTCTAACCTCTTCCTTTATGCAGTAATCCATCCATCTATCCATCATTCTAGCCTCGCTTTCTATCTATCTCTGCAGTTACTCTCAGTTACTATCTACTTATCTATCTGCCTAACCATTACACCTAAACCTAAACCTAGCTTCGACTAACCTAGACAGTTCTTATCTACATGTTTAGCTATCTAGCTCTCTAGATATCTACGGAGCTGTCTCTCCATCTACGCGTCTATCCATTTATCTATCTTCCAAAAGCGCTCCGGTTGCCAGGAAATCCGCACGCGGCCTTAGAAAGCGCCTGCCAAACCCCTACTTGACCCTGCGAAAGTGATGCGCCTGCCATGAAATCTGCACTGACCCTTGCAACAGTGCTGCGGCATGCCACGAAATCTGCACCTGACCTTGCAACTCTTCACTTCGCGCCAGTGCTACCGAAGTGACTTCTATACTTCTATTGATAGTACATTCGGACTCAATCGGCTTTGCAACTCTCTCTCTCAAGCTGAAGGTCGGAGCCACGTCTAAGCCTTTGGCCCCACAGAGGATGCACACTTGTGCCAGTAAGCACATCCTTATCCATGCCATGTGTGCCAGACGGACGTAACAGACTCGAACCCGAGCCCAATTGAGTCGAGCCGCTTCAAGACCCTCTCGCCTTCCCTTTCCAGCGAGCAGGCCAGCAGCCAAATGGCGTGGGGGTTGTTCTCCCCCTGCAGAAACTGCGCGAAGTTGAACTCGGCCAGCATACGTACCTCAAGCACCGCAAGCACCGTGTCAACCGGGCTACCGGGTGCGAACGTTTGTTTGATCACGTTGGCTGCATTTGGACTAGATGCCACCGCGGTGAGGTGCAAGTAGCTCTCAGGCGCCAGGCATGCCAAGGATGGCAGGTAGTGCTCCAAGCTTTCAACCGTGTAGCACAAGACCTTCACTTGGCAACTCGAAATAGAAATAAGACTTGCCATCCGGCCGGAATCCGGCCTGCTCGGGTTTCTTCCGTTCACTTGGCGGGCACAGCTTGGCAAAGTCCACGCTTTTGCAAATGCCGCCTGGGCAGCCAAGTCGCTAAACTGAGCACGTAGACTTGCGCAAGGGACCTTAACATTCTGGTGACTGCAGCCGTGACTCGAATGCCCAGCAAAACCATCAGACCGTTGAGCTCTTCAAAGGTCATCTCGCCCACTTGCGTCAGCTCCTTGCTCCGACTATCGCACATTCGGCATGTGACGCCTGTGCGACGTGCTACGTTACGGCGAGCTGAGGCTCTTGGATCGCCTGCCAACTCGCCGAAGTCAGACGGCCCGAGTCCTGGCGCAATTCGCGCTGCCCCTCGCTTGGGGGGAGGTGACATGGGCTCTCTGTGCGCGAGGGGCAACATGGAAACACAACGCAAAGCTCCCAAGTCTTGAGATGTCCCTGCCTGGCAGGCTACCATGCTGCTGTGCTGGCCCTGGCAAGCTTTGTGCGATTTCGCAGAGATGAGTCAAGTGTAGCCACAGCAGACTTGACGAGTCCAGTTCTGCCCGAGCGGCTCGAACCAGCCATGTCAAGCACAGCATGGAAAGGGTGGCGTGCTTCGCGTCCTCCTCTAAAAAACGAACGCAAAACCAAAAAAAGGAGAGTCAAGAGTCTCTTCAGTCGAAATCCTGGCAATTGAGCTCGTAATAGACGCCGTCTTCCTCCCTAAGCTCGTGGATGTGCTCTTTGATTTCATCCACCTGCTCCTTAGAGTTGCAGCTTGGCCGGCAAGCCGCGGCGCTCCCTGTCCGGCTCCCTCCCGGCTCCCGAGTTGCCTCATGGGTCAAATCCTCCTTCATCAGCTTCTGCAAGTTCACGCGATGCGAGGGAATCTCGGTTCTCCCCATGGCCCAAACTAAGAGACTAAGAGACTAAACCAAGGCCAGCCAAGAGTCTTCTTCAAGCTTGAAGGCATGCAAATGGCTGGTGCCAGGATCTAGCAATTCCTCGGCGAACATTGCATCTCCAAAGTACCGGCCAAGCCGCACGCCGCGCTCTCGACCCTCTCATCGAGTGGCTGCCAGCTGTGTGCCAGCCACCGACTCTAAGGACCACGAGAGGGGAGGAAGCCTCAGTGACGCCGACTTTCCATATCGGCACCGCACCTTGTGACCATTTTCTAGATTTGCGCCATGCAACTCCCAGGTGTTCTCGACAAAGTGTGCCCTCTTCCTCAATTCGACCGCAATGTCTCAGCCACTTCAGACACTTCAAACACGTACTACATCTCACTTTTGCTCCAGGGCTCTGATGAAGCCTCAGCAGGCAACTCGCGTACCTCGGGCCAAAGACGTCTCTCGTCGTCACGACGGACGCACGCACGCGTTTTGCCCGAGGGGCTCGTGGGCGGCGACCACGATGGCTGGGTGCTCCTTCACTGCCTGGAACTACCCGTTGCACGCATCCAGGTTTCGTGCACGTTGCTCTGGCCTACCTTTTAAACCCCCGTCCTGGAGAAAGCCCTGGGCCGTCAATGTCAGCGCTTTCGCATATGTAGCCGAAGACAGAGTCGATGAGTGGGTCCTCAAGAAAGCTCAAGTGGCACAAACAACTGCAAACGGTCTCCTGGTGGTGTACAAGGCTAGCTCCTGGGCAAGTTGCGAGACTGGGCAACGCGGCGCAAGTCGCAAGCCAAATCCGAATCAGCTCAGCTTGTGCCCAAGGCTCCGCAAACCAGCACTCGTTGTTCCAGTAGGTGCTCTTGCGCCGCGACGTCGCCTTGAGCGACATGCTTTCCTCGGCGCGTTCTCTCGCAGAGTGGTGAAAAAAGAAGTGAGTCCAAAGTGCATTCTTGGAGGGAATGAACTGGAACCCGCCGTGGATCGCGATGAAAATTCCTCGCAGCAGTTTGCAATCCGCTTCGCTTTGCAAACATCCTTGCTCGCTCCTTCTCTTCCCCCCCTCTCTTTTTTGGGTTCCCGTCGCAAAACGGCTTTCCCCCAAGCATCTATTGGCCCCGATTCACATCCCCACCCCGCTTTGTCAGAACCCCGACTCACCACTCTTCTACCTTCGGGTCCTTCCTTTCATTCCATGTCCTCTCCTTGCCCTTCGGATCCCTTCGGATCCCTTCGGATCCCTTCGGTCACTCGGGTTACTCGGGTTACTCGGGTCACTCGTTCCCGGATTCTCCATTCGGCCCACATGCCTCGCCTTCGGCCTTGCGATCGGCGGTGAAGATCAGCTCGCCCTGCACGGCCACCTGCATCACGAAGGCCGACGCCAGCCGCCCCCGAAAGTCCAGCCGCTCCTCAAAGCGGATCTCAGACCGCCGACGAAAGACCGAAAAACAACCCCCCAAAAAACAACTCTAAAAAAAAAAAAACGCATGGGAAACGCGGGGGAAATGGGCGGGAAGCGGTGCGGAGAACCGACAAACTTGAGGCTCAACTCTTGTGAAGCGATGGACATGGTTTTTCTCTATGCCGTAGGCTCGTCCATGAGCATGGAGAAGAAGGGGTGGATGGAGAGCTTCTCTCCAGTGCTCACCACCTGCAGCTCCTCGATCAAGCTGCTGGGCAGGAAGTTCAGCGCCAACGGGTCCTTCACGTCCAAAGGCGACTCCTGGGAGCCGAGCACGTCATCCAACGCCGCCACCACCCGCCTTCAGTCGCAACCGAATTGAAACGATAACGACGAGGGGTGACCCCCCAATCAGAGACACTCGACCGTCCAAGCGGATACTCCTCCCAACCGACAATCGCAAACTACATGAGACGCCAATCCTACACCGCCCCACCCTGCAATCGCACACTTTCTCCCTGCCAGCTGGGGCATAGCAAAGCTGAGGTGTTTTGACGAGGTCTTGGTGGGAGTTGGACGGGACTCTGACGGGGGTTTTGGCGCAAGGCTCTGAGTTTTAGCGGGGGTGTTGACGGGGGTTGTGACGGAGGTTTTGACGGGGGTTTGGACGGGGCTCATTGTCAGTGAGGCCAAGATTCCGCCGAGAAAGGTAAAGTTTGGACGGGGGTTTGACGGGGGTTTTGACGGGGGTTTGACGGAGGCTTTGACGGGGGTTTTGACGGGGGTTTTGACGGAGGTTTTGACGGGGGTTTTGACGGAGGTTTGGCCGGAGGGTGTTGACGGGTGCTGTGGCGGAGGCTCTGACGGGTGTTTTGACGGGATTTTTGACGGAGGTTTTGACAGCGGAAGTTTTTTTAACCCAGTGGGCGCAACCTTGCCAAAACGGGTCTTTTTGGCAGGTTCCGCCCATGGGGCACAACCTTGCGAAAACGGCTCTTTGGGGCAGGTTCCGCCCGGGCCGCACAGCTGCAAAACCCTCCGTCAAAACCTCCGTCAAAACCCTCAAAACGCCGTCCGGGTTGAAACTGATCGTTCCCTGCCAGTAGATGACCAACCAGCCATTGTCAGTGAGGCCAAGATTCCGCCACCGGGGCTTGAGCCCGAGCCCCTCGGGTGAGAGCCAAGCATCCTAACCAGCTAGACTATAGCGGATACTGCCAACTGGCTTTCACACCACAACTAGAGTTGCCCCCTGGGGACAAAGGTAAAGTTTGGCCGGGGGTTTGACGGGGGTTTTGACGGAGGTTTTGGCGGGAGTTTTGACGGAGGTTTTGACGGGGGTTTTGATGGGGGATTTGACGGGGGTTTTGACGGGGGTTTTGATTGACGGAGGTTTTGACGGAGGTTTTGACGGAGGCTTTGACGGGGGTTTTGACGGGGGTTTTGACGGAGGTTTTGACGGGGGTTTGACGGAGGTTTTGACGGAGGTTTTGACGGGGGTTTTGACGGAGGTTTTGACGGAGGTTTTGACGGAGGCTTTGACGGGGGTTTTGACGGGGGTTTTGACGGAGGTTTTGACGGGGCTTTGACGGAGGCTTTGACGGGGGTTTGACGGGGGTTTTGACGGACCCCAAACCAAGCCTAAACCGACCCTAAACCAACCCTAGACCGACCCTAAACCCACCCTAAACTGACCCTAAACCAAGCCTAAACCCACCCTAAACCCACCCTAAACCAAGCCTAAACCAACCCCAAGCCAAGCCTAAACCGACCCTAAACCAACCCTAAACCTACTCCAAACCAACCCTAAACCAAGCCTAAACCAACCGTAAACCAACCCTAAACCGACCCTAAACCAACCCTAAACCGACCCTAAACCCACCCTAAACTGACCCTAAACCAACCCTAAACCAACCCTAAACCAACCCTAAACCAACCCTAGACCGACCCTAAACCCACCCTAGACTGACCCTAAACCAAGCCTAAACCAAGCCTAAACCGACCCTAAACCGACCCTAAAGTAACCCTAAACCAACCCTAAACCAACCCTAAACCAACCCTAAACCGACCCGAAAACAACCCTAAACCGAGCCTAAACCCACCCAACCAACCCCAAACCAACCCCAAACCAACCCTAAACCAACCCTAAACCGACCCTAAACCAAGCCTAATCCCACCCTAAACCGACCCTAAACCGACCCTAAACCGACCCTAAACCGACCCTAAACCGACCCTAAACCAACCCTAAACCAACCCTAAAGCAACCCTGAACCAACCCTAAACCAACCCTAGCCCGACCCCAAACCCCCACCCTAAACCACCCTAAACCAACCCTAAACCAAGCCTAAACCGACCCTAAACCGACCCTAAAGTAACCCTAAACCAACCCTAAACCAACCCTAAACCGACCCGAAACCAACCCTAAAACCGACCCGACCCTAAACCCACCCTAAACCGACCCTAAACCAAGCCGAAACCAAGCCTAAACCGACCCTAAACCGACCCTAAAGTAACCCTAAACCAACCCTAAACCAACCCTAAACCAACCCTAAACCAACCCTAGACCGACCCTAAACCCACCCTAAACTGACCCTAAACCAAGCTTAAACCAAGCCTAAACCGACCCTAAACCCCCCACCCTGCAATCGCACACTTTCTCCCTGCCAGCTGGGGCATAGCAAAGCTGAGGTGTTTTGACGGAGGTCTTGGTGGGAGTTGGACGGGACTCTGACGGGGGTTTTGGCGCAAGGCTCTGAGTTTTAGCGGGGGTGTTGACGGGGGTTGTGACGGAGGTTTCGACGGGGGTTTGGACGGGGCTCATTGTCAGTGAGGCCAAGATTCCGCCACCAGGGCTTGAGCCCGAGCCCCTCGGGTGAGAGCCAAGCATCCTAACCAGCTAGACTATATCGGATACTGCCAACTCGCTTTCACACCACAACTAGTGCCCCCTGAGGAGAAAGGTAAAGTTTGGACGGGGGTTTGACGGGGGTTTTGACGGGGGTTTGACGGAGGCTTTGACGGGGGTTTTGACGGGGGTTTTGACGGAGGTTTTGACGGGGGTTTTGACGGAGGTTTGGCCGGAGGGTGTTGACGGGTGCTGTGGCGGAGGCTCTGACGGGTGTTTTGACGGGATTTTTGACGGAGGTTTTGACAGCGGAAGTTTTTTTACCCAGTGGGCGCAACCTTGCCAAAACGGGTCTTTTTGGCAGGTTCCGCCCATGGGGCACAACCTTGCGAAAACGGCTCTTTGGGGCAGGTTCCGCCCGGGCCGCACAGCTGCAAAACCCTCCGTCAAAACCTCCGTCAAAACCCTCAAAACGCCGTCCGGGTTGAAACTGATCGTTCCCTGCCAGTAGATGACCAACCAGCCATTGTCAGTGAGGCCAAGATTCCGCCACCGGGGCTTGAGCCCGAGCCCCTCGGGTGAGAGCCAAGCATCCTAACCAGCTAGACTATAGCGGATACTGCCAACTGGCTTTCACACCACAACTAGAGTTGCCCCCTGGGGACAAAGGTAAAGTTTGGCCGGGGGTTTGACGGGGGTTTTGACGGAGGTTTTGGCGGGAGTTTTGACGGAGGTTTTGACGGGGGTTTTGATGGGGGGATTTGACGGGGGTTTTGATTGACGGAGGTTTTGACGGAGGTTTTGACGGAGGCTTTGACGGGGGTTTTGACGGGGGTTTTGACGGAGGTTTTGACGGGGGTTTGACGGAGGTTTTGACGGAGGTTTTGACGGGGGTTTTGACGGAGGTTTTGACGGAGGTTTTGACGGAGGCTTTGACGGGGGTTTTGACGGGGGTTTTGACGGAGGTTTTGACGGGGCTTTGACGGAGGCTTTGACGGAGGTTTGACGGGGGTTTTGACGGACCCCAAACCAAGCCTAAACCGACCCTAAACCAACCCTAGACCGACCCTAAACCCACCCTAAACTGACCCTAAACCAAGCTAAACCAACCCCAAACCAAGCCTAAACCGACCCTAAACCAACCCTAAACCTACTCCAAACCAACCCTAAACCAAGCCTAAACCAACCGTAAACCAACCCTAAACCGACCCTAAACCCACCCTAAACTGACCCTAAACCAACCCTAGACCAACCCTAAACCAACCCTAAACTGACCCTAAACCAAGCCTAAACCAAGCCTAAACCGACCCTAAACCGACCCTAAAGTAACCCTAAACCAACCCTAAACCGACCCGAAAACAACCCTAAACCGAGCCCAAACCCACCCAAACCAACCCCAAACCAACCCTAAACCAACCCTAAACCGACCCAAAACCAAGCCTAATCCCACCCTAAACCGACCCTAAACCGACCCTAAACCAACCCTAAACCAACCCTAACCAACCCTAAACCGACCCTAAACCAAGCCTAAACCAAGCCTAAACCGACCCTAAACCGACCCTAAACCGACCCTAAACCAACCCTAAACCAACCCTAAAGCAACCCTGAACCTACCCTAAACCAACCCTAGCCCGACCCTAAACCCACCCTAAACCGACCCTAAACCAACCCCAAACCAAGCCTAAACCGACCCTAAACCGACCCTAAAGTAACCCTAAACCAACCCTAAACACCCTAAACCGACCCGAAACCAACCCTAAACCGACCCTGAACCGACCCTAAACCAACCCTAAACCAACCCTAAACCAACCCTAAACCAACCCTAGACCGACCCCAAACCCACCCTAAACTGACCCTAAACCAAGCCTAAACCAAGCCTAAACCGACCCTAAACCGACCCTAAAGTAACCCTAAACCAACCCTAAACCGACCCGAAACCAACCCCAAACCGAGCCTAAACCCACCCTAGACTGACCCTAAACCAAGCCTAAACCAAGCCTAAACCGACCCTAAACCGACCCTAAAGTAACCCTAAACCAACCCTAAACCAACCCTAAACCGACCCGAAAACAACCCTAAACCGAGCCTAAACCCACCCAAACCAACCCCAAACCAACCCCAAACCAACCCTAAACCAACCCTAAACCGACCCTAAACCAAGCCTAATCCCACCCTAAACCGACCCTAAACCGACCCTAAACCAACCCTAAACCAACCCTAAACCAACCCTAGACCGACCCTGAACCCACCCTAAACTGACCCTAAACCAAGCTTAAACCAAGCCTAAACCGACCCTAAACTAACCCTAAACCAACCTTGGACCGACCCTAAACCCACCCTAACCAAGCCTAAACTAAGACTAAACCGAGCCTAAGCCAAACCTAAACCAACCCTAAACCAACCCCAAACCAAACCTAAACCAACCCTAAACCAAGCCTAAACCGACCCTAAACCAACCCTAAACCAACTCCACACCAACCCTAAACCAAGCCTAAACCGACCCTAAACCAACTCCAAACCAACCCTAAACCAAGCCTAAACCAACCGTAAACCAACCGTAAACCGACCCTAAACCAACCTAAACCAAACCTAACCCAAACCCAAACCAACCCTAAACCAACCCTAAACCAACCTTGGACCGACCCTAAACCCACCCTAAACCCACCCTAAACCAAGCCTAAACCAACCCCAAACCAAACCTAAACCAACCCCAAACCAAGCCTAAACCGACCCTAAACCAACCCTAAACCAACTCCAAACCAACCCTAAACACCCTAAACCGACCCTAAACCAACCCTAAACCAAGCCTAAACCAAGCCTAAACCAAGCCTAAACCAAGCCTAAACCCTAAACCGACCCTAAACCGACCCTAAACCCACCCTAAACCAACCTAAACCAACCCTAAACCAACCCTAAACCAACCCTAAACCAACCCTAGACCGACCCTAAACCCACCCTAAACTGACCCTAAACCAAGCTTAAACCAAGCCTAAACCGACCCTAAACCGACCCTAAACTAACCCTAAACCAACCCTAAACCAACCCTAAACCAACCTTGGACCGACCCTAAAATCATCGATGAGTGCGCGGGTCGCGAGTACGTGATTCACGGGTCTAAGAGTATCCGATGACAGACGGCAGAACCGTATCCGATTGGACGGGCCAGTACGCAGCTGGCAGTTTTCTCAACGACGAGACCCCCCGAAAATTCGGGGAATTCGGGGAATTCAGTTCAGGGGCTGGTGCAGGGACTTTCTCACACGGGTCTTCCGCAGCCAGCGCTGCAGGTCCCGCTTCACGTGGTCCCGCTCCTGTGAGGCGATACAGAGATGGAATCCGTGAATCCCGACCTTCGAGAAGGGATAATTTTGGGAGAATTGGCATTGGAGCCCTCCTTGGCCTTTTCGTTCATGAGATTCAACGTGCCACTGATGATGCCGATCTGCGCTCCCAGCATGGGAAGGCACGTCAAGATAATGGCCTTCGGAGTGCGCGGCAGTGCGAGGCATGCGCCCGCGCGCCCGCGCCCTGTGCACGCGCCCTGTGCACCAAGTGTGCTGATTTCGCCAAGCTGCCAGCATCAAGGCCTGTTCAAGCTCGTTCTGCGCTGTAAACGGATAGGGTGCTGGAGTATACTCCGCGATGACCCAGTTGAAGGAAATCCTCGCTTGCTTGCTTAATGGCAGTGCTCACTCAGTCACTCAGGTCTCAAGACATCATGCAAGCTCTGGCAAGTGAGAGTGGCACATGTATTGGAAGGACATAGGGCGATCCATGATGTTGTAGGCATCCAGCCAATTGGAGTCTTGCTGCTGTTGCCTTGTCCGCCCGACATAGAAGGTGACACAGGCTAGCGTATGGTTCACACCAAATATGAAGGTGACACACTGCAAGATCGTGGAGAAGTTGACGACTTTGATGTAGCCGTTGGCTGCTAGTCGGCTCTCCACAGCAGTGATTGCCTGGTGAAACGCCCCGGCTGCGCGGACAAACGGGTCTCTGGGGTCTCTCGGGTCGCTCGGGCCGGGCCCCGGGCGTGGCGGAACTTGGCGGTGCGCAGCAGGCGCGCCATGGTGAGGGCCTTGACGGACTCGGGCACCAGCTGCAGCAGCAGCACCAGGTCCAAGGTCACCAGGAAACCGTCGAAGAGGAACCACGTGCCTCTCTCACAATCCGAAAGAAAACCATTGAAAACGCCATCCAACGCTGCAAACAGAACCAAAAAGTAATTGGTCCCTCAACCATTGAGATCTCGGAAGTTTTTTTTAAAACACGAGACTGTCCCCGTTCGACGTCTCCCTCTCGCGCCCCTGGGCACCGGGCACAAATACCCCAGCAACGCCGCTTTCCGATTCTCCGAGAGGATTGCGCGGCTGAAGTTCAGGACGATGTCCACCATCCAAAACACCGGCGTCACCTGGAATTTGCATTTCTGAAGTCATCTGAAGTCTCAAAGAAGTCTATTCGGGCTCACGGCGTCACGAGTTCGCAAATTTAAACGCTTGAGTATCCTTGCCTCGTAGTACCCGGACCAGAAGCTGCCGCTGTACGAGAGCTCGGGCCAGGCCAGCAGCAGGGGCAAGACCAGGGCGTCCACCACCACCAGGACGATGGTCAGGAAATCCCAGACGGGCCGCCACAGCTTCAGGGAGTCCTGACTCGAGGCTCGAGGTCCCATCCATATCCATCCCACACGGGCCTGCAGGTTCTCAGGAACGGGCAGCATGTCAGAACCTCACATCGAACTCCGAGCGGCCACTCGGAGTCCGAAGGAGTCCGAAGGAGTCCGAAGGAGTCCGAAGGAGTTCGATCGGTCGATTCCAAGGCGCAGCTCATTTGCAGCCCCAGCGCACTTGGCCTCCGCCGCTGCGGACTCGGATTTACATCGCGCATACCTGGACCCCCGACCCTGACCCCCGACCCCCGACCCCCAACCCCGACTCCAACTCCAACCCACCCAACTCTCGGCTCGAAACAAGGGTCTTTCTCGGGCAAGGAAGGGCAGCGCAAATTGACGGAGCACCAAGGCTCACACTGTTTCCCAGCTCCAAGTCGACCGATGCTGCCGTTGTCCAGCAGGATGCATGGGTGCTGCTGGCTTCACCGATTTGTTCAATCCCCCTGTTGCGTTTCTTGGCCTTTCGTCCACTTGAGGCCAAAGCCGAATTCGACACTTCCATTGGGAAAGGCGTCGTGGGCCGTTTGGCGCCCAAACGGAACGCGGCGCGGCTGGGACCACTGCATCACCAGCCGTGAAAGGTGCATCAACATCCAGCCCTGACCGGAGCTGCCTGCTTTGAACCCTTTTCTTGAATGCGCATACGTCGCTTTCAAAGGCGCCCCTTCTGCCTAAGCAATGAACGCAGGACAACGTAGGACGAAGGATGCACGAGGGAAGCAATGAGAGCCCGAGCCACGAGAGCCATGAGTTGAACCGTGAAGTGTGGCGCTGGCGCTGGGTTCTGCTTGCGCTCTGTCAGGAACCAGAACATGGGGAGCATTGCTTAAGCACGCGAAACGAGAGGATGGCGCGAGTGGCCAAACCGTCTCTCGAAATGGAACAATTTCAACCCTGAGAAAAGTGAACAATGCTCTACTTCCCAAGTGAGCCTAAGTAGCTGTGGCCTTGGAAATCTTGGCATCAAGAGGCAGGAGCCTCCTGAAAAGCAGCTGGACGTCTATGTTGAATGCACCGGCCCTCTGCTTGATCAAGTAGCTGGTTCTTTGTAAGTTGCCAGGCGGGGCTGTAGCGCAACAGGCAGATTGCCAGCGAGCGAGGCCATGCAATGTGTGGCTGCTTGGAATGTGTGGCTACTGAGGCCACTGTGGCTACTGCGGCTACTGTGGCTACTGCGTCTACTGCGGCTACTGTGGCTACTGGTGCCAAAGGAACATGTGCTGGCCACACTAAACTGCCTTGATGCGCACATTGCATTCGCGCGTACGCCACACAGCTTGGAGCAGCCCCCTGCTCGAATCAGAAACCTTCCACAAGGCAGAAATGCAAGTTGCATGTACAAAGCTGACTGGTCCTTGCTCCATTCGAGCATGAAAACTGGGCTAAGAGCTGCGACATTGCTTTGCCACGGCCGCAGCAGCCAACAAATCCAGAACTGGGCGGTTGCTGAAGTGCTCCCCCTTCCCAAACACCGCCCATCGGAGTCGTCCGGGGCGCGATAAAGGTATGTGTATGCCTCAATTGCCTCCTGCTCGCAAAGCACGAAGTTCTCGCTCCAATCATCGAGCAGGCGGGCGCCTGCACTGTCGCTTCCTTCCGCGCACTCAAGTCTTAGAGCCATCCGGCCTGGGTTTTCATCTGCCGTGAGGGTACTGATAGAACTCCTGGCGGAGAACAAGGAATGCCTTTTGGGCGCCGTCGTCCGCAAATAGGGGACGCCGTTCTGCTGCAGCTCGAACTTTTCTTTCTCCTTGGTTGTCGCTCAGTCAAGGGCCCTAAGCCTTCCCCCTCCTTTGAGCCTTTAAGCCTTTAAGCCTTACAGCCTTCAAGCCCAGCATCGAGCTCGCCCGAGGTGCTGAAGCCGTGCGTCACAGTCTGGCATTTCATGATGTCATGTCTTTGTGCAATGCGTGTTACATCATATTACAATGTTCCCTTGACTTACCGGATCGGACGCAATCTCAGCTGCGGGCGCTCTTGGGACTTTGCGCGCCAGTGGAGCTGGTCTGGACGCATGGCAAACGGGTTGACAAGCCCATTCGGAAAGTATCAGTCAAGCGATGCTCACGCCTGGATAGCCTGAATTTCTAGTGGAGTCTTTTGGGCTCTGCAAGCATACACAAGCATGAAGCCAAAAACACGCATACACAAGCATGAAGCCAAAAAACGGGCTCCTGCCTCGCTGATTGACTGGTCCGGGATGGGAACCAGAAGAGCCAAGTGCTCTGTGGTTTCAGCAATGGCCTTGGCGCTGATGGCCAAGTTCTCTTGCAACTGCTGCAGCCGCAGCGAGAGGTGCGGATCCATTCGGGGACCGAATGGACAGAGCACAGCTCGGGGACGTCGCTCGGGTCGCTCGGGTCGCTCGGGTCGCTCGGGTCGCTCGGGTCGCTCGGGTCGCTCGGGTCGCTCGGGTCGCTCGGGACCTGGGGCAATTCCCTAGCCTGGAGCCTCGGCCCTTGAGCCGGGCCTCGAAAACTCAAGCCGCAAAGTTGCAAAGTCGCAAGGGAAGACGCAAAGAGAAAGAAGGTGCTAGAATCTGCAATGTGCGAAACAGAATGGCGCAGGCCGAGCTGGGCACCTCGCCTCACCGACCTGGCGGACGCGTTAACGTTTGAGGAGCCTTGGACGTCGGGGCTGGCCTTGGCCCTTGCCTTTGGCTCCATCCGAAGGCCGATCGGCTCCGCATTCCGGTGCCGGCATCGGCACCTCCTCTCACGCGGAAGCGGACAGGCTTCGGGTTTTCCAACGACCGCGGGCCTCGTCCGCCTCGTCCATTTCCACTGCTTCGAAGAGGAGCGCGTCATCCTCCAAGACGGGCATCAGCCTCGGCCACGCGGAGATGTCAGCGCCAGCGCCGCCAGCACTGCTCCTGTGTACCGGGCAGATCCTCCTGCTCCCACAGCGGAGACGCGGCCGACCGCATCAAGCTGGGAATCGCCTCCCAACTTCACGTCTGACATTCTCGGAAGATATCTTTCATGCAACGCCGTGCGATTGCCAAGCCTCCCTGGCTCCTTCCGGGCCCAGTCTCCTGCGAGCTTTGGCTTCGTTCGGCCAATGACACCCCAGACCCCAGACCCCCCTTAGGCCTAAGCCTTAGGCCCTTTTGTCTCGCATGGTGGCCTTTGGCCGGCTGCGGGAATTCGGAATGGAATCGGACGGAATCTATACAGACTATGCGGGCACTGCCGCAAGATGCCGCACGGGCAGAGCGCGCCCCGGAAGCCAAAGAACTCAGCTTCAGCAGCCGGAGCACGCGCAGGCACCTAGGCCCCTAGAGGGACTGGAGCGTGCGGGCCTGGCATGTTCCAAGCTGAGCCGACTCCCAACTCCCCAACTCCCCCACTCCCCCACTGCCCCACTGCCCCACTGCCCAGCCTCTTTGCGGAAGTTCAAGCCTCGCATGCGTCCGAGTGCTCGGCGCCCCGGAAATCTCGATGCAGCCGGGTTGCGGTTTTTCTTCTCGTAGCTGCGCTTCTGCGCTTTGTACTTTGAAATGTACTCCTCCAAGCTCTGCATTCAATAAATAAAAGAGCTATTCTGTCAAGTCTTGCAAGATGATTCTTGAACCACACCTACTCGGCACATTGGTGAGTGCGCCAAGTCATACCCTTCGCTACAAATGCCACATCATCAATGATCGACACTCATGCTCCTCACTGTGCTGAAGATGGCACAAGCGCGCGAGGCAGTCTGGCTTTGTACAGGCTGGGTACTTCTCGGGATCTGCATAGTACCTAAGACTGCCGCAATCGACCGAGATCCATTGTTCGATTTCGGCCTGCTCTGAAAGAGGCAGGGCTGGCAGCAGCCCTGGCAACCAAAACCACGTTTTACAGGCCTTCCCCGAACCTGAAAAGCGCTCAAGGCCCTGCCTTGGCGTGCAGCTGGTCAGGGTCTTCGCTGGCGCTTGAGGCCCGCGTCGTGTCAACCCTCCGATCCGCGTGTCTTACGTGTCTTTGCTCTCGCTCCCTCGCTCCCTCGCTCCCTCGCTCCCTCGCTCCGGGCTCTCAGGGCACCACCCGGAGTCCCCCAGATCAGTCTCGATATCCTCCAGCCTCACATGTCGCTTGCCACGTCCCAGCACGTCCCATTATCCAAATCCAGCTGAGGTGGCTTTGGTTCGTAGGCTTCGCGTCCCACGATCACCGGGTGCACGACCGCACCTCCGAACTTCGCTTTGCATCACTCGTCGAAACGACTCGTCGAAACGACTCGTCGAAAAAAATGCGTCGATCTGAAGCAATCCTGGCGCGGAGAGCGGCTTCCGCGGCACCGTGTCCTGAGAGAGATGAGACGGAGAAACACGTCGAGAGTGCACAGCAGCCTCCTTGATGCAGCCGCCAATAAATGTGTTCTGCACCTAGCACAAGGCATGCCTATGATGATATACAACACGCCTTGACAACCCTTATCCAAGGCCTTGAGCCTACAGCATCGCGCCCGTACAACAGGAGTGCTGCGTTGCCGGGTTGCTACACTCGCAGGTTTACACTCTCCAAGTTTATCATGGTCGGTACACGATATCACCACCACAATTCACAGGAGAATACGACACCTTCGAAGAATGGAGTACAAAGATGACAGCATACCTTGGACTACAAGACCCCGCATACAACAGACTCCTCAGACAAGACAAGTTACATACGATCAACTTGGGAATGCAGCACCTTCACAGGCAGTAGCAGGGCAATGGATACAACTGAGCAAGAACTTACACTACATCTTAGTGAGCCCATGCAATGGACCAGCATCTGCAATATGCAGACAAAACATGCAAGGCAACGGTTTCGAAACATGGCGGCTGACACACGCAAGGTACTCCGTACTACTTGGTACAAGGAGCGTTGGGTACCTTACACAGCTTCTGATGAACAGAAGTTCGGAGAGAGCTTCACAACATGGGAGTTCCAACTCTCCAAGTACGAAGAAGTTCCAACACAATAACACTAGATGGTCAAGATCGCAATACTGCTCGACGAGACAAAAGGACCACTACTTGCAGGCAGGAAGCATCACAGCATATGCGCACATTCGTGTCAATCACCAACATCGACAGAGCTTACAAGACGCTCCACAACTCCATGGACATCCCTCGGGGTTACGCCTTACGCCTACGCTGAGCATAGAGGTTCGCACGGACTACATCGAGTACTACTTCCCCATTACACAGGAGCACATGCATCTGGCACAATCCGCACTGGTACATCGCCTGGATGGTTGAGGGCCCCACACATTTTGTTTACAGCTTTGCTGACAAGCATTACAGCCTGCATTGCTCACATGGCTCCCAGGGCAATTATACATCCATCAACACGGAGATCATGTACACCCTCTGCATGCGTGTAAATCGCTTTGAGGCACAGCACCAGACGTACAGGAACTTCCTTACAACTTTCAACAAAAGGATTCGCTTCACACGCGCTACAGATCGACCACAGCTTTACATACACCATGAAACCGTACGAACACGACTCCAGTGTCCTGTTCAAGATTGCAGGGAACACGCGGTCGATCTACAGTGAATGCAACCTGAGCTCTGGATACGTGTGGGTTCAACATGTCATCATAAAGTTACAACAGGTGTTGACAGCTCCAACACAGGACAGGATCCACGCTGCAACAACAATGGCACTGCGACAGATCGACTATGCTACGCTGCTGGAACTACATGAACCGCTTCGCAGTAACATCAGGGAGGACATGATCGCAAATCGCATGAAAGCTAGTGATGTCAAGGACCGCAACACGGACCTGATCTTGCAACCACAGTCGGGTTACAAGATCCCACGCGCTTGGGGGGCCTTAGAGGCACACCGCATTTTATCAATTTACGTTTGGGCAGACCATGAGGGAGACAGTTGTACAGCACATCTGCATATCTGGCGATCAGATTACATGCAGTTTGTCTTAAAAGTCTTACATCATCCCGAGCAGCAAGGCTTTTTTGGGCATTGCAGAGTGTATTGGTCGCAGTACAATTTGAGGAGGCGTGTTCCAAACCAACATGCCTTGACAACCCTTGTACAGCTTGCAGTACATGTGGCACTTGCTACATATGATCAAGGCCTTGAGCCTACAGCATCGCGCCCGTACAAAAGGAGTGATTGCCGGGTTGAGTCACTCACAGGTTTACACTTCGGATAAACAGGTATACAGTTGCTCCAAGTTTAACAGTCTATCAAATATATTAAAAATGCATAAAACATCCAGTACATTAGTCAAACCAATGTGCGTCTCGCGTATCTCGCGTGCGAAAAGTTCCTGTTCGTGCGCCTGCAAATCCGTCATCTGGCGTCCGGCGAGAGCGTCAGAGGACTCCACCGCCACCGCCGTCATGTCGGCGCCTGCTCCCTGGGAGCAGAACAGCGAGTAGCGCCTCGAGCCGAACGCGTCGAACGCGTCGAACGCGTCGAACGCGTCGAACGCGAACGTTGCACGGCGACATCTGAGCCAAGCCACCAGCTCCTTAGACTTCAAGACTTCGAGTTTCAAATGCGTGACACAAACGGATCGAACTCGGGCGGCTGGCTGGCGCAGGTTTACGCGCACGCGTGGCTGGACGTCCGACTCAATGTGCATCCTCAGAAAGCATACAGGTCAAAGGAGCACGCATCGCACGTTGCAGCGGAGCAGCGTCTGAACCGGCACTGCGCCGAGCCGGAGGATTTTCAGCATGTCTTTGCCTGGCCTTCGCAAACAAAGCGGATCTCACCAGAACCCTGATCTCTCTGAGAATTCCGTTTGCATCTCATGTCTCATGCCTCAGCTGCCCTGCAGGCATCACTTGCCCGCCGCCAAGCCCCCAAACGCCTGAGCCAGAGGTCGCAAAAGAGGGCTGGCAATTTGTGCTGGCAAGAGCCAGCCGCGCCTTGCGACTCGGCCTCCCCAAGCTGCCCGACGACCCGCACGGGATGCTCGGCGGTGACGCTCCTTGCGAATCGGCTTCAAACAAGCGGAGCCGCGTTCCGAGCTTTTCAAACAAGCCGCACAGCGGTGCCATCTGCCATTGTGATGCGCGACCAGTCGCACTCGCCAGAGACCACCCTGAGACTGTGCAAAGCAGCAAGCAGAAGGCTTTGCAAGTGCCATGCTGCTGCGGAGCCCGCAGTCAGAGATCTCCACATACCGAATGCTGCCCGCCAGGTGGTCGTAGCCTATCTGCACTCAAGTAAAGCTTCATGCACTTTCCCTTCTCCGGGGTGCAGTCCAAGGTGCAAAGGACTTTGTCTCCGGCTTGGAGCTCTGATGCAGGCATTCCCTGTGAGTGGGAATCTGTGTAGACCTGTTCAGGCATGGCCAAATGGCCAAATGGCCAAATGGCCAAATGGTCAATCACGAGACACTCGGAAAAGCATTGCCTTCGCTCCCATTGGCAGGCAGTCACAGCGAGAGGTGCCCTGAAGGTGTGCTAACCTGGCACATGCACCGACAAGCTGCCAACGAGACAGATCCGTGAGGCCTGTCCATGTTCGCTGGCGCGCTGGCAGCGCTGACGCTGGCGGCGCTTGGAGGATGGGCGGACAGATGCGGCAAGGAAGCCCAGGGCACGGATTGATCGAATCCATGATGCTCGGAGGGCTCTAAGTACGAGGTCTCACCTCGATCGGGTCGCTGGTACAGCAACTCTGTTGCCTCTCAAAGACCTTTAAGCCTTTTCCAGCCTACATGTTGCCCGACAGTCTGTGGCCCCGGCAATCCGGGGCCTTTTCCTGCGTCAGGCGCTGTGCGGCAAACTCAGCTTGGCAGCGCTTCACCTCGGGCAAATGCAACTAGCCCCCTCCAGTGATGTAAGCAGGCCTTCTCATTGACGATGCCCGTCTTCAATTGCTCTTCCCTCCGGAAATCCGTCTGCTTGTCATGCCAGGAGCTCCACCTGCTACGCGCAAAACAAAACGACTCGGGCAACACAGTGTCACCTTGCAACACACACCGCCGCCACTGCGATGATCAGCGTGAACCTGGGCCCCGTGAACCAAAGCCGAGTGGCCAAGTGGCATTTGGCATGCGACATGTGCGAATCCCTGAGCCCGCTCATCCTTCTTGGTGATGGATGTGCTCTCTGGGCTGTCTTGCAGCTCTGGTAGCAATCCAAGTGACAAGTCGACACAAGAGGTTGACGACTCTACAAGGCCAGCGGCTTAAAAAGCACGGGCCGCTGGCAAGATAGCCCTCTCAGTTTGGTGGTAGTTTCTGAGCATTTTGGTCGTGCTCAGTTTTGCGGCCATGTTGGATGTTTTCAGCCCGCCCCAGCTCATTTTGTTCGTAGTTGCTAAATCATGTTGATCACAGTTTTCTCCTCATTTTGGTCGTAGCTGCAAAACCTGTCCAAAACATGCTCACTCAAGTCAACTCGACTCGACTCAACTCTACTCAATTTCATGAGCCAGCGTCAGCGTCTGAAACTCGTACATGTTTCCGGGACCTGTGCAGGACGACCGAAGAACTGGGCGCCTTGTTTTGGTCCAAGTTTGAGAGTCGTTTCGGTCCTGACCGGCAAGCCGGGCAAGGCTGGCGCCGCGGAGCTGTCTAAAATTTGCTCCGTCCATGCCACGCCCACATGGCCCGCATGGCCCACGTGGAAAACAGTGGCGTCCGGCCAGATGCCATCCAAGCAACTGATTCATGAGGTGAAGCATCAAGCTCACCTGTCTGCCTTTCTGATCCAGCAGCTGCACTAGTGCCACCTGCAAAGCAAACACATTCAGCTTACCAAGCTCTGAAGCTGAGTACGAGACCAGCGGAGGTACAACAAAGACGCCTCATGCTTCTCTTGTCGCACTTCCATGGATACTTCTCAGCATTCTGCTATGCCATGTCAACTATGCCCGCTACCAAAGGAGATGGTACATGTAATCAGCGTCTGCAGCTTGTCCAGGACAGTGAGGCAGAGCGCCGTGAGGAGGAACACGTACACCGTCGGGCCTTGGCTTCATTTCTGTGGTGGGCATTGGCCATGCATGTTGCTCGGGCCCTGACCAAGGTACAAAGTGGACTCAAACTTGTCGTCATCAAAAGGTAGAAGGCTCAAAGTGGAGTAGAGTCCTGAAGAATCTTGCGCTGCGAAACGTGTGTGGAAGACTTTTTGACACCGTCCTGCCATCAAGCCGTACCTGCGCAAGTGGCGCAAAGCATGCGCAAAGCAAACTGGGAACCGGTCTCGCTCACATCTCTCAGCTCACCAGGACATCACGCACGTGTGGAAGGCCGTGTCTAGCATCCATCTCACCATCGGCCGTCGGCCCAGCGACCAGACCTGCCACATGCGGCATGCCCCGGCATCGGCCTCCGGGCAAGCCTCATCCGGCCTTGGAGGCATCGCATCGGTCGTGGCACCCGAAGAGTCGCCACGCCCGCAGGATCACCACCAGCAGTGGGATGAAGCGGTTGCCCACAAAGTCCTGTGCCAACAACTGTCTAGACACAGTGACAAGGAGTTAACCCAGTGACCCCTCCCGGCCTCTGCGAAGTCCAAGGAGTGATGCGCCAGCAGCTCGGCATCGCAGCGCTCCATGACCTCTATGCTCTCCTGCAGCCTGCGTCTCGCTCCCACGTTCCCACTTTCCGACCCGCTCACATCCGTTTCCGTCTTTCCGTGCGGGCCACTTCACTACTTCCGAGTCCGAGCCCGCCTCTGTGGGGTGATGGACGGTTCATATGGGCCCGGCCCTGGCGGCGGCAGCTGCCCCTTTTGTGCGAGGCCAGCCACCTGAGCCCGGCCACCCAGATCCCGGGACATGGGACATCCCGACCCTTTGCGACCCTTGCGACGGCGCTGGGCTTCCAACGCAGACCTGGTAGAACTCAGGCGCTTTGTCATCGGCCGCGAATTCTGGCACGCACGGGCTCTCGGGCATCCCATCGGATCACACGCCAGTCCCTCCTTGCAGCATCACCAAGCCGAAGTACATGATGAGGTAGCAAACCTGGCCAGGACAAATACGGCCCAGATCACGAGGCATGCCTTGCCTCCACGGCCAAAACAAGCGTCTCATAGCGATTCGAATCCTTCGCCATAAGCCTTGCACTCAATGAGTGCATGCGCTCCGGTTGCAGAGACACTAAGGCCCGGTCCTCTGAAAGCGCTCATTCGGACTCACGGTCAGCTCCTCAAATGCTCTCTCATTCTCCTCGCGGATGGGCCTGACCAAAGTGACTCTGTGCCACCAATCCAGCTCACGCTTCGCCTAAGATGGGGCTGCATGGCGTTGACGAACACGAGACTCCAACACTCCACACTGTCGGAGGCTGGGGGGTCGGGGGGGGGGGGGGGACGGGTTTGCATTCGGCTGCTTCTCCCTGTTGATTCCTGTCTCTGCGCAGGCTGCTTTCAAAAGTAGAACACTGAGAACGGGAAAGGCCCTGCATTCTCGTTGCTGCACTTGAGCCAGTAGCAAGTACTCGGCGTTGGATAACTTGTACAACTTCTCAGAGTTGCGCAACTTGCACAAAGACCTCCGCATGGCAAGTTGCCGCTCCTCAAGTGATTCACAAGTCGAATGCGATGATAGTCAGACCACACCTGCGTTCGTGGGCACAAGCGGCACAAGCTCGGCGTTCCGTGCGTTTGGCATGGCAGGCGCCTCACAGCCCACAGCTCTCCGGAGCTCTTGCAAGGAGAAGCCGTGCGCAGACTCCGCATGCGCCTCAGGCGACATCTGACGGCAAGTTAGGCAAGTCCAGTGCGCGCACCGCACGTGAGTCCGAGCCCCGGCACCCAGCACTCCGCCGCACTTCTGAAGATCTCTGGGCCGAATGGCGACCGTGCCTTGATTTCCGCCGCAGCCTCACCTCACCTACCCTCGCCCTCGCCTCGCTGGCTTCATGGTCAGACAGGCCGGCCGCTTCTGCGTAGGCCTCCGCCTGAAGTGTCGGTCGGGTGATTCCGGGCCAAGCAGGATGCCCGGCACGCCCCGGCGCTTCGGCGCTTCGGCGCTTCGGCGCTTCGGCGCTTCGGCGCTTCGGCGCTGTGCCCACGCCTCTGATCCGAAGTGTGAGCCCTCGTCGCTCTCCTGCGGAAACTTCCCCACTTCCCCACTTCCACACTTCCCCACTCCCCGCCCTTTGCCTCGGCACGTGACAGCGACGGGGACTCCACACACATCACTAGTGGCAAAGAGCAATGTACAAAGGTATGTTGAGTCTACTTCAGTGGGGCAATAGGCCGAAGGGAGCGCTATAGTTGGGAAAACCAAATTCGTGCAACATGCCGATGGCTTTCGGGTTGCAAAGCATGCTGATTGCTGCTTCGACATGGCTTTCCGCTGCGCAAATCATCGTGTCTCGCATCCGATCTCAGATCTCGCAGCGCTTTTTCCACTTGTTGGCATCCCGAGCATGCATCGAATTGAGAGGACGATCGGACTATCGGTACATCGGCAAAAGCGACTCTCAGCCGGTCCGCCGCATGGGCGAGGGCCTCGAACGACGAACTTCGGGCTCGAACTTCCGGCCGGCTTCACGTCAGGTGCCCGGCGCGCGGAACTGCTGGTCATTCCAGCCATAGGAGGTGTCCACCTGCCATGGCCCGACTCCCTACGGCCCTATGCCACGGGATGGAGTCTAGCTTCACCTCGTTTTCTTATCTCGTCTCTGTTGGCACTGTTTCACTTGGCATCAGGCATGGCCGCTCTTGATGACCTGCGCATGCTCCACCACCTCGCCGGTGCGCTCGTCCTGCATCGGCTCGCTGTCGCTACTCCCGCAGACACTCGGACACTCGGACCTTGACGAGAACAACCATGGCGCCATCGTTGTCGTGCTGATTGCAATAGTTTGTAGCCTCGCCAAATGAACACCCACTCTGAAGTTTGCGAGGCCGAAGGCCCACACAGAAAAAACTGTTAGGAGCTGCCCTGCAGCAAAGTACTCATACCCGTGCTGAACCTCAGCTGCCAGGGGTAAGCGTTCATGTCTGGATTGTGGAGCCGGACACATTCGTGGGCGCGGATGATGAGCTTCAAAGCGTTCCTCCGATTGAAGTCCTGCAAGCTCTAGCAAAAGCCTCTAGCAAAAGGCTCTAGCAAAAGGCTCGCAAGGCACCTGCACCCGGTCGGGCCCAAACCGGCAAGTGTTTTTACCGCGGGGAGAGACCTCGAGTCTCAGAGAATCTGAGAGAACGTTCGGTGCTTCCGGCTGAGCCAGGGACGTGCACCCCCAGGACCTGGTCGTTGTCCGTGGGGTCGGACCTGCGCAGCGTGCCATGGGCATGGGGCCGGGCTCGCGACTCGCCCGGGGCGCTGGGGCTGGTGCCACAGGGCATCGAGGACCATGCGGTCTTGCCTTGTGGTCCTCTCAAATGACAAGTCACCGGGTCACCCCCGAGTCACCCCAAGTCACTCCTTTCGTTGATCTCCCCCACCACCTGGCCGGCAGACCGGACGACTCGACTTTGCCTCTTCACATGACATTGCCTGGATGGGCTTCGGGATGCCACGGAGGTCGTCCAGGGAGCTGATGGAGTCCCCGATGCCACCGTGGATGCACAGGATCTCTCCTGCAAAGGCCGATGCTGAAACGATGCTGAAACGATTCTTGCAAGTTTCAGGTCCTCCGACCACGGCAGCAATGGGCAAGAACTCGAACACATCGTTGACACCTGCGCATGCATTCCCTGTGTGCAGCATGTGCAGTATGTGCAGTATGTGCATCTCGCAGCACGTGTTGGTGGCATCTCGCATTGCAATCAGGCAGCGGTCCCAAATGTCTTCACCGTCTCGCCCAAACTTCCTCATGAATAACTCACGACTTGTGCATGGCTTGCACAAGGGCACTGGGGACGCGCCTTGCGCAGTCAGCATGGAAGCCGTAGTTGACATTCATCAGTCGGTCCTTTCAAACCGCAGAGTCGGATCGCAGTGTCTGGCCAGGGCGAGCCTCATGGTTGCCCCTAACGAGGAAGATCTTCAATGGATAGAGGATCTTCAAGGAGAAGAGCAATGAAATGACGTCGCACCTGGCAGAAATATCGTCGGATTTGAAGTCCCGCATGAGCCCCTGGCGAGTATGCTCCCCGGTCTACAAAGTCGCCCAAGAAAACCTGTGAGAGCAGCGCAGCAGCGCGCGAGCGCCATAAGTGTGACCCTGTTCCAGCCCGCCCTCTGCGGCCCACGCGTAGTTCATGGAGAAGATGTCGCCCCGGCGCTTGTCCTCGGTCACGGCTCACTGGCCTGCCAACACCCAACTAGGAGACCGCGCCGGCCAGGAGAAGGCATTGAAGAACTCCAGAAGGTCCAGCAGTTGCCTGGACGAATCTGAGCCGTTGGGTCGTTCAGTGCGGGGTACAAACTCCAAGCCCTTCCCGCGCCCGTGGATGTCGCCGTACACCCTGCAGGGCAGAGGCACCTGCATCGAATTCCAGGGAAATCAAATGTCACACGTGTCACACGTGTCACACGTGTCACACGTGTCACACGGGTCACATGAATCCCACAGGTGTCTCAAGGCAGGCCCGTCCGTGGGATCCCGTGGGCACGTGGCCTCCACCAGGGAGTCTTCTTGCCGGAGTAGCTCCACCACCGTGTCGCCTCTGGAGGCACCGGCTTCCGGAAAAGCGACGAGGCCGTGGGGCCGTGAGGCCGTGAGGCCGTGAGGCCGTGAGGCCGGAGGCCGTGAGGCCGTGGCACAGCAAGAGCAGATCTCGAGCGCTGACCAGCTGCAAGTTGTATCTGAGTCACAGTCTGAACAGTCTGGACAGATCCCGAAGCGATGGATGCGCCAAGGCACCTCCACTCCGCCACGGGCTGGTTGGATCTGCACCCGAAATCAGAAGCCAAAGCCGACAAAGCAGTGGCATGCCAAGCTCCCAGCAACTCCATCAGACTTCTCACAACCCGCAGGGCCAGGTTCTGAGCAGCTGTTCCCGCTTGCTTGGTTCCCTCCTTCGTCCTTTAACACTTTGCGAAACTGCATGGATCCCTGACTAACTCAGGCAGTGGCTTGCACGCCGCCTGGCAAGCTGACCCGAAGGAAAGCAGACGTGTCAGAACAGATCCCAGCCTTCCCGGCGGTACCTTGCAAAGCTGACGTCTTTCTTGGCAAGACGCGATTCACTGAGCTCGCTGCTCTGACGGTCCCCGGGAGGCAGGCCTGGAAAAGAAGAGTTTCTCTGTCTACAGGAGAGAAATCTTGCACCTTCCTAGCGCAGCAGACGGCAGAGACGGATGCCTGGGATACGGATCCGGCGATCCGGCGATCCGGCGGCCTCTTTGCCCCTTTTCCGCGCTGAGGAAGGCACACGCCGTCTGCGGCCTCTCGCATCGGAGGACAGGTCATAGTACGGTCTTAGGCATCCCACGCGCCCGCCTTGCCAGCGGCCTGGCCTCAGCGCTAAGCCCTCAAGTTGACACGAGACCAGATTCCAAGCTCAGGCAACAGCCCAAAGACCCCAAGGGATCCTCTCTCCTGAAAATGCGCCAGCGAGCGGCAATCAACCAAAGGCAGGCTAGGCCTCTGCTGCCCATTCACACCTGAACTGATACGAGGGCTGGCATGGGGACGCAACAATTCCGCTGAGCTTCGCGGTACCGGGACCTCCGTGGCTTTCTCGTTTTGGCATTTTATTGGGTCGCTTGGGGACCTAGTGCTCCTCTAGTGCTCCGGCGCCCGAGCTAGCCTCGGGTTGGTTTAGGGTTGGTTTCGGGTTTAGGGCTGGTTTTGGGTTGGTTATTGGTTTAGGGTTGGTGTAGGGCTTGTTCCGTTGGAGCTAGAGGAGCACTAGAGGAGCTATGGAAGAGCGTCGAGCACAAGCACTAGAACAGCACTAGAAGCGTTGAGAAGTAAAGTGCGCGTCGTTCACTAGAGCACCAGCCGAGCACTAGAGAAGCTCTAGCACTGGAAGAGCACCAGAAGACTGGATGAGCACTCGAGCAATAGAGGATCACTGCCGCAAGTTAGGATTTGGTTTGCTTTTTCGCACTGAAAGAGTACTAGCGCCGGAGGAGCCCTGGAGGAGCACTGTGCCGCAAGAGTACTAGAGAAGCACTACAGGACCAAAAGATGATCACTAGAGGAGCACTAAAGTGTCACTACAGGAGCACTAGAGCACTAGGGGGAGCACCAGAGGATCACTGGATGAGCACTCGAGAAGCAATAGAGGAGAAGCACTACTAGAGTGCCGAAAGCGCAAGAGAGCACTGGAAGAGTACTAGAGGAGCCCACACTGGACAATCACTAGAAGATCACTAGAGGAGCACTAGTGTGTCACTAAAGGATCACTAGAGGAGTACAGGAGCACTAGAGGATCAGAAAAAAACTAGCCAAAAAAACACTCAAAACGGGGAAACCACGCCTAAGCTTTGCAAAGGACTAGGGCGCCAACCAGACTCTGGGTGATCTGACCTCAAGCCCCAACACAAGCTTCTTCATAGGCTGCCTTCGAGGCTCGAGCGCATCTCGAGCTCGCCGAACAGCCTCTAGGAGGTCCTGCCCGAACAACACGCAACCGCGACGAGTTGGGAAACCGGCGTCCTGCTGTGTGCGCAGCAGAGGTGAGGTGCCATTGAGCATCCTGCGTCATTTTTGCATGTTGCAAAGCCTTGCTGCAAGCCCCTCCTCTTCTGCGTTGCATCGTAGAAGGCCGCAAAGCCAAAGGGGCCAGGGTACAGCGAAGCCAGAGCCTACGGCAAGGCAAGTGCATAGCACATCCAACATTTCTATGTGCGCATGCCATGCCTTGGCATTCACCAGGGCCTCGCTGTGGCTCTCACCTCGGAGTTGTTGGATGTGCTCGATCATCTTCGCCACCTAAATCGGCAAAAGCCACAGCCCCCTCGCATGCCCTCGCATGCCCTCGCATGCCCCGCATGCCTCCTCCACCTCCAAACGACCATTCCGGTTCTGGTCGTAGTACAGGAAGATGAACTGCATCCTGCGCGCGATGCCCCGGCGCCCACAATCTGTTCATGCAATCGCTCCTCAGCTGACCAGATGGTGACTCGAGCTTGTGCGGCGTGAGAGGGCCTCATGTTCGTGAGTCCACTCTTACAGGTCTTACATATCTTGCAGTCTTTCTGTCTCACCCTCCGCACTCTCCACACTCTCCACACTCTCCACACTCTCCACACTCTCGTGCCCGTGTTTTATCTTTGCTTTTGGGTGGAGTAGGTGGTGTCCAATGCCCTCAGCAGCTGGTCTTCTGTCAGTAGCTCCAACCTAAGACATCCGAAGCAACAGAGCGGCCGGACAGAATCTGAGAAGGCAAGTGGCTGCTTCAGAGCCTTGGCCGCTTCCACGTTGGTGGCTTCGCAGCCAGCCACGAGCCCGCGCTCCTCAAGGTATCAGATTTTGGACGGAATCAAAAACGTCTGCATGAGACAAAGGTAGTGCATATCCGCAGACCCGCTTCAGACTGCGTCCTGGGCCCAAATGAGCCAGGGCCGCCACGTGAACTCGTCAGACGCCAGGGTATCGAAGTGGCCCACCACCACGAGGCCACGCCGCGACCGGGTGACTGTGACGTTCAGGCGCCGGGGGTCACCCAAGAAGCCAACCTCGACACTTCCAGCTCTGCGCCTCTTGTCTTGCTCATTAAACGCTCCCATGTCTTGTCTCTTGCCTTTCTGAAACTGTGGCATAGAGCGGGCCGCGCGCTGCCAGAACTCTTACTTAGTCTTCCTTCCTTTACACCCCATCCCCATCATTCTCCCTCAAGCTCCGGCCTTGCCGGTGGTGTTGGCCCTTACTGTGGACACCAAGATGAGGTCCTTCTCGCGGCCCTGGAACCCGTCCACGGAGGACACCTCCACCAGCGCCATGCCCACCGACCCCGCCGGCGGCCGCTTCCCCGGTGGCGGGCACCCCAGGCGCCGCCGAAGCAGCCGCGCCTCGCGACGGTCCGTCCGACGTCCCAGCCGAACTGCCAAGCGTGCCAAGTCTCCGGCCCCTAAGCGACCGAACCCTGTTTTCCGTTCTACCCAAATCCCCCCTTCCTTCGCCCTACCTTCGCCCTTCCCTTCCTCGCCGATCCTCTCCTCTCCTCTTCCCCAATTTCGAACCCGTGAGATCTGCTCGCATGTCGCCTGGCAGGGCCTGTTTTCCACTTTCCCTCCAACTCCATGGGCTTCTTATGGCTCTTTCCTCTTTTTGCTCTTCCATCTTTCTTGACCCGATCTGCCTCCGCTCCCTTCACGATTCCGTCTGAGAATTCGTCGCTTCTTTCCCGCAATATCCCCGAAATATCTCATGTGTTGAGGCCTGGGCGGCGTAGGGGGTGATGACCCCGATCTCCGTGGGGTTGATGTCATTCCAGGCCAGCGCGCTGCTCAGCAGCGCCTCCACGGCGTCCACCTCCGTGTCGTTCATCCACGACGTGCCCTCCGACTTCTCTTTGCCTACGGAAAACGAAGCACAGAACGACAGGAGACAAAAGCGAACGGAAAAAAGACGACGGAAGACGTTGCACGGGCGACGAAAAGGCGGAACCACTGCAAAGGCGCCGCTGGCAAAACGTTCCTTCCCGAAGCTCCGGCCTTCCACGGGCAAGAAGGTCACAGGCGCCTCCGGCACGGGCCAGGCAATGCCCTGGGGGGCCTTGCGCTGGCGCCCGCTGACCCCAGACCGGAGCTTGCCGTTGTAGCTGGCCACGGAGGGGTACGCGGCGATGGCTGGGTGCATGCGGTACTGCACGTCCAGCATGAAAGGCTCCACCCCGTGGGAGGACAAACGCTCGAAGAGCGAGGTGCCTAAGCCTTCCACGTCCACATCCACGTTGCTGATAGTCGGCGGCAGTTGCCGGTGGTCCCCCACCAAAGTCACCACGCCGTCCAACCTCATCTTCATCAACGGCACAAGCACCGCCAGCTCCGTCGTCTGACCAGCCTCGTCGATCAAGACACAGCCGAACTCCTTGGCTTGCAACACTGGGTGATCCGCCCCGGAACACGTGCTGCAAACCACCTCCGCGTCTTCCAGGATCTCCCGCTGGTGCACGAAGTGGCCCCGGTCTTCCGCATTGGGGTCCTGTGCCTTTGCATCCTGTCAGGCAAACAAACCTTGCCGAGAGCTTCAAGAAACATGGCCGGGAGCAAAACCCGCCTTCACCATCTCTAGCAGGTTGTACTTCTCCAGGTCAAAGCGCGTGGCCTCTGGCCTGCCAATGCGTACCACCTTGAGGCCGGCCTTCACGCAGCCAGCTGTCAGGTTGTCGACCTCGATGTGCCAGGTTCTCTCACTTTCTCTCGGCCTTAGGGCATGTAAAACACTTACTCTAGATTATGTTGTATAAAACTGTATCACATGATATCATATCATACCAGTAGAGCCGGCGAAGCCGGTGGGCGGAAGTTTCAAAAAAATAGTTATCCTTCTCTTTCCTCTCTTGACTCTGTTTTCTCTTCTTCTTCCTTTTCAGTGTTTCCTTTTTCTTCGTCATTCTCTCTTTCTTTCTGTCCTGTCTTCGCCTCCCTTCTTTCTTTCTTTCTTTCTTTCTTTCTTTCTTTCTTTCTTTCTTTCTTTCTTTCTTTCTTTCTTTCTTTCTTTCTTTCTTTCTTTCTTTCTTTCTTTCTTTCTTTCTTTCTTTCTTTCTTTCTTTCTTTCTTTCTTCTTTCTTTCTTTCTTTCTTTCTTTCTTTCTTTCTTTCTTTCTTTCTTTCTTTCTTTCTTTCTTTCTTTCTTTCTTTCTTTCTTTCTTTCTTTCTTTCTTTCTTTCTTTCTTTCTCTCTTTCCCTCTTCTCTCTCTTTCTCTCTTTCTCTCTTTCTCTCTTGGTGGTTGGTGATGGTGGGTGGTGGGTGGTGGGTGGTGGGTGGTGGGTGGTGGGTGGTGGTTGGTGGTTGGTGGTTGGTGGTTAGTGGGTGGTGGTTGGTGGTTGGCGGTTGGTGGTTGGTGGTTGGTGGGTGGTGGGCGGGGGGTGGTGGGTGGTGGGTGGGGGGTGGTGGGTGGTGGTTGGTGGTTGGTGGTTGGTGGTTGGTGGTTGGTGGTTGGTGGGTGGCGGTTGGTGGTTACTAACTAACAAACAACAAACAAAACAAAACAAAACAAAACAAAACAAACTAACTAACTAACTAACTAACTAACTATCAATCACTCTATCTATCTTCTGCATTTTCTCGATCTACTTATCTATCTATCTATCTATCTATCTATCTATCTATCTATCTATCTATCTATCTATATGTCTAACCTATCTACCTCTCTATCTATCTAACCTACCTGTCTATCCATCTCTCTCTCTCTCTCTCCATCTATCTCTCTTTTTATCTATCTATCTATCTATCCATCTATACATCTATCTATCTATCTTTTTCTCTCTCTATCTATCTATCTATCCATCTATCTGTCTAGTTATCTATCTAATCTATCAATCTACCTACTTGTCTATCCATCTATCTCTCTTGTCTATCTGATCTATCTATCTCCTATCTCTCTCTCTCTCTCTCTCCCTCTTTCTCGGTCTCTCTCTCTCTCCTCTCTGTCTGTCTGTCTATCTGTCTTTTGATCTATCTATCCATCCATCTGTCTATCTATCTATCTATGTATTTAGCTGTCTGTCTGTCTGTCTGTCTGTCTGTCTACCTATCCATCTATCTCTCTCTCTCTTTCTATCTATCTACCGATTTATCTATATCTCTATATCTCTATCTCTCTGTCTCTCTATCTCTCTATCTCTCTATCTATCTATCTATCTGTCTATCTATCTGTCCGTCTATCTATCTGTCTATCTATCTATCCATTTTTTCATCTATCTTATCTATCTTATCTATCTTATCTATCTTATCTATCTTATCTATCTTATCTATCTATCTATCTATCTATCTATCTATCTATTCATCTATCTATCTATCTATCTATCTAATTCTATCTATCTATCTACCTATCTATCTATCTATCTATCTCTCCATCTATTCTCCATCTATCTATCTATCTATCTATCTATCTCTCCATCTACTTTATTTATCTACCTATTTATCTATCTATCTATCTAATCTATCTATCTATCCATCTATCGATCTGTCTATTTATTTCTCTGTCTATCTATCTATCTATCTATCTATCTATCTATCTGTCTATCTCTTCTCTATCTCTCTATCTACCTGTCTATCTCTCTAACTATCTACTTTCTTTCTAATCTATTTATCTATCTATCTGTACCTAAACTTGCGAAAGTGCCGCGCCTGCCACGAAATCTGTACTCGACCTTGCGAAAGTGCCGCCTGCCACGAAATCTGTACTTGACCTTGCGAAAGTGCTGCGCCTGCCACGAAATCTGTACTTGACCTTGCGAAAGTGCTGCGCCTGCCACGAAATCTGTACCTGACCTTTCGAAAGTGCTGCGCCTGCCACGCAATTCAAACCTTGCGAAAACTTGACCTTGCGAAAGTGCTGCGCCTGCCACGAAATCTGCACCTGACCTTTCGAACGTGCTGCGCCTGCCACTTCATTCAAACCTTGGGAAAACTTGACCTTGTGAAAGTGCTGCGCCTGCCACAAAATCTGAACCTGACCTTGCGAAAGTGCTGCGCCTGCCACGCAATTCAACCCTGGCGAAACCTTTGCGTTGCCGTGCCAATGGGCCCGCGCTCTGAGCATGGTCCGAACGCGCTCCGAACGCGCTCCGAACGCGCTCCGACCAGGCGCCGCGAACAGGCTAGCTTTCGGCTCTCCGGAGACATCAATTCACGCACGGGGCCATGCTTTTTGCAGCTTTCTATACTCCCACCACACGCGCGCAAATATATTTTCTCACGCGCTTATTCCTTCTCTTCATCTGTCTCAAAGAGAGCTAGCTTTCAATTAGTTGCCGCAACACGGAAGTTCCTTCTAAACTTCCTTTGATCATATCACATCATATCATATCAAATCATATCAAATCATATCAAATCAAATCAGAAGAATACGCGATTACAGTCAAATCTCCCCTAAAACCTGGTCAAATTCCTACCCCACTAGCAACTTTAAAACCCACTAGAAACCGGACAATTTCCTCCTAGGAATCGATTTGCTCTCCAAGCTGCCGCCAGAAGCCAATGACGCCTAGAAACCTAGAAACCCCACTGCGCCTCTCCTTCTGCCCCTTGAAGGCGTCTGGAAAACATGCGAACATGCACCCACCATAGCTCACGCCTTGCGCCGACCCACTCGCTCAAGCAAACCCAATACTTCAAGGCAAACCAAAAGACAGTACCTCAAAGCCAGCCAAAAGCCAACAAGCATACTGGCCGAGGCGGGCAGTGCAAAGCAATTGGTGTGTTTGTCTCTTTCTTATATACTACATTATGATACCACTATCGTATGTTGTATCTATTCGGCAAAAAGCCAAGCAAAGGTCACCAAGGCAAGTAGCCGCTTTCGTTTTTGATCCATGCACGACAAGTATGATGAAGCTGCGCAAGTGAGACCCTCTGCAATACGGAGTGTTGATTGGTCCCAAATACTAGAAGACTGGTGGCCCGAAAGCATTTTCCGTGACACGCAGCCTCAAGTCCATTTTTCCCAACTATACATTTCACTGTCTACTCTGCGCATGCCTCTATGCCTTTCACTGTGAACTTTCCCTGCGCATGCATCTGTGCACTTCACTCTGCGCTTGCCCTACGCATGCCTCTATGCGTTTCACTGTTGCCTTTACCTGCGCATGCCTTTATGCGTTTCACTGTCTACTTTCCCTGCGCATGCATCTGTGCACTTCACTCTGCGCTTGCCCTACGCATGCCTCTATGCGTTTCACTGTTGACTTTACCTGCGCATGCCTTTATGCATTTTGCGTTTCACTGTCTACTTTCCCTGCGCATGCATCTGTGCACTTCACTCTACGCTTGCCCTACGCATGCCTCTATGCGTTTCACTGTTGACTTTACCTGCGCATGCCTTTATGCATTTCACTGTCTACTTTCCTTGCGCATGCCTCTATGCATTTAACTCTCTACTTTCCCTGCGCATGCATCTGTGCGTTTCACTCTGTTCTTGCCCTACGCATGCCTCTATGCGTTTCACCATCTAGTATTCTTCGCATGCATCTACGCACTTGACTCTGCACTTGCCCTGCCCGTGTCTCTATGCATTTCACTGTCTACTTCCCCTGCGCATGCACCTACGTGCTTGACTCTGCACTTGCCCTGCACACGCCTCACGCAATTTGCTGCGCGGGCTTTGGTGTCACCAGGGCACGCAGTGGTTCTGGCTTGTGGGGCTCTCCCTCCATTGTTGAAATCTTCTCCCAGCTCATTCCTGAGACATTTCGCCTTTGTGGTTAGGCTTGGTCAGCTGCCGCAGCCGGACCAGCCCTTGTTTGGCCGCCCAAAGCCAGCGACAGCTTTCTGTGCGGCGTCCGCGTGCTTTGCGGCACCACCCGCCGTCAGAGATGGTGACCGTGACCTTTCCCGGACTGGGCAGTTCCCTTGCAAGCTTGGCCTGGGGTCATACACATCCCTTGCTGATGCTGTTCAGCCTCCTGTTCTCGGTCGCTCCGTGATCGTGGCGACCGTGACTGTCTGAAGCTTGTCCCTTCCTGATGAATCCCTGGCCACTTCTGCATTTGCTCGACTAGTCGGTTCATACAGCAAAACTGTGTCGTTCACGTGCTTCATCAGGAGAGGGAAATGCCTTGGTAGGCACTCATGGCACACGGTTCTGCACACTAAGCCGCTTGTGGCTGATAACCTATAGATTGGGCAAAAAGCCCAGAAAAGGTCACCAAAGCAAGTAGCGTGCTTTTGTTCTTGAGCCATGCACAGCGAGTGTGATGAAGCTGTGCAAGTGAGACGCTTCTGCATTAGGGATTGCGTATTGGTCCCAAATCTAGTTGGAAAGTACCATCATGTTCGTATCTTATGCCGCATTCTCTTGCTGAGTAGCTTCATTACCTTATGCTATGTTACATTGTCGTTTGTTGTATGATGCTATGTTTTACTCGTGTCATGTCACGTCATATCATAGCAAATCAGGAAAGTGTACGGTTACATTGGGTCCACTGACCTTGCCTCCACATTTGTACATCAAGGCCTTGAGCTTCTCCATGTGTACAGACCCATGATACGGGCCCGGCCAGAGACAACACTTTCAGGTGTTCTGGTAAACCAGTTGCGAACAAACCTGTGCGGTTTCTGTGTTTGAGAGATAGCCGGTTCATGGCAGGGGCACTCCCAGCCGGCAACCTGAATACAATTCCAGCGTGCCTAGGAACCCTAGACCAAAAGAAACCAAGTGCGAACTCGAGATTCAAGAGTGCCGACATGTGGATCTTTAGGCCTTCCATATAAGTGTCATCTATATCTACACTGTCTGTACTTGTATGCTTGTATGCTTGCATACCTGCCTTGCTGTTTGCTTTCTCTCGCCGAGTGTCCGCGATGTTGGAGTCGGCGCAGCAGAGGATGGGCCCTCGGCGGGCGGCCGTCCAGCCGCGGACCAACAGCAGCGCCGTGGTGGTTTTCCCGGCGCCCGGCGGGCCCTGGATCAGTGATAGCCGCCTCAAATGAAAGTAGAAAGGCTGAAGCCTGGTGTCTGCGTGTCCAGGACTGAAAACGGACCGCCCGCCTGCTGCCTGCGGCGAGCAGCGCTTCGCGCTGCGATTCGTTGCACTCCTGCAAGAGAAGCGACGTGGGCTGGTGAGTTTACTGGCGACGCGCGCGGCTTTTTGAGACATTTGATATGCGCCTTGACCAGAGCCGAGTGGTGTGAGATGCCGGCACCCTGGAACTCGACACCCGCGAGCCCCGGCTCCGTGCCCATGAGGTTGTTATCCGCTGCTAGAAGCAGGTCCTGACACAAGAGACTCAAACTGTCTCAAACCTCAGAGTGGCTCAAAGCCCACAAGCCCCGTCCTTGAGCCACACGGGCACTGTGGGCTTCCAGTCCTTTCCCTTCTTGCCTTTGCCCTTGCCCTTCTTGCCCTTCTCGCCCTCGCCCTTCTCCTTTTGCTTCTCAGGAACTGTGGCGCTGCAGAGCGTGACCTCCGCAAACTCCGAAGTCCCCCCCCAAGTCCCCCAAGTCCCCCAAATCCACCAAATCCCCTCCCCGAGACGCCAAATTGAAAAGAAGCACGGCCTAGATGTTGGTCAAGGTGCGAGCGCATTCAGCTGGCGGCCCAGGGTCACATGGTTGGCGACACGATCCACACGGCACGTCTTCTTGTTGAACTTCTCACCTCCCGAGCACTTCATCCCTACCTTCCACAGCCATTGGTTCCCGGCCTGCTTTCTTGCCGAGCTCCCCCACGAACTTCACAAGGATGCCTTGCCCAGGAGGCGGCACAATCGCCATCACTTCTGCTTCCACGCTGACATCTCCTCTTGAGGTGATCATGATTCCTGGCGGATCGAACTGATCGAATTGATCGAATTGTGCGCCGCCATCCGCCCGCCGCCCGGCCGCCGCCCTGCCTGGGGTGCCGGTCTCTGGAAAGGTGGCCAGAACCCAGTCGCCCCTCTGGAAGCCGTGGCCAGCAGGCAGCAAGCCCGCTGCCGGGCTCAGCATCACGTAGTTCGGGCCCTTCTCTGAGGGTGCAGCCTGACAACCCGAATATGGAAACATTTCATCTTACAAATACATGTATCCATATATACATATGCTACCCCCCAAACAAATCATAGGTTTCAGCAGTCTTCAAATGGATTGGCGCAGTCTGGATTTCCGGAGACGAGTTTGTCATGAAAAGACTGAGCCTCAACCAGAATGTGATTGAAGCATGTGTTGCAAGCACGGACAGAAACCGAATTGAAGACGAACAATGCGTTGACAACTGATTGCTTGAAGTCCTGAAGCGTCTACAATAGAATGTATGAAGCAAATTATGGTCGGACCTGCTGTTGTAGGGGACAAAATGTCTTTTGGATATGCACAGAAAGGACCTTTTAAACTGTGTGTATAGATATGTGTGTGTATATATATACGCATACGAAAGTGTTAATATACATCCTCACTTGTACATTCCCTTGCACATCTGTATGATCAAGGCCTTGAGCCTACATACAGTAGCTACAGCTTGCACCTGGAAACACCTGTGCCGCGCTGTCACACACAGGTCTTCAGGTATTTACACAATCAATCCAACTTTAACATGGTAGCGGAGCAGTGATCCCTGGTACACGATCCTACTACACTACCCAGGGTGAGCTCCAACACGCACTCACAGGTTGAGGTACACACTAGTGAGTAACATGGCACAACAACAACAAGATCAGCAACCACAACAGCAGCAGCTAGAAGGAATCCACAAATACAAGATATCACCACCACGCTTCAATGGCGAATACAGCACCTTCGAAGAATGGAAGTACAAGATGACAGCATACCTGGGACTACAAGACCCAGACTACAACAGACTGCTTAGACAGTCAGAGCAATCAACAGGATCAGTTACAAATGACCAACTTGAGAATGCAGCACCTTCACAACAAGTTGCAGAGCAATGGATACAACTGAGCAACAACTTGCACTACATCCTAGTGAGCACGTGCGATGGACCAGCATCTACAATCGGCAGACAAAACATGCAAGGCAACGGATTCGAAACATGGCGGCTTATACATGCAAGGTGCTCCATACCTCTTGGTAAAAGGAGCATTGGATACCTTACAAAGCTGCTCAAACCACAACTCGATGAACAGAAGTTCGAAGAGAGCTTTACAACATGGGAGTTCCAACTCTCAAGGTACGAACAAGACAACAATACACTACTACCAGATGCAATTAAAATCGCAGTGCTACTCAATGAAACAAAAGGACCACTACAGCAGCATTTACAGCTACAAGCAGGAAACATCACAACATACGCACAGATCAGATCGATGGTGATCGAGTACTACAGAGCAACAGCGTCATTCACCAGACTACAGTCAATCACATCAGGCAGCAACAACAATCAAGGACCGGCACCAATGGACATAGGAGCAACATGGTACAACAAAGGAAAAGGAAAGAAGGGCAAGCACAAAGGCAAAGGAAAACACAACAAAGGCAAAGGCTACGGCGGCTACGGCAACAACTTCGGCTACAACAACTACAAAGGAGGAAAAGGTAAGTACAATCAACAACCGGTTGGACAAGGAAATCCTTTCAAAGGACAACAAGGATATTCCAAAGGAAAAGGATACAACAACAACAACAAAGGAAAGGGAAAAGGATACTACAGCAATCAACAAGGAGGAAAAGGATCAAAAGGAAAGCAAGCAACAAATGCTTGCTACAGATGTGGACAACCAGGACACATGGCCAAACAATGCAGAGTGGCGATCTACAACTGCGACACTGGCAACTTCGACACCAATGACCAGACAGATGACTGGTACAGTCAGTCACACTATGACAACAACTGGTACCACCAGGATCAGACACACATGCAACAACTAGCATTACCACAGCCACCACAAATGGCGGATCCATTAGCAGCACCCATCTCAGGATTACAAGAAGTAACAATTGCCATGATTGGCACAGCACAACAACACTCAGAAGACAACAAGTGGGTCAGTCTTATGATTGACAGCGGTGCGGCTACACATGTATGCCCACCATGGTTTGCACCACACTTTCCACTACACAAGCTTGAACATGGAACAGGACCACAACTCACATCGAGCTTTATGGGTACAAATGGGTCTGCATGACAAACCACAGCGGACAACAAATTGTCATACCATTCTGTGTTTGTGAGGTTAAACAGCCGATTCTTTCAGTTACAAGGCTGGTGGAACAAGGTTTCCAACTTACATTGGATGACAATCCAAAGCTACATCACATCAAAGGATTCAACAGCACACTGGAGAGCAGAAATGGCCTGTTCTTCCTACAAGAAGAAACCACAGCATTGCCAAAAGGAACAAAGCTACAGATACACAACACGGACCAACAACAGATCGGCATGATAGCACCGACCACAACATTGACACCACAGGGTCCTGCAGACACAGGCTATGCAGGAGATTACTGGCAATTCAATACACAAGGTGAACTTGTAAGAGTACACAGGCAACACAGAAAGACACTCTTCACACCTTCGAGAACACAGTGTCCAGTCCCAGCAGAACAACTGGAGGACTACAGGAAAACAACCATCAGACTCAAGGATGGTACAACGAACACGTTTGAAGACAAGTATCAAACAATGGAAGTGCCAAACAAAGCACAACCGCAAATGTGGAAAGGAGAAACAACATTCAGGATCAAAAAAGGCACAACATTGCCAGAGGCAATACAGCAACAGCTTGCAACAAAGACACAACCAAAAAGTGCACCACAAGTGATTCAGTACAGACCGCGCACACGGCTAAGAGAGAAAACAACACCACCAACAGTTCAGGACACACCTGCGCCACACACCACCAAAGGCGCAGCTGGACAAGGCCTTCCACATCCTTCAGAAGTACACCCTGGAGGAGACTACTGGTACAGAGAAGGCCCATACTGGAAGAGAGTACACGTTGAGCCTAAAACAGCGTTTTACATACGAGAGCAGACACACGACGGGCCGCATCAAACGACTCTTACCTTGGAGACAGACCAAGACACAAGGTTGATAGAAGATGAATGGACAACACAGCCAGCAAAGACATCAGACAAGCCTTGGACAGGCTGGACAAACTTTGAGGAACATCAGGAGTTCCCAACACAGCTCGAGTCAGATGATGAAGAACAACAACAAGGCATAAGAGCAAAAGCAGTACAGGCACCCAAGCAACCTACACCACACGAGATTTTGGAGCACAATGTTACACACCTCCCTTACAGGAGTTGGTGTCCAATATGCGTACAATCAAGAGGCAGACCCAAAACAGCACAGCAAGCTTCCAATCATACAACTCGACTTTGGCTACATCAAAGGATTCGATGACAACAAGGTACATCCAATCCTCACAGCAATTGACATCCAATCAGGGATGATCATGGCAATACAATTGACCGACAAGAGGATGCTCTTCGACTATGCAGTCACACAGCTACAGCACTTCCTCATTGAGTGTGGAAGAACAACACACACAATACTACAATCAGATCAGGAAGATTTCCTGACAGCACTCATTACTAGGAGTACAAAGCATCATCAACACACTGTTCAGCAGAATACAAAGGGAAGTTCTGCTTAGACACACCGACGATCTAACAGTTGGATCAACAATCCACTTCTTGGCAGGAACATCTCACACAGAATCACATCGACATCAGTTTGACAACAACTATGTTGACATCATCCTGGAAGAGTCAGGGATGACTACATGCAACCCAGCACCATCACCAGGGGTGTCACACATCAAAGGTACAGCAGAAGACGAAGCACCACTTGACCACGAACAGCACAAACGATACAGGCGGCTTGTTGGCAAGATACAATGGCTAGCATACACACGACCAGACATCAGCTATGGAGCAAAAGAGCTAGCAAGGTCATTACAAGCACCAACACAGTTTGACAACAAGAAGCTCAAGCGCATGATCAGGTACCTCAAGGGCACAAGGTACATGCGACACAACTTGCGACCAAAGATACAAACACAGGACAAGCGAATACCACTCAACATTGACACATACACAGATGCCAATTGGGCATCATGTGAAACAACGAGAAAGAGCACAACAGGATTCGTACTGTACTTCTTTGGAGCAGCAGTACATTATGGCAGCAGAACACAAGCCACAATAGCACTTTCATCAGCAGAATCAGAACTGTACGCAATCGGTACAGCACCACAGGAAAGCCTCTACATCGGCAACTTCATAAAAGAAGCATTTGAGGTACGCATCAACATCAGGATACACACAGACAGCAGTGCAGCAAAATCAATATCAATGAGAGAAGGTACATCAAAGAAAGCAAAACACATTGAGCTACGACACCTCTTCATACAACAACTTGTCAAAAGCAAAATCATTTCAATGCACAAAGTAAGGTCTGAAGACAACCCATCAGACCTGCTGACAAAGTTTGTCAGCTGCGACACTCTCAACAAACAACCTGTACAACGTTGGCCTGTAAGGTCACACAACACCAGCTTCACACAGTTGCACAGTGTGTTAAACAACAGTTGCACAGTTGACACACGTGTATGTTTCACAACTAAACGGCCGGCACACATGTTTTAGCTTTGGGTTAGGTACAGCCATGGACCTGCCCTGGAGAAGATACAACCTTTCTGGTTTGAGTACACAACTTTGAGTTCATCTTTGCCCACATCTTTTACATCCTCAGGTACATTTTGCTGCATGAGGTTCCATACATGTTTCAGACAATGTCTTTGATACATGTCGCAGCCATTTTACATTTGGTGAAGACACACCCCTGTACATTGAAGGTACACAATGGCCATGACAGGACTCACAAGGGTCGCTGAGCACATCCCGGCCACAGAGGTCACAGTGGCAAGGACATGGGACGCGGTGAGCCTTACATCTTTGGGTTACATTGAGGAGAACATCACCGGGAAACAGCCCTTGCGCACATTGGATGGGATCCACTTGGACACCATCCAGAACAAGACCAACATGATGTACATTGCAATGACATTTGAGGAGTTCACAGCTTAGACATGGGCATCCCGCGGCTACATCAACTTCTTCAATCAGGGCTACAGCGCAGTCCACATGCAGATCCACATGAATAAGACATGGATTCAGACACAGGATGAGCTGTCTAAACATCAGGTTTTCAAGTACACCGGCAACAATGGCCTGCTCGGGATTTACATGAAGTTCAACTGGAATACAGGGTACATCTGGTCCTACAACGCCTGCGTGAATCTTGAGCAACTCGCCATGAGGAGACCTGCCGCAGGCATGCTACAGTGGCACAGGCATTGTCCTTGATGGGTGTGGGCAGCATCAAACATCTGCCACCTGCACATCAGGTGACATTGGTGAGGCACATTTCGATGCAAGATGCACACAGTCTCAACACACGTGGCACGGTTGAGGGACAAGCAGTACCAGGACATCCGGGCCACATTGATTACATCCTCGAGCAGCAGCAGCTGTTTTACATGAACTATGCTGCAACCAAGGCACAGGTCTACAAAGCAGGGATCCACACTGCTTACACAGTGATTGCCAATTTTTGGCACACCGGATTTTGTGGATACAAGGTGTTGCTCACACATGCAGTCTGTACAGTCGCTCGAAACATTAGAGGCATCGATGTACAAATTGAAACAGCCAGTAGAGCTGCTAACAACTTTACATCACCTCGACAAGCTAGAGCACAACTGTTTGTTTTGATGTCTAGATACATCAAGCCAAGGTGGGGTGTTAATATACATCCTCACTTGTACATTCCCTTGCGCATCTATATGATCAAGGCCTTGAGCCTACATACAGTAGAGCTACAGCTTGCACCCTGGAAACAACTGTGCCGCGCTGTCACACACAGGTCTTCAGGTATTTACACCATCAATCCAACTTTAACAGAAAGACATACTGGAACCACACTCGATGCAGTAATCGCAGACAGCGTGCATCCTACAATATGACATGGTCTTAGGTAAACAAGCATTGCAGCAGGTGCGTTCATTGAAGGATTCTTTGTTCTACTGGTATATCTACTGGTACAAATACGTTCGATGAACTATTCAACTATCTGGAAGACTGGGTATAGCCAAATATAGTTCTGTAGAGTGTATATTCATGCAAGAAAGGTCATTTTAAGTACGTCAAGAGTAGTCAGTGGAGTTTCATGTTATCCAAAGCTACAACAGTTGGTAGAATAGCATTCGCGCGGTCAACTGGACCGGTTCAACCTTTGACGAACGAGCAACAGAAGGTTCTCAAGAAGGTGGACTAAGACTTGGAGAAATGGAAAGTATTGTATTGTGGGATATGGCCTCCGACTTAGTTGTAGAAAGACTTGATATAGACCTTAGCGACTTCTCACAAGACGAGCCCAAAAACCTTGGACATAACAGAATTCCCGGCATATCTCAGACAACATCGAAAACCATACTGGGACAAACAAATAGTTTTTTCATAATTGGCACTTTTCATCGGCCCCTTTTAACTTCCAGTGTACCATGTCTACCTTTCCCAAACAAAAGCAGACAAAACAAAAATACAACGTTTGGACCAGCAAAAGTAACAAGTAGAAGTCCCAAAAAGAAAACTTGTTTCACTTCAGGAAGCGTTACGTGTACATTGTTCCTCAGAAACTACGGGGGGGGAAAAATAGGAAAAAAAACAAAAGAGTCGAAAGTAAAACTTGGGACCCATGTAAAGCAAAACAAACTGCCCGAAGGGAAAAACACAACAGTTTAGCTTTGGAAGTGTTAGTTGTTTACTTGCACTGGGAAAAGTAAAAAAGTAAGACTGATTGAAACACAAGCAAACAGGGTTACTTTTGGAAGTTTTACTTGTTACTTCTACTCGTCCGAATGGGTACACTTCCGGAAGTGAAAAGGGGCCGATGAAAAGTGCCAATTGTGAAAAACTGTTTATTTGTCCCAGTATGGTTTTCGATGTTGTCTGAGTTATGCCGGGAATTCTCATCTTGCTGCTGGTTTGGGTCTACCAAAGGAACAAACCCAGGATTTGTTTGGGGGGTACCACAATCTATATATATATATATACAGAACATGCATTGCTTGTGTGCAAAAAGCGTGACAGCGGATCGGAGAACGGAAACCCTGCCTCCATGGCCTGGATGCACACGCCCATCTTCTCGAGCACGTGCGCAGGCGAAGAGACGGCCTGCGTTGAGAGACGCCAGGCTTCGCGGCAGACAAAAGATGCGACTAGACGATTTGATTGGTTTGATCCATTCAGACGGTTTGAAAGCAACTTCCTCCGATTTGCGTTTCGCTTCCCCCGACTCCCCGACTCGGTCGGGTTCGTTGCACCTGCTCTATGGCGCTGGTGGCCTCTGACAGGAACTCGCGCAGCGCCCACCTCGCGTAGCGGCCGAAGTAGGAGTGCGCCTAGCTCACGTCGTTGGGAAGCAGACAGAAAGAGTGCTTCGGTTCAAACCCTGGTGATTGACAAACATGGAAACTCTAAACGTCACATTGAAACTTTGGGATGCATTGCCATTTCCAGCTCCATTCAACAACGGCCTATGCAACCTGTGAAACAATCCTTGTTGCTCCATCTCAACCAAAAGATGCCGAATGAACGTTGCCAATTTCTGCCCATGCTTCCCGAACAACGGGCCGATCAACTCCAGGGAAAAACATCATGATCATGCTTCCAGTCCCGCAAGCGCATCCAGCAGAGAGAGCAACAGAATCTGCTATGCACAATACGAGATGATGTTCAGGCTGCAGGCCAGTAAAAGCAATAACTGGTACAAACAGTGCTTTCCAGCTCCAAGGCAACAACAAAACGGACACTTTCCTGGCGCCGCCAAGGACTCTTTCCTTGGAAATCATACAGCGGTTTTGTCCGGCACCAAAGAAAGGTGTGCTCTGGCTCTTCGGGTGCCACTTGGAGTGGAGATAGAGTTCTATTTACTACAGTACTAGTGGCCTCCGGTGCAAAAAAAAGAGACAAGAAGCAAACAAGGCTCGGCAGCGCAAACTCAACGCGACAAAGTGAATGGTAGGGTTTTAAAAAGATAGACCAAAAAGCTTCCAAGCAAACTCTATGTTCGCAATATATAGTACTTAGTCTTTTCCGGTGCGGCCAGTACGAGCTCACCCGCGCATTTGCTTACACAACCTGTAGCAATAGTCGCCATGTCAACCGAATGATAGATGGCGAAGGACTTCTAAATGCAATAATTGGCAGTAGTATTCGGCATGAAACCACTGAGAATTTGATGTGACAGTATTGGCCAGCACGGCATTTTCGCACACCAAACCAGAGTGCGAGATAACAAAGGAGTACTACGTATCAAATACAGCCCCTCTACCGCAGCACCCTGCAAGAGCACCCTGCCGAACCTCCCGACCTGCGCAGTGGAAACTCCAAAAAGCCTGCACATGCCACAGCATCCCACACCAATTCTCACATCCGGGCAGCTCCCTGCCTGGCGCTCCGGCGCTTTGCAACGTGCCTCCAACATCCCGCGCACCCCACGCACCCCGCGCACCCCGCGCACCCCGCGCACCCCGCGCACCCCGCGCACCCCGCGCACCCCGCGCACCCCGCGCACCCCGGCTGCCGAGGCGCTCCCCAGGTTGGGAACTTCGGCAGGTTCAGGGCATCCACGGCATCCAAAAACTTGAGCGCCAGCTCCTGTTCTCAAGAAAAAATATATCGGACACACCACAAAACACACGGGGGTTCGCAAACGCACGCCGGCATGCGTCCTGCGGTGTTCGCAAGCCCACAGCGCCTACCAGCTGCCCGAGCTGCTTCACAGAAATGGAGTTGGCTTTCGACACGTCCAGCTCCTTGCAAGGGCGAGTCAGCCCACGAGATGGGCCGCACGAGACCGCGAATCACGCCGTCCTTCTGCACAAACTGCAAGGCTTCGTCGACCTTGTTGGATCGCAAAATATCACAGATCTCTTCGATCTGCTCATCGGTGGCCTGATTCTTTGCAAGCTCGTTGGCCACTTTGGGCTTCTCTTCGCCTTTCTCGCCTTTCTCGCCTTTCTCGCCTTTGCCCTTCTGCCGCTTCGACGGGGGCTCCGAGACGATGATCTTCGAGGCCGCCCCGCCCTGGATCGCCCAGGAGCTGGGCCGCACCTCCGGCACCTTCCCCTTCTTCCCTCGGCCCTTGCCGTACATGGCGCATCGGGAAAAACAAAATGACGCTTCCGGCAAGTCAACTCTGTCTCTGACTCTGTCAAACTTGAACGGGGAACAGCTCCGTCATGAGGAAGTCGCCATGCGAAAGAACAGAACAATGCAGACCTCATGTTTCTAGATAGACTTGCCGTGTATGTGATGCTTGATAGCAAGAGGCGGACACAACTGAGCAGAACAGCATCTCATAAGCAAATGATCTTGAATCAAGTGCTCCGCTCACTGCCAACATGCCGCCAAGGAAGTCAGACTCACTCAGGAAGCCATCCTCAAGGTGAAGGAGACACAATGGACAACAAAGACAACCAACATGATCCAACTCCTCGTTCCGGTCAAAGAGCTCAAAAAACACAGTGTGATATGCTGCGTTGCAGCAAGGATACCTGAGCGTGGCGAAGTGTTCTCCACGGCCATGCGGTGCTTGGCAACCGAATTTCTCGAGCTGGTGGCTTTTGCAGGATGGCTACAAATTCATCCTTGCCTGGGCTTACAGAAAACTCCGCAAACCTCATCAGCTCACACGGCCAAGGGCTTGGCTCAGGTAGCCTTCCTTCTTCTTGGAGTGCTCCTTGCTGCACCCGAATCATGTCAATAATATCATGCAGAATGCACCTTGAACAGCTTGATGATCTGGGCCGCGCTCTCCTGGTCTCTTGCTTTCCGGAATGTCTCCCCGTCGCATTGCCAAATGCAGCTGTGAAGTGATGGCGGCGCGCTTTTCCCTCAGGCGTGAAACCCCTCGTCAGCGTCCAGGCCTCCCGAAGCCCCTTTTGACGGCCCCGATCTGTTCGCTCCAGGCCTTCGCAGAGCATCTCCCAATACCTTCCGAACTTCCGAACTTCCGAACGTGGAAATCAAGTCACCTCCAAAAGAATCCGGAAAAAAAATGAAAAAAAAATCCCATGGCGCCGCTGGATGTCCAGCTGAATCTGAAAGTTGCTCTCGACCACCACCTCCGTGCGAAGTGCATGCGTTTTTACGAGTGCAAGTGAAAAATGTCAATGCCGAGGCGCCACCTCGGACCGCCAATACAAATACGGCAACCAGACCACCATGCCAAATCCGGAGAGTACCTCCAGTCCAGCAGTCCAGCAGTCCATTGACTCCATGGCATGGAGTACAGAGAGCATGTGGGTGATGGGTGTTCTCACGAAGTTCTGCCACCGATTGTTCCTGAAGGCAGCTGCAATCTCGCATGAGGTCGTACTTGCTCCAGCCTGTAGACTTTCATATCCTCCTGAAACAGAACACGGTCTGCATACTCCAGTTTCCATCTGATTCCATCTGATTCCATCTGCTTCCGTCTATTTCCATGCTTTCAGGATGACCGGGAACGGAGTCGCCGGAGTCCTGGGCATCGAACCGCACCTCCACGTCTCCCTGGAAGCCTGGTGAACGTGCCCCGTTTCAGAGAAAACAAAAACCGAAAACCTCCGAATTCCCAGTGGCCATTGCGTTGCCTTTGCCCCGTAGCTTCTGTTTGATGTTGGTGGCCATGTCTTCCCAGTTTGCCTCGCGCAGTATTGGCAGGTGCCCATCTCATGCCGCCAAAGCTAAGGCGAGAACCCAAAGTACTTTCTTCCTGAAAACTCTCAAGCCATTGCACAACTCGCTCGAGTCAAACGAGAAAAACAAAAGTGACCCTTCCTGGCCAAGTTTGTCCTATGTCTTGATTTGGCCAAAGCACTTCAGGCTCAACTGCGCTTCAAGTTAGTGCTTTGTCACGTCACTGGCACTGGGGCTTGTAAAAGAATGAGGTTGCAAAAGGGACACGATTGAAGACAAAGAAGGAGCCGCGCGAAAAGCCTCACATGTAAGACATGTAAGACATGTGAGACATCTCCTGAGCACGAGGATCTCCAGGGGGTTGGGGCTGCCGAGATGGCTCGCCAGCTTGGACGCCTCCGATTCAATCGAAAGGCGCCCGAAAGGCGGCGCCCGGCGTCGGCCATCTCCCATCGGCCAATCTCCGGCGCCTCTGCCGCGGAGGACAGGTGGCCCTGGCCGGAGATGAACCTCGCAATTCGGACATCGAACTGCGAATTCTTCCCGAATTCTTCCGAGATGAACCTCGGAATTCTCCGCACTCCGTCAACGAACTCCTGGGCCGGGGCGTGCTGAGGTCCAGAGACACGTCAAAGATCAGATTGGCATCCGCCACCGGCCGTCTGAGTCAGCGCAAGACCCGATTTGCATCCGACGGCTTGAGTCCGACCTGCGCCCAGGCATCAGCCGTCCGAGCCGTGCGCCTGGCAGAAACCAACGATCTCTCCAATTGATTGGTTCGATTCCGTGTCTCAATGCGTGCAATGTGCCTAGCCACGGCTGTCTCCTAGCGAATGTGACAAGTGTGACACGTGTGACGTGCTGAGCTGCTTTGCGGAGACAACTCCTTGCCGACCTCCTCCCAATGAGGCGCAGCCTCAGACCACGAACACCACGCTCAGGGCGCGTGACTCATTGGATCAAGCGGCGTCGCACGCTGTGGCTGTGTGTTGAAGGCCTCAAGTTCCGGAACAAAGACGAAAGATTTGCAAGTCCATACTTGGTGCCGCACTTCTAGGAAGGATTCCTGGTCTGCAGACACGCAAAGCATTCTTTGGTGCGTGTGCTGCTGCGTATGCCTGACATGCAAGGGCGCAAGGGCGCAAGGGACCACCCTCCAGCTCTCTACCTCTCCACCTGTCTCAACGAGTCTCAACAAGCTCGACTCGACTCTGACAGCTGGACCGAGGGTCTGTGTAGAAAGCCACCTCAGCACCACGCACGCACCGCGTCCAATGGGGTCCGATCGGTGGTTTCAAGGGCCTGCGAGGGATCGTCGGCGAACTGGTAAACGCCCAGGCAGCTTACCCAAATCGCCACTCCCAGAATGAAGAGCCTCACATGTGGAAAGTCCCTCTGCATCCTGTTTGAAAACACACATTCTTTGCTCAGCTGCAAAAGGAAAAGGGCAGCGGCATCCTTGCACAAGCGGAGTCCAATCTCACAAAGCCGCTGGGACCTGCCTGAGCCACCAAGCGCTGTCGCAGCTCTCGGTTCAGGCTCTGATGAACCCCTGGTGACCTGCCAGGCCATGCAGCGCCATGCATGGCAAAGTAAGACAAAGTCTCCGCCTCGAGTAGGTGATGGGGCCTTCGCAACTCGAGGCCCGAAGCTCCAAGCTCAAGCTTCAGGCCTACTCCCTCGCCGATTCGGACCAGCGTCGCCAAAGTCGAAGTGTCCACATTCCTGGAATTCATGTCGGAAATGGGAAATGCGAAAAGACATGCGAACAAATGCGAAAACACGCGGCATGCGGCAACTCGAGGAAACACGCGGAAACACGCCCACTCCGTCGGCTCCCAAGAAAGGGTCCTGACCAAGCGCTGTGCCGACTGCCGCTCCTCCAACTCATCCTACGAGAGAGATTCAGACAAGCAAATCAAATGGCCGTGCTCTGTGCTCTCCTGCGGCTCCTTGCCCCAGCCTGAAATCCAAATCCGAAGAAAGAATGATACAGAACTCAAACAAGTGTGGGAAGAACACCCCGGACTCCGATTTGCCCGGTCTCCTTCGAGCTCCGCCGGCGCGATTGCAGAGGTCCACTTCTCCGGGAAGTCCCACTCCTTTGCGAGAGCGACAGAGGGCGAGCTGGCCTTTTTGCGCCCTGGGCTGTGGGCGAAACGAGCCGGTGGCGAAGCCTCCCACCTGAAATTCTGAAACGCGCCAAGGCCAAGATGAACACTCTCGGGCTTTGCTGCTTTGCTCCCAGCGTGTCTTCCCGTGGAGTCAATGGCAAGTCCTTCACGGCGCAAAAAATGACCGACGGACGCGATCTACCCGCCCGCAGCTCCTCATCTGGACGATCTGGCACGCGATCTTGCAGCCCGCGCCAGGCCTACTAATCAATTATTAATCTCTCGCCGCCCCCCGGCCTGGCCTTCTTTTGTGCTTCACTGGTCGCCTCAGACATGCTAAAGCAACACCAAGGGTGCCGTCCGTTCTCTGGCCTTTTTTTCATCCGGCCTTTTCGGCCTGGCATGGAGACATGTGCGCACGCCACAAGGACACGCCGGCGCGTCCTGTGTTGCAAAGAACCATCTGCAAGGACCTCCGAGCCGAGACTTGAGGGAAGCGAAGCTCTCACTGCGCTGAGCCCGAGACTTCCACTTGAACCTCAATTGTGCCCCGATGGACATGGCCCCAGCTGCGCCCTTGGCTTGCTGCATTCTCAGACCTCAACCAGCGTGCCTGGAAAAGAAACGCGGAGAGGAGCATTCGAAAAGGACTCAGCTCAAAGACAAGAGCAACGACATGCAAAATACTTGATCGTTCAGAATCCAAGCCAGCGCCTCGCGCGGAACCGTGACCTGCGGGAGAGCACAAACACTGACAAGCCACACACCACCACCACCTCCACTGCCACGTTGGCCCTGACATTCAGCCATAACCTCAGGTGACTGATCGGAACATGCACAATCAAATGAAATATCTTTTGCACGGCACGGCACAGATTGAAACTTAGCTGCCGGCCAAAGCAGCGCATGGACCTCAGTGTGGTCGCTAGCTCCGGAAAAGAACAGATTCCGCATGCCGCCAAAGCTATAAGACCCCTGCGGAAAATGGCCTACACATAGCGACGCTTGAGCCACAGCCGAGACCGGCCGACTTTGAAGCAGCGAGACTGCGAGACTGCGAGACTGCACAACAAAGCTCTCCTGCCATCCCAACTCGGCCACCGCCTGCTGCACCAACCTGAAACGCGAGTGCACGACATATACCTGCCCACAACGTCCGAAAGCTCGCGACAGGCCGAAACTGCACCAAGGTCCCCATTGTTCCTTCACAGCGTGTATAGTCTGATTTTCCTGGAAGATGCTAAGAAATCGGTTGAATGTGGCTGAAAACACGGAAAGCAAAACCCCTATCTGAGGGCAAAGTAAACAGTCCGTCCTGGGAGTAGCCCTCTTGCAAACCCAAAGCCCTGGCTGGCACCGACATTCTTCCTCGGTGGAAACCATGGAAAGCATGAATGGAGCACAACGCATGCGAGACAACCCCGCAACGTGGCACCTCAGGCTCGCACACTGAATCATGCTGCACGCCCTGCACCGCAAGGAGCAAAGGCACAAAAGGCACAAGGTGTGGGAAAGGTGGCGAGGCGGTGCTGATGCTGTGGACAAATGGGGAGCTATGTCAGCCCGGACACCTTTTTGTGCGGAGCCCCGCCTGCAGCTTCATGGCACATGTACAAATGTGTCTCAATCGCCTTTTGTTGGATCTAAGTGGATCTGACACAAGGATTGCCCGTATAGTGTTAACAGGTTGTTTCTAATGTGCGAGAGCTTGCATCCAGCCACCTGATTGAACCAAAACCAACTGCATTCTTGCTTCAGTTTCCTCCAAGAACTCAGCTTGATCCCCGCACATGCAAAAGCTAAACCCAAGAATCCCAATTTGTGTTTTGCGAGAGCCCTGCCAAAAGCTGCCAGAATGCCCCCAAACCTAGCATTGGTGAGAAAGGCACATCCGCCGTTGTTAGAACATTCGGCGCAAATAGAACCAGCTTGTTGGCTTCAAATGGATTGGCCAACCGACACTTGCCGGTGTGTGATTCATCTGTTTTGCAGTTGGCGCTTTGTTGCAAGACTGTCCCAAGTCCCGTGCATCTGTGGCGTCGTCTCTTCCTAAAGCAAAAGAACAAGAGGCCACGCATTTGCCCGCCCTTAAGGCCTTGCTGGATGACATTCAAAAAAAAGGCTACAGCCATGTCAATGGTCAGGGTCAATGTCACGGTTCTCAAGCAGCATGTCATGAAACGATTTTCAAACAGATAAGATTGTACCCAAATGTTGCATGAGTCATGTGCATTCATGCCCAGCTGCATCTCGCAATTTGCTCCTGTTTCCTTTCATAAGTTCATTCTGCAGAAAGCGAGCTGCGACAGCTAGCCCAATTTCTCGGAGGCGAAATGACCACGAGCTGGAGAAGTGCCGCCACATACATTTTGGCTGCAAAGCTGTTCTTCACTTATTCTTGAAGGTGTGCAACCAGACTTGCGGGGGTTCCTGCTTTGAGACTGGAAAACGGGGTCCCGAAAGGGCCCGCAATCTGGATCTAGTGCAAAGCTTAGTAATTATAAAAATACAAGTCTAGTATTGATGATGTAGGAACAGCTGTAGTGTTGATGTTCTCGCTAACCGTCTTTTCTGCACGGTCTGTCCTTAGCAAACCGTCGATATCGGCAACTGGCTGCGAGGTACAAAAAGCAAGCCTCTTCGAGACGAGTTGCGCCGATGAACCGTGCCCCCCGTACCCCATATCGGCCGACAACAAGGCGGCGTATTGGACATAAGAAAATCTCCTTACCTTTTTACCTGTTACCCCTCCCCTTACCCTTCCCCAGTGGCACGGCTTCAAACTTTGCGGGGCGGGGTGAGAGCAAGAGACAGCTTACCCACAAGCAAACTCTGCTTCATTTCACCGCGCGCACTCCAGCATTTTTCAATCCACATGCCAAAATCTATATAAATGCTTCAAGTTATTCATTTTAAAGAATAACTTAAACCATTTCAATCAACCTCGCAACATTTATTGATATGTGCTTCACTTGATACATGGTCGCACCAAGCATAATAAATTTCTTTCTTCTTACACTTCAAACATCAAAACCACAATACACCGTTTTTGATTTCCTTTTCATCCGGTCGTTCCAATTTTTCACCGTTCAAACTTTTCTGTAAAAAATATTGATGGTTTCCTCGTGCTGAGACTTCTTTTCTTTGTTAACTTCATAATCACACAATTCGCAATAATGAACTTTTTGCCGGCATTCTTGTATTTTTGCTTTCCCTTTCTCGCTTTCTCTCCATTTCTTTGTTCTTTCCTTAATTTCATCAATATTCTCTTCTTCGTATTTTTTCCTGCACTCTTTCACCTGCTGGGGCGAACCGACCAGTTCGACAGGGAGACGTCCGTGGGGCCCAGGATCTGCTCGTCGGCCCCTCCGTCGTCCGGAAAGCGCACGGCTATCTGCAGGGCCGAGGCTGCCTCCGTGACTCCGAGCTTGCCGGTCAGCAAGCCGTCCACCTGCGCGACGGTGTAGTAGCTGAGCAAGGCGGCGGCGATGCTCGAGGCCGTCGCCGTGTCCTGGTCGGCGGCTGAGCGGTACGCCACCAGCGCCGAGGTGATCTGGTTGGTCGTGAAGACGTCCTGGTCCGGGCCCGTCCGGTAGGCCAGCAGCGCCCGCGATGGCTGCCTGCGTCTGCGTGTCCTGCGCGCTCGCCGTCCGGCGCTGGTCGTCTCGGCGTCCTGCGCCGTTCCTGTTCGGTAGTCAACCAGCAGCGCGTCCACTTGCGCCGAGGTGTAGTAGGCCAGCAGCGCAGCCGCAAGGGCCGCGTCCGCCGCCGCGACGGAGTAGCAGTCGGCCGTGATGCTCAGCGCGTCGGCGCCGTTGGCCAGCGCAGCAGAGAGAGGAGCTTCGAGATGCAGGTTGCGAACGACGTTGCTTCCGCGAACGAGCTCCCAAGTCGCGAAGCCCGCCCAGGCCGGCGCGTTAGCAATTCCGCCGCCGGAAAGCTGCAGGGCGGCGAGCTCCGCGAGGATTGCGTCGAGGGCGCTCTGGAGCGCGGTCTCGCTGGCGGAGAGCGGGCTTCTTCTAGCGTCCCTGGACGCAGGGAGGCCTGAGTGCCTCAAAAAAACCAGTGGTTTTTTTCATTCAAGGCTGGGCCTTGGAGGCGCCAGGAAGTCGTCCAGCTGCCTCACAGCTGCCGGCCTGCCCCGTCTCGCCAGTCGGCCCGCCGCGTTGCCGCTACCCTGCGGCGCCGGCAACGCCAGCTTTAGGAGGGTCTCCCGGCCCTCGGTGCTCCGGACGGTCATGGAGTCCGCGGCCCGCAGCTGCTGCACGTCGCCGTACTGAGGGCCGCGTTCGTCGGTGCCCTTCACGGCCTTGATGCGCCGGTCGGTGAGGTCCTTGTTGCGCTGGAACTTGTCGGCGTTGTCCTGCAGCAGCCGGAACTCGGCAGCCGGCTGCTTCTCCACGTCGTCGGGCGCGCCGTGCACCGTCTCGTGCGGCCGGGCATTGTAGAAGTGGTCCACGCGCGTGGCCAGGTCCTTCTTCAGCGTCTGGATGACCGGTCCACCACGGCCGTGGCGTTGCGGCGCTTGGGCCGCTTCGTCCGGCGCACGGCTTCCTTGAGCAGCTCCCGGCCCAGCGTGGCGAACTTGTTGCCCAGGTCTGTCGCGACCACGAAGTTCTCGTCGTCCCCCGTCAGCTCCTGCGCGGCGCGCTTGGTGGCCCGGCCGACCGTCTCTGCGTTCTTGTTCTTTCGAGGCTCCACGGCAGCCTCTCGGGTGAAGACGTCCATCACCACCAGGCCATACTTCGTCTTCCCCCGGGTGTTCTGGCTGAAGTTGATGAGGTCGGCCTGCAGCCGGTCGTTCTCGGCGGCCGACTTGCCTAGCGCGCGCGGCCGGGGCGCCTGCACCTGCCTTCAGCGCCTCGAAGGCCATCGCCTGCGTCACGTCAAGGTCGCGATAGCCGTGCGCGGGGGGGCCGACGAGGTGGTGGCCGCCATAGAAGAGCAGATCCTGGCCCCCACGGACGTCTCCCTGTCAAACTGGACGGTTCGCCTGGAAGCCCCACGCTCTGCAGACCGCCAACGGTACGGCGTCGACCCTCGGAAGCATCGCTGCTGATATGCAGGACATTGACGAGGTGATTGATGCCCACGTCATGCAGAACACGCCATCGCTCATCTCAATTGGTAAACGCTGCATGGAGCAAGGTTATACCTTCCAGCGCTAAGCTCGTTCAGTCCAACAAGATCGATGGGACAGCCTGTATCAGCAAGCCAACGGATCGATCTTTCGTGCCCAGGAGCGGAGGGAGTAGAGGACATGCGCGATGCTCTATACATCATGCGTCGTCGAATCGGTTTAGATTCGAGGTATTGCACACCCCCCACAGCACGCTGGTGAGGCGCGAGTAGTCGAGGGGCAACCATCTCCGCGCCGTCGCTCCACCGGGCGGCGCCCGTCAGGTTCTTCCACTTCGTTCCTGCGAAGTCGTTCGAGGCAAAGCCCAGCCTCAGGTCCCCGTTCATGTCCGGGCGCTTGTACTGCTTGGCCTCCACGGAGTCGAAGAGCTGCTTGAGCTCCTCCACGTTGGCCTCGGCCACTTCACCCGGCTGTCCGACAGGTTGGTGAAGCTTGTGTTGCAGACCACGTTGCCCGTGTTGCCGGCAATTACGAGGCAGCCGGGGTTCCTCTGGTTCGTGGTCAAGGACAGCTGCGTCGAGAGGCTCTTCGTCTGCACCAGCGCCTCGTCGTTGATCACGATGAGCTTGCACTGGCGCGCCCCGCCGTCCCGCTCCAGGAAGACCCGCGCGCTCTGGTTGCCCAGCGGCCGCAGCTCCGGGCCGCTGTCGGACGCCGCGCTGTTGTTGGAAATCTGCAGCTTGCTCCAGCCCGCCCAGTTCTTCGTCAAGAAGAGATCGTCCAAGAAGTCGGAGGTGTTGGTCACGGTGAGCGTGTTGGACGCGAAGAGCTGCGGCGCGGAGACCGTGCCCGAGCTCGTCACGTCGCCGCACACCACGCTGCCCGTCGACACTCCGCCGCTCGTGGCCGTGAAGGTGCAGTCTCGCAGTCCAGCGGGCCCGCGGACGCCGCCCCGGTGATGGTCAGCGTGGCGCCCGTGACTGCACGCTGGCCGCCCCCGTGATGCTCAGCGAGCTGCCCGACACGGCGCCGGTGGACGTCAGCGTGGCTCCGGACACGGCGCCGGTCAACGTCAGCGCTGCGCAGGAAATGGTGCCCGAGGCGTCCACGCCCATCGTGAACACGTCAGTGCAGTTCACGTCGTTGCACAGCAGCTGGTCGCAGCCCACGTTGCCCTGCGCGGTGAGCCCGTCAGCCCGTGAGGGCCAGCGAGTCGGCCAGCAGGTCCGTCACGGAGACCGACTCTCCCTCAAAGGCGCTGGCCCTGATCTGCAGGCTGCACA